CACACTTTTTTGTGTTACAGCCTGAATTTAAAATGCATTAAATTTGAGATTTTGTGTCACTGGCCTACACACAATACCCCATAATGTCAAAGTGGAATTATGTTTTGACTAATTAATGAAAAGCTGAAATGTCTTGAGTCGAGTATTCAACCCCTTTCTTTTGGCAAGGCTAAATAAGTTCAGGAGTAAAGATTTGCTCAACAAGTCACATAAGTTGCATGGACAGTATAATAGTGTTTAAAATTATTTTTGAATGACTACCTCATCTCTGTACCCCACACAATTATCTGTAAGGTCCCTCAGTCGAGCAGTGAATTTCAAACACAGATTCAACCACAAAGACCAGGGAAGTTTTCCAATGCCTTGCAAAGAAGGGCACCTATTGGTAGATGGTTAAAAATAAAAATAGCAGACATTGAATATCCCTTTGAGTATGGTGAAGTAATTCATTACACTTTGGATGGTTTATCAATACACCCAGTCACTACAAAGATACAGGCGTCCTTCCTAACTCAGTTGCCGGAGAAGAAGGAAACCGCACAGGGATTTCACCATGAGGCCAATGTTGACTTTAAAACAGTTAAGGCACTGCAGTGCGTGAGGCGTCACTACAGATCCGGGTTCGATCCCGGGCTGTGCCACAGCCGGCCACGACCGGGAGATCCGTGAGGCAACACACAATTGGCCCAACGTCGTCCGGGAGGGTTTGGCCGGCCAGGATGTCCTTGTCCCATCACTCTCTAGCGACTCCTGTGGTGGGCCGGGCGCATGCATGCTGACACGGTAGCCAGCTGTACGCCGTTTCCTCCGACATATTGGTGCGGCTGGCTTCCGGGTTAAGCGAGCAGTGTTTCAAGAAGCAGTACAGCTTGGCAGGGTTGTGTTTCAGAGGACGCATGGCTCTCGACCTTCGCCTCTCCCGAGTGTATGGGAGTTGCAGAAATGGGACAAGACTGTAACTACCAATTGGATATCACGAAATTGGGGAGAAAAAGGGGGTAGTTAAAAAAATACAATTTTTTTTAAAATAAAAATAATAGTTTAATGGCTGTGATAGGAGAAAACTGAGGATGGATCAACAACATTGTAGATACTCCACAATACTAACCTAAATGACAGTGTGAAAAGAAGGAAGCCTGTACAGAATACAAATATTCCAAAACATGCATCCTGTTTGCAATAAGGCACTAAAGTAAAAATGTGGCAAAGAAATTAACTTTATGTTCTGAATACAAAGCGTTAAGTCTGGGGAAAATCCAACACAACACGTCACTGAGTACCACTCTTCATATTTTCAAGCATGGTGGTGAATGCATCATGTTATGATTAAGCTTGTCATCAGCAAGGACTTTGAAAATAAACGGAATAGAGCTAAGCACAGGCAAAATCCTAGAGGAAACACTGGTTCACTGGGAGACAAATTCACCTTTCAGCAGGACAGTAACCTAAAACACAAGGCCAAATATACACTGGAGTTGCTTTCCAAGACAACATTGAATGTTCCAGAGTGGCCTAGTTACAGTTTTTACTTAAATCGGCTAGAAGATCTATGGCAAGACTTGAAAATAGCTGTCTAGCAATGATCAACAACCAACTTGACAGAGCTTGAAGAAATAAAAAAAGAATTGTGCAAATATTGTACAATACAGGTGAGCAAATCTCAGAGACTTACCCAGAAAGACTCACAGCAGTAATCGCTGCCAAAGGAGATCTAACATGTATTGACTCAGGAGTGTGAATACTTGATGAGATGTTTATGTATTTCATTTTAAATACATTTGCAAAAATTTCTAAAAACATGTTTTTACTTTGTCATTATGGGGTATTGTGTGTTGAAGGGTGAGAATTGTTTTTAAAATCAATTTTGAATTCAGTCTGTAACCCAACAAAATGTGGAATAAGTCAAGGGGAATGAATACTTTCTGAAGGCACTGTACATGCTCTCTACATCAAGAGCACCATGGGCAAGCCCCAGAGACTACTAGTCTCTACCAGTGTTCATTTTGTCACGCTTTTTTAGATTTAGTCTGGTCTTAAATATCATTAAGTCACATTTTTGTCATTTGAATAATAGTTTAGTCTAGTTATTGTCAAAATTACGAAAACAGTGGGCCATTTTAGTCAACTAAATTACGTTTCATTTGTCACATCACATTTGTATTGCCTCATTCATCTATAGTAAACATAAAGCACTGACTTCCATGTGCACTAACATATTTTCCTGCATAACATCCTATTCTATTCCCAACAGCAGATATGGGCGGCAGGTAGCTTAGTGGTTAAGAGCGTTGTGCCAGTAACCGAAAGGTCGCTGGTTCTAATCCCCGAGCCCACTAGGTGAAAAATCTGTCGATGTGCCCTTGAGCAAGGCACTTAACCCTAATTGCTCCTGTAAGTCGCTCTGGATAAGAGCGTCTGCTAAATGACCAATTATTTTTATTTTTTATATGACAAACGTATATAAGAGTTATCAGGCCATGTAAATTCCTTATTCAGCCTACATAGATATTGCACATTACATACAAAACAAACTGACACACACACAAAGAGAGAGAGAGAGAGTAGCACAATCACCAGATGGTGCCGCAAAGTAGTATGGGTTGGACCTCTGTCACTCGGTTGTGTCATGGCTATTGTTATCAACATTCCACAAACGCTGCAGCCACATTGATGTCCAAAAGTAGAACGGTGGCTAATGACTGTTTCGCCCAGTGATCTAGTCGAGTCACTAAACCTTGAGTCCCAAGTCCCCACTGCTCTTTCCGACTCACCAATGGTCGATTCACGAGTCGAGTCACAAGTCGGCAGGTAGCTTAGTGGGTAAGAGCGTTGTGCCAGTAACCGAAAGGTCGCTAGGTGAAAAATCTGTCGGTGCCCTTGAGCAAGGCACTTAACCCTAATTGCTCCTGTAAGTCGCTCTGGATAAGAGCGTCTGCTAAATGACTAAAAATGTAAATGTAAAAAGTCCTCGAGTCCTGGTCCGAGTGCTCATGTCTGAGTCACTGGGTCCACATTAACTCAAAATAAAGTTATTTACACAGTCAGATATAGTGTAGTGGCAAGAGGGATTTAGTTCAATAAATTGTTTGGTATCCCTTTTCCTTTCTTTCTGTGCCACCAAATGTTTGCATATTGGCTTCTGGTAATGTTACCAGGGCCACGTTCAGTTGCAAAACGTTCTCGAAAGTTGCAGATAGAAATTCCATGAATAAAGCCAACATTATTCCTTATTCAACATGTCAGAGAGGCATGTTTGTTCTACATAGCATATTTCTATCTGAACGTTCCAAGACATTGCGTCCTGCTGAAAGCTCCCCAGGTTGTTAGCTATAGCTAGCTAATGAGGTAACATGACTGAACAAGGTTTAGCCTAAACAAATGGTTAACGGTCCGGTATGCTTTATGAATGTAAAATGCAGCCCGGCAGTATTATGGGTCATATCTTTTGAATGGTAATCTCTCAGACCGTTTTATCTGAGGAAAAGAAGGAGACTTGCCTACGTTTGATACAGAACCTGGATATAAAATGCAGTGGGGAAAGTGGGAGGGTTGAGCGAGACTACAAATTTAAAGAGTCTACTTTTCTATACACAAGGTAGAGAAAAACATAGCTAGACTGTTGTTTTACCATTCAACTCAATGCTGCTATTGTTTTTGATTTCGTAAAGCTGCTTGTGTTTCTTAACCAGGCAAAAGGTAACTAACTAGAAGACAGGTGGTGACTGGTTAGCTTCGGGTAAGCAAGAGAGTCACCAGTGCGATGTGCATAATCGGAGGCGGCGCCAGGGCAAAGCCTGTCTTCCCAACAACATATCATACTAATTTGAGTGTCCCGGATGTACATGTACTATGTTATGTCTAGTCTATGAGACCAGGCTGCAACGCCCACACTCATTGCTTATTCCCCTGCAGCTCATCGGCTGATCTAGGCTGTGTGTACCGGGTGTGGCACATACTTCCCACTGCTGAACAATACTGCGCACCTGTGCTGCTAATATCAATTGTGCAGAGATAATTTAGTCTCATCTCGTTTTAGTCTATTATTTAGTCAGTTATAGTCTTGTCAATTGCCACTGAAAAATAGGTGTGACACTAATATTTTACTCACTGTTTTTGTTGACGAAATGAACACTGGTCTCTACTAGAGTCTCTAATAGGGACTCAAACTACCTTGTATATCAAGATCACTATAGGAAAATCCCTCGTTATGAGAGAACCAAACTAGCCTGGTTCCAGATCTGTTTGTGCTGTCTTGCCAACTCCTTTGGTTATTGTTGTGCCATCAACTGCCTGTCAAACTGCCATTATTTTCAATGAATAAACCTGCCAAGATCCTACAATCTTCTGTTCTGTCTTGTTTGTGTTCTAGTTGAGAGCTTTTTCTCAAAGACACGTTAGAGATAGAGTGAACTCTTGTGGAAGTGTAGATCTGAAAATATACAGCAGAAGCCACACAATTTCTCAGTGTCAATAACAAATATGCATTAACTTGACTAAAACACAAGTTGTTTCAAGAGGAGTAGTGTAAGTAAGGAGGTGGGAGGAAGTCAGTCTAGGCGTCCAGATGTCCGTTGAGAACGGACGACAGATGATGGTGGTGGGCTGACTGTTCCAACTCAACCTCCGGCTCTAACTAGTGCCTAGACAGCCCTGATTGTTTGTCACTACGTAACAACACACACACCCCTAAGCAGTGATGGTGTGAGCTGAGCCACACACACACACACACTGAGCTGCTTTAGGTAGTACCTAATAGGTACTGTACCTATCCTGGTCTACTTCCCTGACTGAGGATCTCATAATAGGATTACTGACGTCCTGAGTGCAGTCCTCTGAGACTGACAGAGAGTGAAGAGATCAATGGAGTAAGACAGATGGTAAGGAATTCTACTCTCTTCTTTTCTCAGAGTGATATGCAGATCTTATTGTGGTCTTGTTCTTGCCTTCTTGATTATTTGACCTTTATTCTATTTTCATACTTTGGCTTTAGTCCAAGGGACAGGGAGCCGTTATCTTTGGTCACCATTTTGTAGTAGCATCGTTCTGCTGCTATGGTGCCGATCCATACTATGCACCCTCAGGTGAGTCAGACTGTCTCTTCTCTGACTATACAAACCCTCTGCTAATGAATCAGACTGTACCTAATACAGTGGGCTCATAATGTCTGAGCGAGTCAGCGTTTCTATTCCTCCAGCCTGCTGAGGGGACACCTCAACAAAGTGACCATCCGACCAAGATGCTAATCGTGCTAGACAGTGAGGACAGTGAGGAAGGTATAGTACCCCTCTCTAGCAATAATGGAGTCATTATTTCATTGTTGCTTTGAGAGGATATTGTTTAGTACCTGAGTGTGTGCAATTATCAGATAATACTTTTAGTAAAAAAGGATGGAAATAAGTTTTTTTGTAAAAATGTGACATGATATGAATGATAGTTTGAGCATCTATATATCTATTGGGAACCGTCCAAACAAAGTGTGGCCTAATGTAGCATCATTGTGAAGCACAAGGCTCTGATCTGACGTGAAGAATAACTTGACACGTTGATGTCTTTCATTCATAGAGTCCAGTGAAGAGCAGCAGCCAGTTACGCCATGGAATGATCTGTGTATTATAGACCGCGTAGGCCTCAACAGGTGAGGTTTTATCCTCTGTGTGACTGATGATAACCATCACGATATTGGTAATGATCAAAAACTGATCGTCTCATCCCTAAACCAGACTGATTGTTAGAGTGCCTGCCATTGCCCCAGATATGTATTTGGTAATGTATTTGGTTCTTCATGTTCAAGTTATCTTTATTGTCCCAATTGGGAAATTTGTTGTGCAGTCAGGGTTCAACAATAAAAAACAACAACATTAAAAACAGTGACGGCCTCCCGAGTGGTGCAGCGGTCTAAGGCACTGCATCGCAGTGCTTGAGGCGTCACTACAGACCCGGGTTTGATCCCAGGCTGTATCACAGATAGCCGTGACCGGGCGTCTGCAAGCTGACCTCGGTCGCCAGCTGGATGGTGTTTCCTCCAACACATTGGTGCGGCTGGCTTCCGGGTTAAGTGAGCAGTGTGTCAAGAAGCAGTGCGGCTTGGCAGGGTCGTGTTTCGGAGGACGCATGGCTCCTGACCTTCGCCTCTCCCGAATCTGTACGGGAGTTGCAGCGATGGGACAAGACTGTAACTACCAATTGGATATCATGAAATTGGGGAGAAAAAGGGGTAAAAGTAAAATAAAATTAAGTGACAACCGATATACTGTACACATAACAAGAAACAATGAGACTGATCAAAAGGAGCAATCATTGTGCAAAAGTGCAGCAATAAATAGACATTTCATGTGCAGATTCAGAAAGTTTTTAGCCTGTGGGATAAAATAGTTATTGTATCTGTTGCTATGTCTGTCCCTCCCTCCCATCACAGTGCTAAGATGTCAGAGGAACAAGTGGAGGTGAGGCAATCCGTCAGTAGTCCTCATTAACATGATGCATTGCGATCATAGTACACACAATACCCATACAAGGTGTATCCCTCTCTGATTCTCCCAACCCCCCTTATTTTACGTTTTACTAATTTAGCAGACGCTCTTATCCAAAGCGACTTACAGTTAGTGAGTGCATACATTTTTCATACTGGCCCCCCGTGGGAATTGAACCCACCACCCTGGCGTTGCAAGCGCCATGCTCTACCAACTGAGCTACAGGAGGCTACTTATGATGTTGTATGAAAGCCTGTGACACCTTACTTTCCAATTAAGGATCAATACAGTTCTATTCTAATGTATTATATTATTTTCTATTCTACTCTATTGTATTGTATTCTATTCTACTATATTCTATTCTATTCTGTTCTATTCCATTCTGTTCTATTATATCCAGAATGCATTCTCCCAGATTGCGCTGGCCTTTCGTAGTGACCAGTACACCCTGAAGCAGAGGCTGCAGGCAGAGGAGCATGCTAGGAACCTGGCTGAGGAGAACATCCAGCTGGAGCTGATGAGAGGCCGGGAGACACTGGAGGTATTGGAGGAGGAGGGTGGATGGGGTCACTGCAATGAAGGAAGATAAGTATTGGACCAAGTATTGGACCTCTCTAGCTTGTTTCCACTCAACAATCTCTGAGACCCTTAATCATTATGAAATAAATTATGTTTGAGCCAGAGCGAAAGTGTGAGTTAGTACCTATGAGTTAGTACCTTGTTTTTTCTAATGAAAATGATGACAAGCTTCAGCAGCACTGTGTCCCTGACATTGAGACCAACATTTTTTTGGGGGGGGGGAATATAAGGCTTACAGCATACAAGGTGTGTATTGTATATGAGGGTTTTTGTAGCATAGCTTTGACCTGTCTCACTGTGTTGTCAGACTCTAAAGGCTCTGTGTCTGGACAGTAAGCGCAGTAAGATCCTCCAGAGACTAGAGCTGTGTCTGGATATACTGAGAGGAACAGTGGAGAGAATCTCCAACACAGCAGAGGTGCTGGGAGCGGTACACCAGGTAGTCTCCCTCACACAGACATTACTAGGCTATCTAGCTCAAGACTTTGATTATGGATTGCAAGATTGCATCAGCTACACATTACACCCCAGTGACTGAATGAATGGGGGGGCACAATCATCACACTTGTCACTGACACTTTGAGACTAGAGTAGAATGAAGCTGCTATTCTTTGTAATTTGTAATTGATTACGTGTTTATATGCTCGATCTACACATACCGTATACATACTCAATGTAGGTGTACTCTGTATGGTAGGAGGCTCGTGTGAGTCGAGCGGTGGAGCTGATGGTGAGCCACGTTGACAACCTGAAGAGGCGGCATGAGAGAGACATCACAGAGCTGGACGAGACCAAGAAACTCAACGGGAAAAGCTCCCACAGGAACTACAGCGACCCTAGAGGTAAGTACCACTAGTGTAACTGTCTGGGTTCAAACCCGGATGTCCCGCACACCACAAGACTGTGTTAGCCCGCTGAGCTAAAGCCTAGACTTCAGGTCTAGGTCGTTGGTGAGGTTACTCATAAAGTAAGCATGGTTTACTGAACCATCGTAGGTCTACCTGAATATGGCTCGGTACGTGATAGGCACAGATGCTGTTATCTGACTGGTGTATCTCTCGCTGCAGTTGAAGGAGAGTTCGGGCAGAAGGCCAATAAGACCTCTCAGCAGGTAGGAGCACTTCCCTGTCTTCATGCAGAGGATATTCACTATGTAAAACATCGTATCATATTTGTTTTATCTTGTTTTAACCCTCAATCACTTTCCTGTCTCTCTTCCTTCCTCTCGTTCTTCTAGTGGCACATTGGTGCAAGTCGTCAAAGGGTCAGCATAGCAGTGATCACCAAACAAGCCCAGGTCTGAGCAGTTCAAGTCCTTCCTCTCCAAAGACACGCACGCACCTACGCACACCAACTATCTGCCTATTCTTTTGCCTCAGGAAAAGAGAAAATGGGAAAGAGGGCTGCAGAAGTCATTCTCAATAGATCATGAGATAGGTAAGAAGTCCCTTTCAAGCCCATCTCCATCAATGGACTCCATCACAGAGTCCATCCCTTCAGTCATGGTCAAGACAGAAGAGATGGATGTTCCCTTACTGGATGGCAGGTAACGTAGGTGTAAAGGACGTCACGCTGCTTGCTTAGCGAGTACCACTTCCTCCCGATTAGGCCCATACCTGGCGCGAACTCGGGACCTCTGCCTCACAAACACACATGAACGTTCTCCCTCAAGCGTTTTAGCCGATCGTGCCACCTCAAAAGCTAGCTAATGAGGTGACGCAAGCGGGACACTTAAGGCTGAGGAGTAAGTTTCACACATCCCCATGTGCCACATATGCATATACAGTATCTACAGTACATGCAAGGGGTAAAGGAAATGATAATTTAATTCAATTCTCTCTCCCTGTAATTTCCATTGAATTCAATTCAAATTCCAGTTCAGTCTTTGAATTCAGAGAATTCAATTCCAATGTTAGGTCAAATCCAAGAATTAAATTCCCAATTTAATATTATCCCCAATAATTCCACATTTTCAAATGTAATTCCCTCAGGCTTTCAGGCTGACTAAGTCACTGTTCAGACAGCCTAGCTATACTGGAAATATAGAAATACAAGTTGAAATGATTTAAAACAAATACTGCAGTCAATGTTTGATGCGTTAATTCCATTACCTGGGAAATGTTAAAATACTAAATTCCAATGATTAAATGTTTTACAATTCAATTCCATAACTTGAAGATTGTTGAAATTCTAATTGAATTTAACAAATTCTCCACTTCATGAGTGAATTCAAGAATTTAATTGGAATTTCAAATTAAATTGGAATTGACCCCAACCAAACCTTTTTGCTGATTCAAGACCACCTGAAGCTCCTGATGATAACAAACCAGAAGTCGCTGCTGCTGTCCAGTCACCACCGGAACCAGACCCATCTCCAGTCTATACAGCACCCTGTCCCACTCCCACACACAAGCCATACGATGTGGACATCAAGAAAAACAGCATGAGGTACAGTATAGAATTTACACATACAGTGGGGAAAAAAAGTATTTAGTCAGCCACCAATTGTGCAAGTTCTCCCACTTAAAAAGAGGAGAGAGGCCTGTAATTTTCATCATAGGTACACGTCAACTATGACAGACAAAAAAAAAAAATCCAGAAAATCACATTGTAGGATTTTTTATGAATTTATTTGCAAATTATGGTGGAAAATAAGTATTTGGTCAATAACAAAAGTTTCTCAATACTTTGTTATATACCCTTTGTTGGCAATGACACAGGTCAAACGTTTTCTGTAAGTCTTCACAAGGTTTTCACACACTGTTGCTGGTATTTTGGCCCATTCCTCCATGCAGATCTCCTCTAGAGCAGTGATGTTTTGGGGCTGTCGCTGGGCAACACGGACTTTCAACTCCCTCCAAAGATTTTCTATGGGGTTGAGATCTGGAGACTGTCTAGGCCACTCCAGGACCTTGAAATGCTTCTTACGAAGCCACTCCTTCGTTGCCCGGGCGGTGTGTTTGGGATCATTGTCATGCTGAAAGACCCAGCCACGTTTCATCTTCAATGCCCTTGCTGATGGAAGGAGGTTTTCACTCAAAATCTCACGATACATGGCCCCATTCATTCTTTCCTTTACACGGATCAGTTGTCCTGGTCCCTTTGCAGAAAAACAGCCCCAAAGCATGATGTTTCCACCCCCATGCTTCACAGTAGGTATGGTGTTCTTTGGATGCAACTCAGCATTCTTTGTCCTCCAAACACGACGAGTTGAGTTTTTACCAAAAAGTTATATTTTGGTTTCATCTGACCATATGACATTCTCCCAATCCTCTTCTGGATCATCCAAATGCACTCTAGCAAACTTCAGACGGGCCTGGACATGTACTGGCTTAAGCAGGGGGACACGTCTGGCACTGCAGGATTTGAGTCCCTGGCGGCTGATGGTAGGCTTTGTTACTGATGGTAGGCTTTGTTACTTTGGTCCCAGCTCTCTGCAGGTCATTCACTAGGTCCCCCCGTGTGGTTCTGGGATTTTTGCTCACCGTTCTTGTGATCATTTTGACCCCACGGGGTGAGATCTTGCGTGGAGCCCCAGATCGAGGGAGATTATCAGTGGTCTTGTATGTCTTCCATTTCCTAATAATTGCTCCCACAGTTGATTTCTTCAAACCAAGCTGCTTACCTATTGCAGATTCAGTCTTCCCAGCCTGGTGCAGGTCTACAATTTTGTTTCTGGTGTCCTTTGACAGCTCCTTGGTCTTGGCCATAGTGGAGTTTGGAGTGTGACTGTTTGAGGTTGTGGACAGGTGTCTTTTATACTGATAACAAGTTCAAACAGGTGCCATTAATACAGGTAACGAGTGGAGGACAGAGGAGCCTCTTAAAGAAGAAGTTACAGGTCTGTGAGAGCCAGAAATCTTGCTTGTTTGTAGGTGACCAAATACTTATTTTCCACCATAATTTGCAAATAAATTAAAAAAAATCCTACAATGTGATTTTCTGGATTTTCTTTTCTGAATTTGTCTGTCATAGTGGACGTGTACCTATGATGAAAATTACAGGCCTCTCTCATCTTTTTAAGTGGGAGAACTTGCACAATTGGTGGCTGACTAAGTACTTTTTTTCCCCACTGTAAATAACCTTTCCTGTATCCGATACTACGACACCTTTTTTATATGCAAGGGGAGGTCCTCAGGACTAAATTATACTGAACAAAAATATAAACGCAACATGTAAAGTATTGGAACCATGTTTCATGAGCTGAAATAAAAGATCCCAGAAATGTTCCATAAGAACACATTTGTTTACATCCATGTTAGTCAGCATTTCTTCTTTGCCAAGATAATCCATCCACCTGACAGGAGTGGCATATCAAGAAGCTTGATATGATTAAACAGCATGATTATTACACAGGTGCACCTTGTGCCGGGGACAATAAAAGCCCACTAAAATGTGCAGTTTTGTCACAACACAATTCCACAGATGTCTCAAGTTTTGAGGGAGCGTGCAATTGGCATGCTGATTGCAGGAATGTCCACCAAAGCTGTTGCCAGATAATTGACTGTTCATTTCTCTACCATAAGCCGCCTCCATTATTGTTTTAGAGAATTTGGCAGTACGTCCAACTGGCCTCACAACCGCAGACCACGTGTATGGCGTCGTGTGGGCGATCGGTTTGCTGATGTCAACGTTGTGAACAGAGTGCCCCATGGTGGTGGTGGGGTTTGGTATGGATAGACATAAGCTACGGACAACAAACACAATTGCATTTTATCGATGGCAATTTGAATGCACAGATACCGTGACGAGGCCCATTGTCATGCCATTCATCCGCATCCATCACCTCATGTTTCAACATGGTCAATGCACGGCCCCATGTCGCAAGGATCTGTACACAATTCCTGGAAGCTGAAAATGTCCTAGTTCTTCCATGATCTGCATACTCACCAGACATGTCAGCCATTGAGCATGTTTGGGATGCTCTGGATCAACGTATACGACAGCTTGTTCAAGTTCCCGCCAATATCCAGCAACTTCGCACAGCCATTGAAGAGGAGTGGGACAACATTCCACAGGCCACAATCAACAGCCTGATCAACTCAATGCGAAGGAGATGTGTCGCGCTGCATGAGGGAAATGGTGGTCACACCAGATACTGACTGGTTTTCCGATCCATGCCCCTACTTTAAAAAAAAAGGTATCTGTGATGAACAGCTGCATATCCCCGTCATGTGATATCCATAGATTAGGGCCTAATGAATTTATTTAAATTTACTTTTTCCCCCTTATATGAACTATAACTCAGTAAAGTCTTTGAAATTGTTGCATAATACACAGGTTCTTTGCATCAGGGAGCATGGGAATAAATAGGTATAATACAAAAATAGATTTTATTTCACAATAGGACTAGTAGAAAGCTTAGGCCTCAATCACACCTACTGCGTCATTGCATTTTGGTACACCAGAAGTACATTCATGCGTCAAACTATGCTTTGACGGCTTGACAGAAATGGTAGCAGAAGGTGCATGTTGAACTTTTGTTGCACACATATCCAGATGATGCTGCGTAACATTTAGCGCAATGAAGCTTTAGTTGTGATCAAGGCGTTAGATTTGGACAATATCTTCAGCGCCTAGCGCTTCGGCACGGTGTCTGCTGACAAAAAATCATCATAGTTATCACAATAATCATTGTCATTGATTATTCAATAATCACGTCTAAGTATCATAATACATTTACGTTCTGATTATCTGGCCAACACAATAAATTCATACCAATTCAATATCGAGGAAGGCGCTCAAGGGAGAAGGAGAACAGCTACCAGTGAAGAGGGGCACACCTTGCCATAGACGCTTACAATTTGGGTCACAGTAGAATTAGGATTACACCAGCCTGTACAATCGTAAGGGGATCCCCCGAAACAAAGGGTAAAGCACAGCTTTTATACCTGGGCATGGCAGCCACGCCATTAATTGACAATTGCCTACACCTGGCACTGAGAGAGGCAGCGTTTTAACACATTCACAGTTCGACCCTGTTACACACATGTTCAGAGGTACAATAATAACACAACAAGGAATTGGCTAAACAAGGGCCTTGTTGTATTCTAACATGGCATGTGTGTCTGTGAAAGTTCACCTTTGGATACTCTAATAAGGCACAGACATAAAGGCAAGGCCAGGACGGAGAGGACGGAGAGGAGGAAAGAGAACAGAGAGAAAACAAGGATGACGCATGCCGACCAATGCACCGCTGGAACGTAAGTCGCTTATAATGTGATAGCTATACTTTGACTTTCTCTGATGTCACTACTATGGAAGTATATTGCAGTTCAACATTTGTTCGCAGCCATATCAGTGAGACCCAGCTTCTCTCTTTAGGTGTGGCGCTATGTGCAGAGATCGCCCCCTGGCCCACTGGATGTGGCACTGCCACTGGGTTGTCTTCAGTGTGTATCTGGTAGTGCTCTGCTGTGTGGTTCTACTGATTATCCTCTTCTGGCTTGGTCCTGAACGTCTGCTGTGAAAGACAAATATATTTTCTGGTGATGAGCTTCAACACAAACACATCCTGAAGGAGACAGACATACAAAGCACTTCCTGGTTCTGACCTGGCTTCTGATTGGTCATTGAACAGCTTCACCCAATAAACATTCCTATTTCATGGAGTTGAAAGAATCACCATGTCTCAATTCTGTGATTAATCAATGTAAGTATGACAATGTCTTAGTTTGCATGTAGTGGCAGAAGTAACATGCTGGTGTTGTCTTTTTTGTGTGCAAACTGTCACATGGTGTGTGCCTGAGTTTTAAAATATGTTAATGATATTGCTATTATGATATTTTATATTGACTAGAAACAAATGCCTCTGCAAATGAATCTCTCTAAAAAGAAATGGCACTTGACAATCAGTAATATAAACTATTTTTATTAAAAATATACAAACAATATCAAAACTGATATACAATCAACTGGTTAGTACCACAACAAAACCGCAATGCAGTGAAAACATCCAACACAATCATGCTTCAAACCAACCACTTAGAAACAAAGGCATCTTAGGTTAATATAAATGAATAGTTTTAACAGGTTAACATTCAGCTTATTTCATGTTATTGTTAGTCTACTACAGGAGAAACAGCAATTTTCTAGCATTTTCTAACACTATTTTCAAAAATAATATTAAAAATGATATAATAAAAGAATATTAAGGATTTAGTGATAGTTACAGGTAACTGCCCAAAGGCGCATTGAAGCTGTTCTGGTGGCTCGTGGTGACCCAATACCCTATTAAGACACTATGTTAGTGTTTCCTTTATTTTGTCAGTTACCTGTATATTGTGCATATACTACTTAAGGAAACATCTTAAGTTAATAGATAGAGAAAGAAAACAAAGATAGAGTCTAGACATTTTATTAAATAAATAAATTATTATATTAGGAATGCCGTAACTTCATTTGGAACCTAGGTGAACCTTGTTGTGCAAATATGTGTACCAGACACAGAGTCTACAGTAAGCAGTAATTTTGAAATGTTAATGTCAGTTACAAATTAATGAAATTTGTTACAGAAAAACGTATGATATTTAACCTGTAGAAAATAATCAAATTGACTCACCATTTCAACCTTCTTTTAAAAATAAAATAAATAAACTGGCAAAGTGCCTTACAAAGACATGACACTTGCTTTACATAAAGCATTAAATAAAATACATAGGTCACAAGTGGTAGAGCTAGGTGCTTATCATGGTACCCAAATACCCATGGAGCAAAGGTCTTCTTCTGCATTTTGTCAAGGACAGTTGTCCCTCATCAGGGACAAAGAGTATAATCTCACAGAGAGTCCATTGACTCAATAAATACAGACATACTCAATAGAGATGGTCCTTCCGTCCTCGTGTGTAGCATAGCATACTGCAGTAGGGCAACTCCCCCTGGTTACAGCCAGAGCCATATACTGTATAGATATACATATCATTCTGTACCGTATATATGGCTGTGGTTACACCTGGCTAATGATCTCTGAGTCCTCTTCAACAAACCACTGCACTGGAGTTCCATCTGCAGCCCTCTGGAGGATCACCTTTTGGTGGGGACCCTGAAACACAACACATTGAATTAATGTTCATTACATTCACATTCCTTTAGTTCCATATCTATATGTTTTAATATATAAATGGGAGATGCTAGTTATGCTAAGATAAATGTGTGTTATGCTGGTGAGTGTTAGAGGGCATTGTCACCTGCATGTAGGGTGGGAGGTGAGGGGACGTGGGTCTCTTTACTCTGAACGACCCCTGGCGCTCCAGGGAACCCAGGCGTGACTTCTGGAACTGATTCTGGAACTGGTTCTGATTCTGGAACTGGTTCCGCTGGTGCCAGCACTTGAGCTCCTCTGACACCATCTCCCTGGGCAGCACCCGGGCGGGGTGGTTGGGGTACTCCCTCAGTGACGGGGTACGTACGAGATGGGTGTAGGGGGGTGGGGGCTTCAGAACTCGCCTGGGGGATGACGGTGGGGGCCCCTGTCCCTCCTGCTGCCAGTGCCTGTGCTGGGGGGCCTTAGAGGGGGAAAGGTAGAGATCTCTCCCCAAGGGACTGTCCAGGTCCTGCGGGGAAAGAGGGGAACAGGGGCCTTCCTCCGCCATTCTTGTTCTCAAGCTGGGAGAGGACTGGTGCTGGTTGTTGTTCTTGTAAAAGCTGGGGCTGTTGGAGCCATTGAACGCAGGGCTGGTGGGACTTTGGGCTCCGTAGTGGAAGCCGTAGGGAGGAGGGCAGAGCTTGGGGATCTCAGTGGGTGCGGGGCCCTCCCTGTCTATGTGATTATCTCTGTCGCTGTCCTGGCTGGGGGAGCTGGTGTAGGAGGGGACAGAGTGTTCAGAGCTGCTGTCCTCAGAGCTGGACTGGTACAAGCGCTGGGGGGAGTACTGTGGAGACTGAACCAGGAACTCCGGCCGTCGGCGTGGCAACTTGGCTCGCCCACGTCCCTCACCCAGGTCATGAGTGGGCTTACTTTTAGGAAGTCTGAGAAGAGGAAAATAGACGGGAGGAAAAAAGTGAGCTACTGTGATGCAACTTGTGTATGTCTCTATAACGTGCATTAATAAAGCAACTTCATTATTAAATGTATTCTAGTCAATGTATTTTATTAATATAATTGATGTTACTTATGACAAATCCACAACCAAAGTCCACAACAATAGACACACAAGAAGACACAATAAAGGTAATCAACACAGTCATGTTGCTATGTTGTTTACGTTCTGTGTTATAGTGTTGGTATCCTGCGTTATGGTGTTGGCATTCTGCGTTATGCTGTTGACATTCTGCGTTATGGTGTTGACATTCTGCGTTATGGTGTTGACATTCTGCATTATGGTGTTGACGTTCTGAAGCATTGATTGTTTACCTGAAGGACTGTGAGTACTGTCTGCGCATGTGCAGCTCTGGAGTAGAGGGGGCGCTGGAGGAGTGGGTCTGTCCATGTCTCAGAGCCAGATTCTTAATGGAGGGGAAGTGGGAGGGCAGGACTCTACTGTCTGCAGGGAACACTGGGGTCCCTTTTGGACTGCTGCTCCGGGAAAGAGGGACAGAGAGAGGGGGCAGGGCAGGAGTTAAACAACTGTTAGTTGAAAAGTAGTGCAGTATATGTAGTCAAAAGCAAATAGCTTTTTATGGGGTTCTGGGCAGAACAAATATTTTAGTAGTGAAGTAGGACCTGCACAGTCAGCTGCTCCACCTATTAGTCCACAGCGTTTCAATCCAAAAAGGACGAGGACCCTTACCTGGACCTGCTGCTGCAGGCAGAGAGGGGTTTGTTGGGTCTTAGGTAGGGCTGGTCCAGGCTAGACTCTCTCCAGGGGGAGTTCTGGATGGGAGAGCGTTCAGGGTACTCCACACTGCAGCTGGAGCCCATCATGGAGGTCTGGGTCTGCTCCACACTGCAGCTGGAGACGAGGCTCTGGCCGGAGGTGTGTTGGAGACTGCCCTGGGAGGACGAGGACTGGAGGGACAGGGAGCCCACAGAGGATTGCAGGAGAGGGTCTACAGACACTGAGGGAGAGAGAGGGCCAGAGCCAACGTCTATGGATATACAGAGGAGACATAATACTAAGAGTCAGACATGACACTTTGGAGGAGTTGAATTGCATTGGCATTTCTACTGTGTTAGTTGATAACTCACCATCGTCCAGGGCCACTGCATCAGACAGGGAGCTGTCATCAGACATGCACAGATCTGGGGACAAAAAAAGCTTTATTCAAGACTTTATTCAATTAGGGGAAGGGGTTGGGAAATTATCAACATTGTAGTGTAATTCTTATGAAATGTACTGCTTTTGTGATTCAATAACAAAACAACTGTGTTTAAAAAAGACAATCCATCCATCCAACCTCCATCGGACTGAGTGAGAACGTAACCTAGCCCCCCTGCAGATTGCAGAGCCCAATGTGGCCAGATTGGTGCAGCAGTAGCAAATGCACAGCACTCACCTCTGTGTTTGGCTGAGTTATTCTTCTTGTTATTTGGTGGAGAGGAGCACTCCTTCCTGATCCTGTGCTGAAACACAGCTTCCTGTAGATCCTTGACTTTCTTCTCCTCCCTCTTGCACTGCTGCAGCCTGCTCTTCTTCTGTGGTTTGGACAGGTGCTCCTCCACTGAGAGTCTACGAGCCGCTTCAACGATCTGGAGCTGCAAGGCCAGGTCAGCTTCTAGGGAGTGGAGCTCTGAATCCTGTGGAGAGAGAGAGGGTTTTTAGCTTAGATCAGGGGTCGAGAACCCAAATAACAGGAAGAGCAATTATTTCAAGACATTGAGAGATGTTGGCACACCTGGCTGCAGTTCAAATGAAACAAAACCTAATTGAGTAGCCTATACTGTACCTCTCCATCCTGGTGTATGAGTCTGTCGTCCAGTTTGAAGGACGCTCCTATTCTCCTACGAACGCAAGGGGGCTTCTCATCAGGCTGCAGAGGGTAGTCTGACGGCAGTTTTCCTGTCAGCTCCTGTAAATAAAGCAAATCCCGAATCCAAGTTGATTTGTTTGTAAACACACACTTCTTATATCTTAACCACCAACTCTAAATGTAGAAGAGGTGATTTGGAATCATGTTCTCATGATCACGTTCCCAAATGTCACCTCAAACTTGGTCTAATGGTTAAGACCTTGTGTTGACTAGAACCCCTCATTCCAGTGTGACTACTCACAGCCTCTCTGATGCAGAGTTTCTTGATTTCCAGTAGACACAGTTCCAGTTTCTCCTCCAGAACCTGATGCTTCAGCCTCATGGCCCGGGTGTGAGTGGTCAAGTCCTTGACCGGCGATGTGGGGCTGTCGGGACCTGCATCGCACATTGGAGATGATGTTAATGGAGCTTTTCAAACAGAGCACAGGCCCCCTTATAGGCATCACATGGTGCCACATTCTGAGCTTTTATCACAAAATTAACGATCGTTATGGATTATAGATATTTTAGCTACATATGTAGGATCTTAATTTGATCACCCTGTTGCAGGATAATTTTAATGCCATAGAGGAAATGTACAATTTATAGCGTATTTGAGGTTTAAAAAGGCTTCTGAAGTTTGTAATTTCCACTTTTAAATTTCAGACTTGATTCTACCTTATGAAAAATATTTAGGTCTCAGCATTAATAATCTGTTCAGTGCTTTCTATAAAGTTTTATATCTGCACCTAGATCTAAAGTTCAGCATTGTTGATGTGTAAGCTCTTACCAGAGTTGAGAATGATCCCACTGTCAGTGTCACTGATCTCCTCTTTATGCATCTCCTCTTTATCCATCATGACTGTTGGAAGGTCTTCTTCACAGTGTTAAAAAAATACCTGTTGGAAAAGAGTTAAATAGTTTAATCAGATTGTATAAATGATCATTATTCACAAAAAAACATATCCAACGTTTAGATCACTCAGGAAAGTGAAAAATTGCTTCACCTAAAAAACTATTACGAAATATTGCACAATCATCCGTTTCCACCCCTGATGCTAAATGTCTCTTTAAACACTGATTTACTCCCCACTAGTGAAACCCCCATCTCTCTCTTCCCCCTCCTTCCATCCTCTTCTCCCCTGTTCTCCTATCACAATAGGAAGCAGCCCCTACGCTTGACTCGGCACATGTGCGAGGGGACCAGGGGTTAATCCCAAACTGGTCGCCATGGCGACGGTCACAGGGCGCACCACCATTCTCCAGAAGGGTGTGTGTTGTGTGTCGCCGTGAGGTGTGTCAGAGGGTGTTTAAAGGGACGGACCCACAAAAACACCCAAAAGAAAGCAGATGGCTGCAGGGCAAGGGAATTACCCCTCTTAGGGACTGCACCTGTTCCCCCCTCCCAAAGTCTCACACACACACATAGACGCACACACACCCTCCGACAGCTCTCCATTCAATCGGTGTCCAGAGAAACAACCTTCAAGGGGCTTTTGAAGTAGAAGAATGTCTCAATGCTTAGCCTGTCTCTGTAGCATCAGACAGCTCACATAAAGCCACTGGAGAGTCATGATATGGCACATCTCTGATTTCACTGACACATTCTCACACTGTAGAACGCATTTAAAATGTGTGTGTGCAACTCATGTTTATGGCCTATTCAATAATCTGCCACTTTATATACTGTAGGTTGTCCTTGGACGTTACGTTGAGATATTGAAGCTAACCCAAGAGTCTAAAAGTGACTTATAAAGCCAAGCAAAGGGTATAGAACAGCATGTTGAAAATCATGTTTGCGTTCTAAAGATGTAGGATCTTAATTTGATCACTATGTTGTTGCTGAGAATTTTCCTGCACATCAGGAAACGCTAACTTGTAGTGTATTCAAGGTTTAAAAAGGCTTCTAACGTTTGTCATTTCTACTTTAAAAAGTCAGACTTGATTTGCCCTAATGAAAAATGTATCAACTACAAAAAATGTCCATTAATTATAATCCACATCATTTCCTGTTTCTGCAGAATTATTTTCCTGCTGTAGCAAACTGGCTCAAATTAAGATCCTACATCTGTATAGCAGGAGAAGAGGTGAAGGCTGACTCATTGACAGAGTTGATTCCCATGTCATCTGACATGGGTTGGGGGGAGTTGAGGAAGTTAGCTAAGGATAAGACTAGAAAAATCTTTATTTAGTTTCTAGGTGAATAACTGTATTTTCATTCACGTGTCTGTCATCAGTTGTAGCTGTCCCTCTCCTCTCCTCCACATTTCAGCAGATCACAAAGGACCTCTTTATGGCAGCTAACAAGATTATAAAATACCATTACATCCCTTGTAACAGGTCAGTAGTCCAAGTGTGCATCTGAAATGGCACCCTACTCTGTTCAAAGGTTGTGCACTATTTAGGGAATTGGATACCATTTCAGGGAATAGGATACCATTTCGGACACAACCTAAGACCTTTACAACACAGGAAATAACTTTAGACTGGGCAGCTATTGGGGCTGGTGACATGCATCTTCTGTATCTATGTCTAAAAACACAACTTGAGTATGTCAACGGGCAGAAGGAACTCATGCAGCGCATGTCTCTATACACATTCAGGTCATGTAGCCTTAGCTGCTGTGGGTGACCAAGTCCAAGTAATCCACTGGTCCTATGTACAGCAGTGATGTTTAGAGATGGGTATCAGGCCTGTTCCTGTAGGGATCATGAGAAACCCCTGGCCAGGATGTTATTATGTTGAATCCCACTGGCTGGGTCGGCCCATATCGGCCCATCCTATGTCCATTCAGTATAGTAAGTCATGTGGACTGATGCAGCTTTGAGAAAGCCAGAGCAGCACAATGAGTGAACAGCATGCTATAGTCTACCGCTGTTGGCTGAAAACACAGAGGCAAACAAAGGCCCTGTATCCCCTGAATCCAGCCACCAGTGTACATAATCTACTGTGGGTTCAATAACTGCTGACACCTCTGGATGGGCTGGATCCAGCTCCAGCCGAGGAGGAGTGGTGGTTTGCTGGGCCCAACAGTGAGACAACAGAGCAGGAGGAGGAGAGGGGAAAGGAAAGGAACAGGGCTGAGTGGCTGAGGTAGGGGCCTACAGTGAGACAGTGGAAGGAAGAGGAACTCTAGCCTTGAATGAAAACTGATATGAGCAGAAACAGTGCACGTTCAGAGCATATCATTTTCGATTTCAGGCTAGAATACCTCCTCTCAAAGAGAGGAAATGAACAGGTCTGAGTCTGAGTGGAGTGAGGTAGGGGAATTCAGACTCCCTGACTCAGCCACATGAATAATATCAAACTGAGACGGCAACAGGAACTCAGGAACTGGCTAATCAGACGCAGGCAGGCAGAGGCTGGGTAATGTGGTATTTTGCCCAGTTACACCCAATAACTCTCCTAAGACTTTCACAAAGTCTGTGGTTACCTGGAGCCTATGTCTACTGAGTGGGTGGGTGGGAGGGTGGGGTTGGGATCCAGCATCATTCAGGCCCTTTCTAGAAGTTGTAAACTTATGCCAAAACATACAGCATTTGCCATATAGAACTTGAAGCTCTCGACCCACTCTACTACAGCCCCGTCGATGTGAATGAGGGCATCCTTGGCCCTCCGTTTCCTGTAGTCCACTATCAGCTCCTTTGTCTTGCTCACGTTGAGGAAGAGGTTATTGTCCTGGCACCACACTGCCAAGTCTCTGACCTCCTCCCTATAGGCTGTCTCATCGTCGTTGGTGATCAGGCCTACCACCGTCGTGTGGTCTGCAAACTTAACGATGGTGTTGGGAGTTGTGCGGGCCACACAGTCGTGGGTGAACAGGGAGTACAGGAGGGGTTTAAGCACGCACCCCTGAGGGGCCCTCGTGTTTACATTTTTAGTCATTTAGCAGACGCTCTTATCCAGAGCGACTTACAGTTAGTGAGTGCATAAATTTTTCATACTGGCCCCCCGTGGGAATCGAACCCACAACCCTGGCATTGCGAACGCCATGCTCTACCAACTGAGCTACACGGGCGGATGTGTTGTTGCCTACCCTCACCCCCTGGGGGCGGCCCATCAGGAAGTCCAGGATCCAGTTGCAGAGGGAGGAGTTCAGTCCCAGGGTCCTTAGCTTAGTGATGAGATTGGAGGGCACTATGGTGTTGAACACTGAGCTGTAGTCAATGAACAGCATTCTCACGTAGGTAGTCTATTCCCAAGGCATTGCCGTCATCATACTGACATTTAATGTTGCCATAGTCTTCATACTGTATATGAGTATGATTGTTTAAAACATAGCGTGAGGACTGAGGGGCGAAAATGTGAAAATCAACAAATCACTCCATTGAAGTATTACCATTACCTGATGCTCCACCCTATAGTACAGATCATGACTTCATTGCTGTTGTAATAACAAGCTAATTACACCAGTCCTGTGATGATGATCACAGCAAACGACGACAGCTATCTAAGGAGGGTTTCTAAGTATAGCGGCTTACTGTTACACCCATCCTCATTCCTCTCTGATCGCTGGACCATGAAAACAAAGCATCTAACAGGAAACGGTTTGTTTATAGGAGGAGAGGATGATGGTGAGGATTCACTGTCTGTCTCCCAGACTTTCCCTTTTATCCACCATCCATTCCCATGAGCCTCTGGAAGAGAGAGTGTGTGTGTGTGTGTGTTTGTGAGCCTCTGGGATTCTCCTGGAATGTAGCCCACCATCATTGCCATTACCACTGTGGTCGGGTCTAGGCTGCTGGAATTACCAACGGGGGCTAGCTACCCTAGGAAACAGTGAGGGGTGTGTGTGTGTATGTGTGTACGTGTGCATGTGTGTTCAACTGAAACCAAACCAGGCCTATGTGAAGCCTGTAATTAAGATTCTCTAGTGAATGCTGATACTATGGAAGAAACCAAACGACTTTACAGTATGTCTGATTTCAGAGGCTGGTCAACAGCCAACATCCATTCAGCAAAATGGATCCATTCTGTTCTGTCTGTATATATGAGAGAGATTCTTTCTTTGATCATCTTCTTGACCAAAAGTCAAAACATGTATTCATCAACATAGTAGTTAAACAATGGGCAGAGATGGGAAAGATGCACATCTAAAACTCCACAACCATAGAATTAGAATGGGCATTCTAAGGTCATTCATTCTAATCCTATGACCATAACAAGGAACGGAAAGGGGGATACCTAGTCAGTTGTACAACTGAATGCATTCAACTGAAATGTGTCTTCCGCATTTATCCCAACCCCTCTGAATCAGAGTGGTGCGTGGGGCTGCCTTAATTGACATGTCATCGGTGCCCAGAGAACAGTCGGTTAACTGCCTTGCTCAGGGGCAGAACGACAGATTTTTACCTTGTCAGCTCGGGGATTCGATCCAGCAACCTTTCGGTTACTGGCCCAACGCTCCTACCAGCCAGAGATGGGAGCGAACAAATCAGCACAGTGATGATTGATCATCTTTCATCTAAATGAAACTCTAATCCCAAGCCAAAGTCCATCAATACTATACTAGATACTAGCAACATGTTTCCTATATCAACTTCCATTCAGAACTGTGTCATCATTATTAGAGGCTTAGTTTTCCAATGGAGACAATAATAAACTTGCGGTAATGAGCAACACACACTTGCCTGGTCCCTGGCAGTGGAGGCCATATGCTAGCCAGACACAGCACCTCTGTTGCAGACCAAAGACAACATAAATACAGATACCATAGAAGAGATCCTCCATTGTTCTCCAAGATCAAGACACATGGCTCTCTTTGACTCTCCGGGCCTCAAGACGACTTAATAGTGGTCAACCCCTGTAAATTATGGTAACAGGATGTGTGACTGACTGACTTAGCTTCTTCGCCTATTCATAGTGTCTCCGGTTCTTTTCCTTTACCCCATGTCAATTGTCAAATCATCCATGTGCTTGTCACTAGTAACACATTCAGCTTTGCAAATACTGAGGAAGAATTAACACTGAGGTGTTATAGGTCAGTAGGAGTTGTTTGTCAACAATTTCAAACAGACAACTTTATTGTTTAGTGGCAATGGATGCAAACAACACCATTCAACTTTGTAAAAAAAAAAAGACAAAAGGCTTGTTATGTGAGACCATTACATTAGCTACTTTTGTCTCATCTTCCTGTGTTAAATAGCTTTCAACATGTGGCAGGATCTACTCAAGATTGTATCATTGAAATGACTAGTGTGTTGTATAGACTCAACACACTCTCACTGAATAATATACCAGGACTATTGCAGTTTTAATTCTGGGAAGTAAACGTTTAGCAATTGTCATGACTCATAGTTTATCAGACAAATAATAACCATGTAAAATAACAGGATGTCTGAGAGTGACTAATCTAAAGTAAAACATATTTGAGGTCTGAAATGAAGCATACGTTTCAGAGTTCAAAAAGTAATCCTCAGTCACACAGATAAAATGCATTGTAACTCGTATAGCTGCCATATAACATCGAATTATACTTTGTATCTGTTGCCCTGATGGAAAGTTTCTCCCTGTCTACATTGTAACATTGTAACAACCAGAGTGGAATACTCTGTCACTGTAACTGTATTCTCACTTTCCCATATAACAACAATACGTTCATAAAATTCGAATGTTTTTACCTTTTAAACGCGTTGGACCAGCAATCCTGAGGACTTCACAGCATGCTGATTCTTTCTCAAGTCAGATGTGTGATGATCATTGGGGGGGGGGGGGGGGGGGCGGCGTTCCGTTCTCTGGTGGGACATCTGTCCTCGGATCATACCATTCTTTGGAACGAGAGAGGGGTGTCTCACTTGAGCTGTGGGTTTAGTTTCCCAAATGCAAATGTTTTTCCCAAATGCAAATTCGTTTTTCGTGGATCAACTGCTGTGAGTTGTGAATTTTACAGACCTTTTATTTTACGGGGTGTAGTTTCTGAACGATTTTTAAAATAAATGTAACTTCATGTTGGATAATTCCCCTTAGAAACATTTTCAATCGAGAGCATTTTTTTCTCAGGACACGCTCTGCCCCATTGACACAGCACACCCCATTGACACAGCACACGACACCCGAAGGGGGGACATTATAATAGAGAAGAATAGCTGGAGGAAAGAAAAGTTTGGGGGAGAGGCAGAGGCGAGTGCCGGCGGACAGCTGGCTGGTAGGAGTGTGATGGAGCCTGTATCTTGAATAATAGCATTAGCCTTACAGCCCACTGGCTTGAATGCGTGACATGCATCCAAAATCTAACTTTTACAATGCTGTATTTTGACTATAGTTTTCTCAGATGAATGAGTAATATAAGCATTTACTTAGTCACCCAAGGAGGTTGATGGATTGTAGAATATATTTAAATTAAATAAGCAACCCATGTTACCCCCACCCCCAGACCCGCGGGCATCCCTTTACTGCCGGGGCGGGGAGGGTAGAGGGAGAGCATGTCGCTACAGCTTCCCCTCCCCCCCACCCCTCATCCTTCCAGATGGCCAGTTTTTTTCGTTCATCCCGTGATGGAATGAAAAGATCAGCCAATGAAGTCCCATATCCATGTGAATGACCGCAGTGAGAGGGAACAGTTGTGGGAAGGAGAGCTGCCCAAGTATCGATTCTCAAAGTTGTTGTCCCTGTAGATTCTAGAACACAAGGGTTATTGAAAGGGAACCTTTGTAATCCTGGAAATCTTTATTATCTTCTTGGTAAACACATTGCTTAAAAAGAAAAGGAGCAACAAGAACAGGCAAACAATTAAATTAAACGAATAGGACTAATACACATAACATCTGTCATTGGGGGTTTAGCTATGAGTGACAACTGATGCTTTAATGACAAAATCCAGAGTTCCAGTCACTGTCATGTGTCCAATAGTGGAGTAACCTATACTTAATTTATGATATTTGAAATAAATAAACAAACCCCAAAATTAACACACTTACACTATGCTGCTGTAAACCAAGTGCTTGACTTGATTTGTTGATTTTAGTCATTTAGCAGACGCTCTCATCCAGAGCGATTTACAGTTAGTGAGTGCATACATTTTTCATACTGGCCCCCCGTGGGAATCGAACCCACAACCCTGGCGTTGCAAGCGCCATGCTCTACCAACTGAGCTACAGCTATGCTGCTGTAAACCAAGTGCTTGACTTGAATTCAGACTTCAAAACAAAAACGTTATCTAGTAAATTATAAAAAATATACTTAGAAAAACTATTAATCTATTCATAAAGAACAAAATATTTGTCCTGTACACATAATTTACAGTAGACCTATGCACTTTCCCTCACATTCTCTTAATGAAACCTATTGACCAGTTCCTACATTGCTTTATATTTATCACACATTTTCTAAATTTTCTTCTTCTTTATTAGCTTTTTCACAAAGTATAAACAGTCCAGCAAGAGATGCATATCAGTCCCAGTAGTAGTCTTTTCAGTAACTTGCTGCAGTGAAGTTGACCATCATCATATAGCTGTAGGTTATGGGGCGCAGTGGAGGCTGGTGGAGGGCGAAACAGGAGGGTGGTCTCATTGTAATGGCAGAACCATTGTGTTGAGGGAGGCGTGGAAGTGCACTCTTTGGACTCTTGGGTGAAGAAACGGGCCGCAGCCAGGGCCTTTGTAGTGGGAGGCTGCGAGGGGTGATGGGAGGGGACCGAGCATCATGTGGCCTTCATTGCCCAGACACCTTTGTGCGCCTCAGGTTGTCCTTCACACGAACAAACTCAGGGACTCCTTCCTCCTTCTCCTCCCGACGCCTGATCTCCTCCTGCTCATACTGAAACACAACAGTAGATTCATTTCAGACACTTCATTTTACATGTATATTTCGTTAATTTAGCAGACGCTCTTATCCAGTGCGACTTACAGTAGTGAGTGCATACATTTTCATACTGGTCCCCCGTGAGAATCGAACCCACAACCCTGGCGTTGCAAGCGCCATGCTCTACCAACTGAGTCACACGGCATCCCAATTTTTTTTTTTTTCTCAAACATGGTCATAGCCTATTTTTGTAAATACACAATTTGTTTATCCCCTTACTGTTATTACTGTTTAATTACATAGTGTGTGTGTGTGTGTGTGTTACCTCCAGCAGTATCTGCTGTCTCTTGCGTAGCTCAGTCTCCAGTTCTAAAGGAGGCCGTAGAGCCAGTTCCTGCTCTCTATGCTGCTCCAGCCTCCTTTGTTCCAGGACTCGCTTCAGCTCAGGCTTCTCTCCCGGTAACAGGCCTCTAAAGGGGCACAACATACTACATATTCAGACCTATTCACACTACTGAGCCAAGCAAAGCTGAGCTGTACTGTGCCGGCCTGGTTTGCATCCACCATAGTTGCTAGGCCATGCAGGCACAGCTTGCTCTGTGCTGTGCCAAGCTGTACCTGCATGTCTGGCTACAATGTGAAAATAAAATATCCGAGCCAGAAGAGTACGGTTCGATTTGGCATGGTTGTGTGAACAGGGTATGACATACACTGTCCTCAGGCCTCAGTGTATATCACGTTAACTGGAATGTCACTGTAATGTCATTACAGTATGTATGTGCCCTGCCATGAGGCAGACAGAGACATAAATATAACTTCAAATGAATGCACACACACACACACACACACTACAACTGGGAATAAAAGCACCATCATTTACATTTTCACATTTACATTTTAGTCATTTAGCAGACGCTCTTATCCAGAGCGACTTACAGGAGCAATTAGGGTTAAGTGCCTTGCTCAAGGGCACATTTACGTCATTTAGCAGACGCTCTTATCCAGAGCGACTACAAATTGGTGCATTCACCCTATAGCCAGTGGGATAACCACTTTACAATTATACTTTTTTTTTTTTGGGGGGGGGGGGGGGGGGGGGTAGAAGGATTACTTTATCCTATCCTATTTAGTTACCAATACTGTTTATCCCACACACACAATTACACTATATGGCCAAAAGTAGGTGGACACCTGCTCGTCGAATATCTAATTCCAAAAATCATGGGCATTAAAATGGAGTTGGTCCCCCCTTTGCTGCTCTAACAGCCTCCACTCCTCTAGGAAGGCTTTCCACTAGATGTTGGAACATTGCTGCGGGGACTTGCTTCCATTCAGCTTCAAGAGCATTAGTGACGTCAGGCACTGATGTTGGACGATTAGGCCTGGCTTGCAGTCCGCGTTAGAATTAATCCCAAAGGAGTTCGATGGGGTTGAGGTCAGGACTCTGTGCAGGCCAGTCAAGTTCTTCCACACCGATCTCAACAAACCATTTCTGTATGGACCTCGCTTTGTGCACAGGGGCATTTTCATGCTGAAACAGGAAAGGGCATTCCCCAAACTGTTGCCACAAGGCCCCTTAGTTCAAGTGAAGGGAAATCTTAACGCTTCAGCATACAATTACATTCTAGACAATTCTGTGCTTCCAACTTTGCCACGAACTAAGGGGCCTAGTCCAAACCATGAAAAACAACCGCAGACCATTATTCCTCCTCCACCAAACTTTACAGTTGGCACTACGCATTGGGGCAGGTAGTTTTCTCCTGGCATCCGCCAAACCCAGATTTGTCCGTCGGACTACCAGATGTTGAAGCGTGATTCATCAATCCAGAGAACGCGTTTCCACTGCTCCAGATTCCAATGGCGGCGAGCTTTACACCACTCCAGCTGATGCTTGGCATTGCGCATGGTGACCTTAGTCTTGTGTGCGGCTGCTCGGCCATGGAAACCCATTTCATGAAGCTCCAGACGAACAGTTCTTGTGCTGACGTTGCTTCTAGAGGCAGTTTGGAACTCGGTAGTGAGTGTTGCAACTGAGGAGAGACTATTTTTACGTGCTACGCACTTAGGCACTCGGCGGTCCCGTTCTGTGAGCTTGTGTGGCCTACCACGTTGCAGCTGAGCCGTTGTTGCTCCTAGATGTTTCCACTTCACAATAACAGCACTTACAGTTGGAAAGGTGGCATCCTCTGACAGTGCCACGTTGAAAGTCACTGAGCTCTTCAGTACGGGCCATTCTACTGCCAATGTTTGTCTATGGAGATTGCATGGCAGTGTGCTCGATTTTATACTACTGTCAGCAACGGGTGTGGCTGAAATAGCCAAATCCACTCATTTGGCCATGTAGTGTTTCTAAACCATTAATTTTGTTTATGCGTTGGCAGATGTGATCTTTCTTAAAACTTTGGAGACATTTGGAAAGTATTCAGACCCCTTGACTTTTTCCACATTTTGTTAAGTTTCAGCCTTATTCTAAAATGGATAAAATAAATTCCTCAATCTACACACAACACCCCATAATGACAAAGCAAAAACTGTTTTTTTTTAATTTTTTGGTGCAAATTTATTCCAAATAAAAAACAGAAATACCTTATTTACAAAAAATAAAAAAATCTTATTTGCATAAGTATTCAGACCCTTTGCTATGAGACGCGAAATTGGCCTCAGGTGCATCCTGTTTCCATTGATCAACCTTGAGATATTTCTACAACTTGATTGGAGTCCACTTGTGGTCAATTCAATTGATTGGACATGATTTGGAAAGGCACGGACCTGTCTATAGTGCATTCGGAAAGTAATGGATTACATTTTTCCTTATCAATCTACACACAATACCCCATAATGACAAAGCAAAAACAGGTTGAGACATTTTTGCAAATGTATTAGAAATAACAAAATGAAATATCATATTTACATAAGTATTCAGACCCTTTACTCAGTACTTTGTTGAAGCACCTTTGGCAGTGATTACAGCCTTGAGTTTTCTTGGGTATGACGCTACAAGCTTGGCACACCTGTATTTGGGGAGTTTATCCCATTCTTCTCTGCAGATTCAAGCTCTGTCAGGCTGGATGAGGAGCGTCGCTGCACAGCTATTTTCAGGTCTCTCCAGAGATGTTTGATCGGGTTAAAGTCCGGGCTCTGGCTCAAGGACATTCAGAGACTTGTCCCGAAGCCACTCCTGCGTTTTCTTGGCTGTGTGCTTAGGGTTGTTGCCCTGTTGGAAAGTAAACCTTCGCCCCAGTCTGAGATCCTGAGCGCTCTGGAGCAGGTTTTCATCAAGGATCTCTCTGTACTTTTCTCTGTTCATCTTTCCCTCAATCCTGACTAGTCTCCCAGTCTCTGCCGCTGAAAAACATCCTCACAGCATGATGCTGCCACCACCATGCTTCACCGTAGGGATGGTGCCAGGTTTCCTCCAGACGTCACGCTTGGCATTCAGGCCAAAGAGTTCAATTTCGGTTTCATCACACCAGATAATCTTGTTTTTCATGGTCTGAGAGTCCTTTAGGTGCCTTTTGGCAAACTCCAAGCAGGCTGTCATGTGCCTTTTACTGAGGAGTGGCTTCCGTCTGGCCACTCTACCATAAAGGCCTGATTGGTGGAGTGCTGCAGAGATGGTTGTCCTTCTGGAAGGTTCTCCCATCTCCACAGAGGAACTCTAGAGCTCTGTCAGAGTGACCATCGGGTTCTTGGTCACCTCCCTGACCAAGGCCCTTCTCCCCCGATTGCTCTGTTTGGCCGGGCGGCCAGCTCTAGGAAGAGTATTGGTGGTTCCAAACTTCTTCCATTTAAGAATGATGGAGGCCGCTGTGTTCTTGGGGACCTTCAATGCTGCAGAAATGTTTTTGGTACCCTTCCCCAGATCTGTGCCTCGACACAATCATATCTTGGAGCTCTACGGACAATTCCATCGACCACATGGCTTGGTTTTGGCTCTAACATGCACTGTCAACTGTGGGTCCTTATATAGACAAGTGTGTGCCTTTCCAAATCATGTCCAGTCAATTGAATTTACCACAGGTGGACTCCAATCAAGTTGTAGAAACATCTCAAGGATGATCAATGGAAACAGGATGCACCTGAGTCTCATAGTGAAGGGTCTGAATACTTATGTAAATAAGGTTTATTTTATTAATAAATTAGCAAACATTTCTAAAAACCTGTTTTTGCTTTGTCATTATGGGGTATTGTATGTAGATTGATGAGGGGAAAAAACAATGTAATCCATTTTAGAATATGGCTGTAATGTAACAAAATGTGAAAAAAGGGAAGGGATCTGAATATTTTCTAAATGCACTGTATAATATAACCTTTAGTCTATTTCTGTGTATATTGTAAGTATATGAGAGTCTTTATTTCAACGTGGTCCTTTGTAGCTCAGTTGGTAGAGCATGGCGCTTGTAATGCCAGGGTAGCAGGCTTGATTCCCGTGACCACCCCATTCGTAAAATGTATGCACGCATGACTGTCGCGTTGAATAAAAGTGTCTGTTAAATATTATATGTTATTAACCAACCGTTTGGTGCTGAGCAGTAGTTCACGGTGCAGGTCGTGGTGGCTGGGTGTCTCCACAGTGGAGCCGTTCAGTTTCACCCTGGGCGGCTGCTGGGACTGGGTCTGAGTCCCCTCCTGGACCTCACTACACTCTATAGCCTGCCGGGACAGGGGCTCACGGCACACATAGTTCTCTACAGCAGAGGAAAGGGTTCATAATTTTTCTGATGATTTGGCTCAAGTCTAGCCTGATTCCAGATCTGTTGTGCTCTTGCCAGCTCTGTTGCCGTCAGAAAATTCAACTTGTACCATCAAATCTAGATCACATAATTCATGAATTGAATCAGTATTAGGTTTTACTATAGACATACCTTTTCGGTGGTGTCGAAATCCTGGCCGCTGAGGAAGCACCTGAAAGTTGAGAGAGAAAAGAGAGGAAATCATTCATTAACTCAAGCAGAGTATAACAAACATTGCACTGCATGGGGTCTTTTAATATGATGCAGTAGGGAACCATACATCCACACCAGATGGTACCAAGGAACTGATGAAGACCTCATGGTTGAAACACTGTCAATGAACCACATAGGTGCAGTATATGGAGTCTCTTTCAACTTTTGCTCAACATACTATTTGATCACCATCTCCAGAATATGCTAAGAAACAGTGGATGTGTGTGTGTGTGTGTGTATTCTTTTCCTATAGTGCAAACATTATCCATCACAGAACACCTTTTAATCCAACAATATGCTATGTAATCAAGTCATCCCTGTGTTAATCAAGCTGCTTGTTGATTTGCCCTGTGGGATCTAGGTTGTGTAATTGCATAAGTGCTAAAAGAGGAAGTGCCATCCCTGGCTAGGTTGCCTGCTGCGTTGCTAATGCATGCCGTCTGTATTTACTCATAGTGCTGTCACACAGAGGGAGCTGATGGCTGATGACTGAATTATGTAACGCGGCTTATCACCCTTTCAGAGCGTCAGGTCTTGTCTAATGTTTGGCTCTACACTCAAGGTTGCCCCAGTCCATTCTCAAGCTCATCATCACCACAGGAGCTTTAATGTCATCATGATAATAATGCCATGTTAACTATTTGATGACAAAAATCAACAAATATGAGAGATCGTAGTACATAACAAATGCATGTTTCGTCCTTCTCATTATACCTTGGAGGCCAGTGAAAAGAAACACCAAACTATTAGAACTGAAAACCTTTTGAACCATTTTAAACCATGTAATAGCCTTATTATAAAACTTTCATAAGCCCTTTATAAAGGTGAATGTATTGTAAAGTGTTATGATTGGCAGTACAGAAATGGCTACCACAGTTGGTGAGAGAGAATCAACTCATCATAACAGACTGTCCCTACTAGTCCACACACAGCAGAGCAGATGCCTCTGCCAGCCACACCCAGTAGTTGAAATCAACTCTCGTTTGGAAGTAGGCCTCATGTATAGTATCATATTAACCAGCGGACAGATGGCAGAATGCAGTTGTTGAGACTTTTCTGTGACTGGCCTTTCACTCAGACAGACAAAGTCAAAAACTATAATCTTGCTCAAGGCCACAAGTAATGTCTTTCACTGCAGGTCTACTACTGGTCTAGATTGTCTTGCGTGCTGGACTGATGGCGCTGCACACAATGTGTTGGAGACATGGAGGCTGTGGGAAGTGACTGCCATTGGTTCTGCAGCCATCAACTTCCCAGCATGCTCTGTGCTGTGCCAAGTTGTGCCTGCATGTCTGTCTATTGCTGCTTTTCAACTGTAACATCTGTTACAATAGCGTATACACCCTTATGTTATACTAGGAAAATTGTGTTTCCATAGCTAGGGCTGACAGTGAGGACTTGTGAAGAGAAGAATCAACCTCTGCATAATCAAAACAGTTGATTTGTGAGGTGTTAAAGCTCACAGTTAACCATTGTTATGTAAATTCCAGCTGAAAAGTACCAGTGGCCTGGCTTTGGCCCCAAGGGACAGCAGGTCCACCGGAACTATGGCCCAGTGAGACACAGGTGCCGGAAACACTGGGGTAAATCCTGTATGGAAATGTGCCATACAAGACTTGTCACTCTATATTAAAGACTGTATGGTGCCAAGAACTATCTGCTATCTATGGCACTGGGTGTATAAGCTGTGCTGTCCTGGTGCCCTCTCTCTCGTTCCCCCTCCCTCCTTCGTGGAGCCAGGTCCCAGCAGGGTGTTGATCTGGAAATGGAGGATAAAGAAGGACAGACAGGGAACAAGGTGACTCGCTTTTAGGCCAGGACAAAGCCAGGGACGGAGACTGGGACAGATCCAAAGTTAAGGACTGCGTGAGCGCCAGTCGCCAGCCAGACCAGTCCAATCTGGTCTACTGGTTTGTTCTCTCCCAAACCATTCAGGCACCGTCGCCGAGGGGGCATATGTGGTCCGGAGTCTGGTGCTTAGACCGCTACACCAAACTCCAACACATATCATTCCATTTCAAATCATTGTGCTAAATCACAACAACTATGTATTCATTTCTTGAGGGGACAACCTCTTAGATTTAATTTGTTTCACTATATCATCAGTTTATGGTCAAACCAGTTCAATAAGAAGTTTTCCCTTCTTGTTAGATTCAGATGACCCATCTTTTACAACCCACATGGCCACCTTGTGGCCATTAGTCGTAACATCATTGGTCGGATCTGAAGCAAAACCACCGATCAAATTGAATAATACATGTTTGATCATGCACTGTAGGCTGTTTCAATTCATTCAAATGGCAATGCTTGGTTAAGATGGTAGGACAGACAACCCAGAATTGATATACCATAAATTCATCCAAAGTAAACTTGCACTGAACAACTTGTATAATTCACCTAATTGAAAATGAAACATGGTAAACTTCAGTGATTATCACTCATTCTTGGCCAAAACACATCAAAGTACACATCCAGACTACTGAAAAAAATATACATATACACATGTCTGTAATGTTCTAGATCATTCCACACACTGTCTGTAATGGTCTATTACTGATTAAATATAGGCACAGTAAAGTTGTTTGCTCTGCCTTCAATATAACCCCATAAAACATCTCAAATCCAGAAAGCAATGCCGTCCATCCATTGGACTAATGCATAATGAAAATTGAATCCCATCTTTAAAGGTCATTATCATCATCACAGATCAGATACTTTTCTGTGTTGAGCAGAATCACCTGTTAACCACCATAGAAATATAACATAATTATATTTCTATGGTCACCACCACCTGTGACAGGTGGCCAAACAGACAACCAGACGTGATAGTTGAGCCGCTAATTCAGACAGGAGTTCATACAATAATAAACAGACTCACTTTCTTTGCGCTGTATGACCCTTCCATGGCACGATCGCCACGGTCCCCCGTTTCTATCAAGCTACAAGATCTCTCTCCCCCCTCGCTCTCTTATTCAATAGTCCATTGTCAAATGCCACACACCTCTACGCAGACAGGTGTCTGCTTCTTTGTGGCTTCCAAATCCAACATAGTAGTGCGGTCGCTGAGGAGAAGTCTGTCTGTAGGTTACAGTTCAATGACTTAACCTACCAGTTGTCAACACACAGTGGTAGTAGACAACCCCTGTAATCCCATTACGCTATTCAAGATTAAGTCTGCGTCCCAAATGACACCCTATTCTCTATGTAGTGCACTCCTTTTGAACAGGGCTCTTGTCAAAAGTAGTGCATTACATAAGGAATAGGGCACCATTTGAGATGCAAACTAAGCCTCACCACAAACCACAACCCCCAGGGATTTGGATGTCAGATTAGCTAATTGCCGTGGACATCAATGCTGCTTTTAACCACTCCAAATTACAAATGTAATGTAATGCAGAATAAACAAGTAGAGTTGCTATGCTGCTTTCCTCTTAGCATCTTTGGGAATCTACTCCTTGACAGCTGAGCACTTTAATGCTGTCTAGTAAATTACATTTTAGTCATTTATCTTATCCAGAGCGATTTACAGTTAGTGAGTGCATACATTTTTTTCATACTGGCCCCCCGTGGGAATCGAACCCACAACCCTGGCGTTGCAAACGCCATGCTCTACCAACTGAGCTACATCCCATAAATCTGACAACATGGTCTAAGGACAAAGGCCTTTATGCTTTCAAGTAAATTAATGAATACATAAGTGCTACTACTGTAAGGTGTTTTCAATAGGTCCAATATTGGAATGTTACAGGAACCAACAGGCCTGGGGGACTCAAAAGAGTGATAGAGTATGCTTGCTCGCTACTTTAGATTATAGATAGGATTAGACATTCGGTTTCCCAGACACAGATTAAGCCTAGTCTTGGACTAAAAAAAACTTTACAAATTGAGATTATCCATTGAAAGCGCTTTTTAGTCCAGGACTGGGATCAATCTGTGTTAGGAAAACCAGCCCTAAATGTGAATGGAGAGTGGTGGATTTTCCTGCACACGGGGTGCATTTCAATACATTTACATTTTAGTCATTTAGCAGACGCTCTTATCCAGAGCGACTTACAGTTAGTGAGTGCATAATTTTTTTTTCTTCATACAATAGTCTAAAGAGGCTTCCTCTTATTGACTCCTTTCCTCATAGATCTGAAAACATCACATAGGTCCAGTTTAGCTCTTTAATCACCGCAAAATGCAGATGGACATCGAAAAGGAAAATAATCCACTTAGAGATGCACCCTTATTGTACCAGATATGGAATAGAATGGTTTTGCAACTGGCTTTCATGTACTTGTGTGTCTCAAAAGCGCTCTGATTGTCCTTGTACTCAGATAAATGCACCATGTACATATTTATCTGGTCAAACAAATAAAAATGTAGTATCTGACTGCCTTTGCTTCGAGCATTCCTTCTGTTCCTGTGATGCTTCGTACTCGTCGATCCATTAGTCCTCCCTTTCCAGTAGCACTCAAATTAACGTATTTCGAGCTCCACTGATCAGCCTGTTTACAGAAGTCGTTCGTGTTACTCTTAAACAAACGACAAGAAGCAGACCGATACATTACTGATTTAAAAATTCTTGGCAGTAACCACAACCTGTGAAAATGGCAAACGGTATGCGACGCTTATTTCTGTATCATGATACAAATGGAAGTACAGTTGCTAACTAGCGTAGTTAGCTAACTAACTTTAGCCACCAGGAAGTTCAGGTGTTGTTAGCAAGCCAACTAGCCAACGTTAGCTAATGTGGAGACGTGGCTCACAGCACAAGCCATTCATGTCAAAAGCATAATAAAGCCCTAAATGAAAGTGAAACTTGCTTGAAATGCACAATTCGTTAACTTTAGCTAATTTCATAAACTGTTTACAAACAAATCTATGAAATTGATACATCAATTTGCTATAATGCCTAGTATATTTCTCTGAACAGTGTATTCATTCGATGGTTTACTGGTGTTCGGCTTGCTGTTCATCTGCACGTGTGCCTACCTGAAGAAAGTGCCTCGAGTGAAGGGCTGGCTGCTGGCAGAGAAGAGAGGGGTCTGGGGGGTGTTCTACAAAGGTATTTAATGGGAATAAGATGGTGCCTCCCAAAATACCATGCCAGTGATTGATAATTGGCCAACAGCGTTAAATCAGGCACCCTTAAACATATGCTTTCTAAAAGGGAAAGTTAAGCATGATTTCAATTAAAGTTAATGCATATCACTTGTGAATTTTTCACACACACTTCCACTGGCTTTTCTAATGAGTGTGAAATGTGATGTTGTTTACAACTTGATATCACCTTGATTGTCTTTGTTATTGTCGCAACAGCGTCTGTGATTGGGACCAGACTTCACCTGACAGTGGCTCTATCCTGTGTGACCATGGCGTTCTACGTCCTCTTTCTAAAGTGACCAACTAGGAGACTGGACTGTCTAGTCGGCACCTCATGGACACTAGCCTGGTCCCAGATTTGTTTGACAATGACAACAATGGATTTGGCAAGACCGCACAAACAGATCTGGGACGAGGCTACATGGACACTGCCGCTGAGGTTGTAACCAGGGACCAATGAACAATGTGGCAAGGGATGAGGATGGGGCTACACACTTTTGAAATGTGGTCTTCTGTCTGTCAACATGCCACACACCCTTCACTTTCTGAAGTAAGATGTTTATTTGATTTGGAACGTTGATGAAAAAGGTCAAGACACTGACTGACACAGAGATCAATAACATGAGTGTCCCACTGTGTGCAGTCAGTGGTCAAAATAGGGTGGTTGATTTATCTCTTTCTGTTAATTCAAATTAAGGAGTTTCGAGATTTTATGTGGTGGGTTTTCTCAAGAAAAATGGTACTGGTGGAAATATATTCTAAGTGCCTGTCCTGTTGAATTTACTGCCAGTTACATGAGTGAAGAGTGAGGCTTCATCATTATGTGACTAGTGCTGTTGGGGTTCAGGAGTTTGGACCAATGTACCTACACAGGACCAATTTATAATACAGCCATTAATTTGACATGAAAAATGACACTAATGATCTGAACCACATCTTAGCATTTGCCAGTACTTTGTCCCTTGTTACAGTGATGCAAAGTGTATGTTTTTATAAGTGTGATATTCTAAGATGTGGATGAAGGTGGAATAGAGGGTGAACATGGAAACAGTGTTTAAAATATATTGCAGTAAATAAATACATTTTAACAATTTATAAGGTATTTATATATATGTATACTGTATATGTTGTGTGATTTATTATAAACAAGCAAATGTAGGCCTACTCATTAGCCGCATGCCCGCTTGGCCATTTATGGCCACACGAGGGCAAGCTATTCTTTTACTACAACTACCCCCCCCCCCCCCCCCCCCCCCCCCTCCGTGATTTCCCATGATTCTCTGCGCTGTATAAATTAAACAAGACGGAAATGCAGCCATTCATGTTTTCTTTGAATGTTAGTGTGTATATGGTTGTTGTGTGCGTGTACGACTGAATGTTTGTTTGAATGTGGTGAGCGTACGAATGAGAGAGTGTGATTGTTTTATGTTTGTAAGTCTAGCTACCAAAAAACTACACAGTGATCTTATTTGATCTGGTCGGGGTTTGGCCTTGTCCCGATTCTGAAATGATATTACCCGACATGCGAGCCCCTGAGGCGATGAGCATGAAGCTTCCACGAACTTCAGGGCTCCACAAGAAATTGTGGTCAGAAGTGATGACTCGATCAGATATACTAGTGCCGAGGAGATTTGTAGTTTTACCTCATTCTCCACACCGGCCAATGAGTATAACAGCGATTCTGATCTGCCATAAATTAAGAAATGGTTCCCCTGAGACGATAATTAACAATTGTAGGTGGCTAGCTAGCTACTTAGCCAACGTTTTCTGGCTAGCTCGCCAGCCAACTCTTGTCCAGCCAGGCAAGCTAGCTCGCAATTATTTTAGCCAGATAATGGGTCAAGTAGTGAGCGTTTGTGGACTGAAGGGAAACGTGTGCCAGGTTAGTTTTATAATGGACATTCAGTGGACCTGCTGCTTCATCCCCATTAAAATATATTTTAAAAAGCCTGGGTGGCTACAAAAAAAATACGTTAAATGTGCAACCAGCCAAACAAACATTTGATTATATAAGGTCCATGCTTTCACACGACTGTTGGCTTGTGTGCTGAAAAAGCAACCACCACTCAACAAATGTACTGTCAAAAGAATGCTTTTATTTTAAGATGTTTCAGTGGACTTGAATACTGTAATACAGTAATGATCTTTTGTAGGGGGTAGTTCACTGGAAATTGAATGAGGGTAGGGGGTAGTTCACTGAAAGTTGAGTGATGTTCATTGTTCACTGTGTGAGTTGTGTGAGGGGATTATTAGGTGGAGTAGAATCCCCCATCGTGCTTCCTGGAGTATCCCCTGTTAGTAGAGGCATTGTGGTGAGATTCTGTGGAGACAAAAAGAAGTAATACATTGTTAGGGAAAATGCCCCGCCTAGACCAGCAGAGAACTGATTTCACTCATACCTGGCCAGAACCAGGGCTTTTACAATTAGGTCAGAACTAGGACAACAATATTTTAGAAGTCCCAGTAGTTATGGCCATGGTCAAAAAGCTCTTCATACACCAATCACAAGAAGTAAATGAGATTACGATAGATGTTCCTTTCACAGACTACCTGATTATAGATTGGATTTCAGTCATGCTCATCCTCTTCTTGTCTGCCTTTATTCGCTAAGTATTCACTAATCAATTATTTATTGAACAAGTACTCAGGATTATATTGACATCTTACCTATTGTTCCCTCAATGCTGTAGATGGAAGACTTCTGTGAGTTCATCCATACTTTGACTTCTTTCTCGGTTTCACACAGGGGGGCTTCATGTTTTCCACGGTTCTTCAGAGTCCTCCTACAGAGTTAAAGTTGTACATTAGTTTAGTTATTCTCTTCCCACAGCTGCTGTCTGGCACCCTATTCCCTATATAGTGCACTACTTTTGACCAGAGCTCTCGACTACAGCAGCACCACAGTTGCAAGCATCCCCTTCCCCGGTTCCATCACACACTCACCCATGGTCGTCAGTAACAGTCTCCCTCTGGTATAAGGTCTGGTTCTTACTACTGAGGAACTCTTGATGGTGGTCATAGGTTGACTTCAGATGGAAGTCTAGGCTGTCTTTAGGTGCCTTGGTTGGGAGAGAGTACAGTAATGTGATAGATGATCGTTCTGTTTGTATGTCACTTTATGATGTAAATTCTGCATTTCTTCAATTTCTGTAAAATGTGTGCATGAATCAGTCAAGTCAAATATGTTTATATTGTACTAGCTATCTGCATTTGGCTAGTACAACTTATTTTCATGTTGCCCTTTGTGTCAAGCTAATTGTAGACATAGGCCTATTATAGAGTAATAATATTAGCCTACCTGCCGGTCATGATACCGGACATTCCTTCTGATGCTGGCTAGAGTAGCCCTGTCATTTAGACGACTCCACGGTTCGTCATTTTGAGCTATGTGTGTTGGTTTATCAAATGGCTCTTTCTGTTCAGTTGGAAAGAAGAATGCATAGGCTGATCAAATAGCGGAAATCATGTTTTTAAATATTTTAGGCAAAAAAATGCACAAATATAATCAGTGCTAGAGCTGCAATTTAGGCCTACCTGACATTGCCTTGCCCCAGTCAATGAGTAGTCGTTCTCGGTTTTAGGAAAAGGAAAGGGATCTCTCGTTCGTGACATTATAAAAGCTGGAAATGTTATAATTTTGCGGATGATAAATACATGTTTTTGCCGCCAAATTGTATCCCCTTGTTTGTCGCACTAGAATGTTTACTAACTCACAATGGTTGCTAGGCGATTCATTGTGACACATCCACATATATAGTTTATACAAAATATTAGCCTAATCCCTCATCCTTTGCAGAAATGTGAGTTTACGAAAGGTTTAGATTAGCCAATTTTGACTAATAATATTAATTTATTGCGCTATTCATTTACATAAAGACATCTCAAAGCGTTGTAAAGCAACAACAAAAAAACAAGCATTTTAAAAACAACATAATTGATCGTGAGTTGATGATTAATGACTAGGGTATTATTTATGGAAAACAATATAAATATTTCAAAATGAGTGTACCCTGTAATATCACGTTACAATCAGGTTTCCCACGTAAACCCAACAAATTGCCGTGTCTTGCCAGGGAGTTTCCACTAGTTACCACAGTCACAAAGTCAAAATGGCTATATCGCTATATCGTAACATTTCACGAAAACAAAAATATGCAACAAAAAAATCCTTACATTTTTGTCTAATTCCTGTTCACCAACAAATGGGGCCTTATAAAAATGCACAGGGCCTAATTTCAGTTGATGATGTCGTGCTATTCGAGATCGTTGGGATGTCCATACCCCCCATTGAGGTTGACATTTAAAATGGTTAAGGTAAGGGTTAAGCCGTTAAGGTTAGAGTTAGATAAGGGTTATGGTTAAGGTTAGGGTAGTGGTAGGGGTTAAGGTTTTGGATATGGACGTCCCAAGGATCCCAGATAACACTGATCCTGTCAAAAAGCACCTGTGGAGTGCAGTAATGACTGCAAAAAAAACGGCATATTCGAATGCGAAAGATAATTGAGTGTTTTAGTAAAATATACAAAATGTTGCTGACCATTCATTGAACAAAAATTAAAATAAACGATAATTGTATTTAATTATTTTCAGGGTGCTAGCTAGAGATTGAAAGCGCCTGCGCCTCATAGGTAGACTGCTAGAGGATGCTGTATCAGCTGTCGTGGCATAAATTCAACCCTCTACCACGCATGAGTTTCACCTCCAGCGTGGAGCAGACCTGCAAGCTGTTTATGATAGCCTACCTGCTGCTCAAGAAAGATGAAGCGCGGAGCGTCACACTGTTTTCTTCACCTTCTGTGGCTCTTTTTTGTTCAAATTGATGCATCCAGTGATTTGCCCATATGCAAAGAGGTAAGGAGCATGGAATGATAAGTTACTTTTAAACATAATTGTGACTGTAATTGACGGGATTTTCACCCATATGGCATAACCATAACATAAAGTGCACTTCATTAGGTAACCTAAATAAAATGTAGTGTGATGTTTCACTTAATGTTTTACATTTATTTTGTATAAAAACTCACATTTCAGATAAACTTAACTGAAGTGTAAAGTTTCTATTAACATGCTGTAATTTTCTACAATAGAATTGCAAACATTTTCCTGTAGTTTTCAATGCAGTCTTGAAAAAATCCATTATCCATCCTTTTATGATCCATTATGAAAAGCATATTGACTGATCAGTTGGAGCAGAACTCATTCATATTGACAGAAATACACGTTGTCTGTTGCAGCCTATGTCTCAGTAATGTCTGAATTTGACCTCCAAAATGGCACTATACTGTAAAGTACAAGCCATCATAAGTGAAGATGATCTAGAAACCTGATCATATATCATATTTGAAGAAGTATCCTTCACACAATTAGTAGGAATATTTGATGAGTAATAGATGTTTGCTATATATGGAAATATGATGCAAAAGCAATGAGTTATCAGAACCATATAATTCAAAACAGTCACACATGGCTGAATGGCCAGTTATAGGACAGAATAAATGCAGAGCTGTTGGTCTATCTGTTAGAATTCTGCTGTAATATTATGGTATTTCAAGATAGTTCATTTAGGGTGGGGGTCAGTAAAAAACAACAACTTGTATCACACTTTTCAGCATGGGCGGGGGGGGGGGGGGGGGGGGGGGGGGGGTCTGGTGGTAAGAGGTGCTGAACTGTACCCCTAGACGTACTAAACAGCTCAACTGTTCTCCATTTATTTTATTTTAAGCAATGAGGTCAAATGTAATCATTTTAAAATTATGTTGAACCATCATCAACCCTGTATACACCTTCACTCTGAGGTAGCCTATACAGAAATGAACCATGGAAACAATAGTTGCCTATTTTTCTCCTTTCCTAAAGAGGTTGTCAATGTCATGTTAACTTAATTCAGTACTGTAGAGCTCCCATACTCAACAGACGGACCCCAGGCCGGATCCGGACCAAGAACGGGGTCAATACGGACCACGGGTCCGAATTAGTTTTTAGTTTTTTAAATAAATAAAACATTTTTTGGGGGAGAAACTCAGTCAGGTATCATATGAACACACATAAGACATGGCAAAATGTGTAGAATTGCAGGAAATTAGCATTAAAACTGCAAAATGTTCTCTCTGCCAACAGGAGGGGTGTGAACAGTTTGAGGTCGCATGGGTTGCGAGGTGGGGGTTTGTTACTTCGCCAATAAATGACAATATCCATTCGGACCTTTCTTTTCCACCTAGGAAATCTGTGTGACCGGACCGTCTCAAATAGTACTTGAGTACCCCTTATGGTTATACCTGTGTTAAATGGACATGTGTTACACTGGTCTGGTGTCAGTTTATTTGGTGTTGCTTACATAGCCTTCATTAGTCATAGTCAGGTGCCTGTGTGTATGCGTGCGTCTGTGAATCCCCAAGCTTTCTCAACAACAGTTTTCTGCCTTCAGCAAGTCCTTAGTTCTCCTGTTAACAACTCTCCTGGCTGTAGTCTAATTTCTCTTCTTAATATTTGCATAACTACTGTGGTATTTGATAATGCCTAGGCATTTCTTGTAGAGAAATGGAGAGCTGATATGCACCATGTTTGCTAGAATTGGAAGTTGTCTCCATCTTTATGACCCATTCATTATTCCTTGTTCGCAGTGGTGTAAAGTACTTAAGTAAAAATACGTTAAAGTACTACTTAAGTAGTTTTTGGGGGTATCTGTACTTTACTTTACTATTTATATTTTTGACAACTTTTAATTTTACTTTACTACATTACTAAAGAAAATAATGTACTTTTTATTCCATACATTTTCCCTGACACCCAAAAGTACTCGTTACATTTTGAATGCTTAGCAGGACAGGAAAATGGTCCAATTCACGCACTTATCAAGAGAACATCCCTGGTCATCCCTACTGCCTCTGATCTGGAGGACTCATTTTCTATTCAGGTATCTTTACTTTTACTCAAGTATGACAATTGGGTACTTTTTCCACCACTGCTTGTTCGGTAACAAGGTTACATAAAGACTTCATAACACATTCTTAAGTCATACGTAACACATTCATAAACTGTACACATTTCATGAATGCTTAGCAAAATCAGCTGGAGCAAAAACAGTTTATAATAGAACTAACAAATGACTTGGCATCATGATCAGGCCCATGTAAGGTCAATGTGTCATAGGAAACCCACAGCCACCTTTACCTCAAGGTGAGAGAGTTTAAAGGCAGATTAAGTTGAAGGGACACCATGGCTGACTGATTCATCAGAATGATTTGTTTTCTGCCACAACCTGTGTGTGTGTGTGTGTGTGTGTGTGTGTATGTGTGAGACCATGAGGAGACAGGGTCACAATGTCCCGTTGCCACGGTGTACTCATTTCTTTATGAACAAGGAGTATTAGATTACAGCCAGGCAGAGCACATCTTCAATTTATGCATTTTCATTTTATCCATCAACGTTTCACTTTCACTCCCTCCCCCTCCCTCTCTCTCTCTCTCTCTCTCTCTCTCTCTCTCTCTCTCTCTCTCTCTCTCTCTCTCTCTCTCTCTCCTCTCCCTGTCTCCCTCTCTCCTTCTACCTCTCCGTCTCCCTCTCCCTGCCTCTATCTCCCTCTCTCTCCCTCTTCTCCACCCCCACTCCTCTTATCTCTAAAACAAAAGCTAATGTAGCTGCACTAATAAAAAACAGAAGCGTGTTAGAGGGAACATTTGTCTGCTGGTTGTTAACTATTAATCCTACATGGTCCAGAGTGGGGGTTAGGTTTACCCTGCTAAGTGGTCTTGCAATACTATTGAGTCCTATGGGCCCTGGTTAATAGTAGTGCACTATGTAGGGAATAGGGTGCCATTTGGGACGTAGCAGGAAATTCTTAAGCAGCACTTTGACATATATGGCCTAATGGCCTATTTCGATGCCTTGACTTTCACCTCTGTACTAGCATTGCTTGTCAGGACTCATGGCACTCCACAGCGGCTGTGGGAAGAGCCTGAGTGCCAGTCCATTTCTGCTGTCTTGCCAACCCCTTATGGAATTATCATGTCAGTGAGTGACAAGGAGTTGGAATGATAGTACAAACATACTGTATCTGGGACCAGGCTAGGAAGAGACTGTACTCTTCTGTATATTCTCAGTATGCGTTTTATATTCTGGTTACTGACTCACTGCTTACATCTTCTAAGTAAAGAGTACTCCTACGACGACGTTATGATGGGAGGGCTACACCCACAGCAGCCTTTGTCAAAGAAATACTTACTGTTTTTTATAAGCACTCTGTCACACCTATAGCAAAGCCACTTGAAACAAACAAGACATCCTATGTCGCCTGTTGTCTGTCTGTAGTTGTAATGACTTGCTAAGAGATGATTGCGATTAGTTGTTTACAGAAGGGTTGGCCCAGTCTGCAGCTTTGCCAGCTTTTCCTTGGCTACTAAATAAGTCAATAAGCCCAAGGTGAGGGAGATTAAGACAACAGGTGAGGCAGCAGCCTCTTGACTGAGCAAATATTGATCCGATCCTTCTATTTGGAAAGGGGGTTGGTCTCGGTTAGAAGGAAATTTGGCTGAAGGTGATGCATTATGTTGAGAAATCATGTGTATTGGCCAGTTATCACATTTTTAAGTCAGTTACATCAGTCAAAACATATTATTTCACTAATTTTAGACTCTCTGAGCATGATTTAAAAATTTTAAAATGGTCCATCAAAATGAATGTGAGGTTATTTAGGAGTTGACTTGAAGATACTCCGAATGGGTATCTGTGAATTAGGTGATGACCTGTGTGCTGTCATGCTCTAAACCAGGGGTGTCAAAGTCAAATGGACGGAGGGCCAAATAAAAAATTTAGCTACAAGCCGAGGGCCGGACTGTTCGAATGTTCATTGAACATTTTTTAAATGACGCATATAGTCTAGTGAACCTAATTGAACCTACTGAAAACCTAACAAATATATTCCAATATGATCAGATAAATAAAGCAATATTTTCTTATGGCTCTGTCAGTAATCTTTAATTTTCAACAGACACAAAAGACAAATTTCCTTTATATAAAAATCCCCATAACATGAACATTAAATGAAAGAAACCGGTATTCAAGGCACCATCAGTAGCCTATATTTTCTATTTTAGCAAAAGTGGGCTAAATTTACTTCAAAGAAAAAAACAATAATAGCAATTTTCTATCATCCACTCAACTGAAATATTTTAAAAATATAATTGGATTGAAATACAATAAAATAAAGTGCAAAAATCTATTAATCAAAAACAACACTTTGTTTAAGGAGAAGTAACATGCAGTGAAAACAAATATTAAACTTTAACTTTTAAACTTGAACTGAGTAAAAACTCTAAATATGTGATTGCACAGTAATGTTCACTTGTTTGAGGTTGAGGGTGATACTTGGTGGTGTCCCATCTTTTCCACAAGTTCATCAATGTTCGGGGTAAGGCTCTGAGCTGAGGAAATCCTCAGAATTGAGTGGAGGTGTTCAGCAGTAAGTCGACTTCTGTGTGATGTTTTGTTCAGGTTCATCAAAGAAAACAGTTGTTCACACAGGTATGTGCTGCCAAACATAGACAACGTTTGAGCAGCCTGGATGCGCAGCTGGGGCATTGTGTCGGGGAGGAAACGGGCGAACTCCGCAGCACCCACTGCCGCATATTTTGCCCTCAGTGCATCATTGCATTGGAGGTCAATCAACTCCATTTGGAGGTTTGGTGGTGAGCTTTCCACGTCAACAGCAAATGGGTTACCGAGCAGTTCCAACCTGCTTTTTTGTGCTTCAAAGTCAGCAAATCGGCGTCGAAAGTCAGCGGCAAGCATACCTATTTTATCAGCCAACTGTGCGCTCGGGAACGCACTGGTAGAGAGCTTCTCTTTCATGGTCTGGCAGCTGGGAAAGTGGCTCAAATTTTCTTTCCGCATCTGCGTCTCCCACAGAGTCAGTTTGGTTTTAAATGCCTTCACTGTACTGTACATATCAGAGATGACATGATCCCGACCCTGCAGCTGCAAGTTCATTGCATTCAGATGACTCGTAATGTCACACAGAAAAGCCATTTCACACAGAAACATTTCGTCTCGGAGTTGTGTTGTGTCTTTCCCTTTGCTGTCCAAGAACAGACAAATCTCCTCACGAAGCTCGAAACATCTTTGAAGCACCTTTCCCTGGCTTAGCCATCGCACCTCTGTGTGATAAGGCAAATCACCATGCTCCGTTTCTAACTCCGTCAGAAATGCCTTGAACTGGCGGTGATTCAAACCTTTGGCTCTGATAAAGTTAACTGTGCGCGTGATGATGCTCATTACATGCTCCATTTTCAAGGCTTTACCGCACAACGCTTCCTGGTGTATGATACAATGATAAGCTGTCAGCTCACCTGTCGCGTTTTCCTCTTGCATCTTTTCCCGTATCTTCGCCACCAGTCCGCTCCTGTGTCCACACATCGCAGGTGCTCCGTCGGTTGTCAAACCCACGAGTTTTTCCCAAAGCAGCTCCATCTCATTTACACATCTTGACACCTCTTCATACAAATCATGCCCCGTAGTTGTGCCATGCATAGGACGTAAAGCCAAAAACTCCTCTGTCACGCTTAGGCTGGAGTCCACTCCGCGGATGAAAATTGACAACTGGGCAATGTCAGAAATGTCGGTGCTCTCATCCACAGCCAAGGAATATGCAATGAAATCTTTTCCCTTTTTCACAAGCTGCTCTTTTAGATTGATGGACAACTGGTCTACTCTCTCGGCAATGGTGTTTCTGCTCAGACTCACATTTAAAAAGAGTTGCCTTTTTTCTGGGCAAACTTCGTCACAAACTTTAATCATGCAGTTTTTGATGAAATCCCCCTCCGTAAATGGCCGGGCTGATTTAGCGATCTCTTCTGCCAAAATAAAACTGGCCTTGACAGCAGCCTGGCCTTGTGATTTGGCTTTTTTGAACAGAGCCTGTCGAGATTTGAGGCCTCGTTTTAATTCCTCTGCCTTTTGTAGCCTTTGTTCCATGTCCATATTCTTGTTTTTGTCCGCGTGTTTCGTTTCATAATGTCGTCTCAGATTATACTCTTTCAGTACCGCCACACTTTCTCCACACAGAAGACACACAGGTTTTCCAGCTACCTCCGTGAACATATACTCCGACTCCCACCTTGTTTGAAACCCCCGGTTCTCAGTGTCCACCTTCCGTTTTGCCATTTTTGATGGGTATCTGAAAGTTAATTTTACTGTGATGCTGACGACTGCTGTGCCAATAAATATTGAAATGAAGCAGCCTACTGCTCGGTGCGTCACCGTTGCATTGTGGGAAATGTAGTATTGGTGCGTGTAAAAGATCTGCGGGCTGCCGGCTTGCTGCGGTCTGCGGGCCGGTTCTAATAATAAATCAAGATCATCCCAGGGGCCGTAAAAAACCTTCTCGCGGGCCGGATGTGGCCCGCGGGCCTTGACTCTGACATATGTGCTCTAAACAGTCCCAATACACTGTTCTCAAACTAGCACACTCCACATACTTTTCAAAAACTAGTGTCACCATTAGAGGACTACCTTGTGAGTATTTCATCCATTGTTCAGGCTCTTTACACACTCTGTATATATAAATACCTGACTGGTGTGAGTCTGTGTGTGTTTTTTCTTTCAGTCCGACTACCACTTTGAGTACACAGACTGTGATGTGCTGGGGTCTCGATGGAGGGTGGCGGTGCCCAACAAACCAGACACGTGCACAGGCCTCCCTGACCCTGTCAAGGGCACACAGTGTAGTGAGTACTCTACCTACCTCCCTTACACTATCTACCTACCTCCCTTACTCTATCTACCTACCTCCCTACCTCCCTACCTCCCTACCTACCTACCTACCTACCTACCTACCTACCTACCTACCTACCTACCTACCTACCTACCTACCTACCTACCTACCTACCTACCTACCTACCTACCTACCTACCTACCTACCTACCTACCTACCTACCCACCCACCCACCCACCCACCCACCTACCTACCTACCTACCTACCTACCTACCTACCTTGTCGTTTTGAAGAGGCGGGGAGAGAGGATGTGAGGAACCAAAGAAAGGACTATTGAGATGCACCCACAGTGTCTCCCTGGCCTGCACTAGACTCATCTCTCTCTTCTCTCTCCTCCCCCCTCCTCCCCCAGCGTTCTCCTGCAGCGAGGGGGAGTTCCTGGACATGAGAAGCCAGGAGTGTCAGAAGTGTTCTGCTGGGACCTACTCTCTGGGGACGGGCGTGGCCTTCGATGAGTGGGACAGCATGCCGGCCGGCTTCATCTCACACGGGATGAACATGAACATAGCCGACATCTACACCAACTGTTCAAAGTCAGTATCTCTCTCTCAGTCTTGCTTACAGCGGGTGTGGGAATAGAGTAGTATCTCTCCATCTCAAGCTTGGGTTATTTAAGGGCCATTTACATCTGCCTGGTCCCAGATCTGTATGTGCTGTATAGCCAACTCCTATGGCTGTTGGCAAAACAGTAAAAACTGATCTGGGACCAGGCTACCTTTCTACGCAGCCGCATACTGTTTAGTGCATTGGAAGACACCCTTATTTTAGTTTCCATTCATCTCAACCTTCAGAGCTTCTGTCTATTTTCTTGTTTGTCTTCTCTTATAGCTCAACCTGGATACCGAAAGGCGACTACATTGCCTCTAACATAGATGAGTGCACCTCTACCTTGTCCTACGCTGTCAGCCTGAAGAAAGCAGGCACTGTGTCCTTTGAGTACTTCTACCCAGACAACACCATCTTCTTTGAATTCTATGTGAGTGTTCCATGTTCTATGTTTTAAGTGTTCTATGTGAGTGTTCCATGATACTCTCCATTCATTTCCAATGGACAGGGCTACGTGATGTGCTCCTCAATCTATCTCCATCATCTCCATGCTATCTAAACGAGGAACTGTAATGAACTGAACTGTGTGCGTCAGGCTGCCATGTTGTATTGATCTCATCGTCCTGTCTTGTCCTCCGTCCAGGTTCAGAATGACCAGTGTGAGTCCACAGACTCTGAGGGTCGCTGGATGAGGACCTCAGAGAAAGACTGGACTCCCCACAATGTGAGTCTTACTACTATAGCCCCCCATACATTCATACACTGAGCATGGTGGGGTAGTGACCCTAATCTCGGAACCCAGAACCAAATCTTGTATGCATGAACTATGCTAATGTCTATTAAGGGAGATGATGTATGACCCCCGAAGGTTGCTCTCGCTCTCTCTCTGTCCAGTTGAAGCTGAATCGAGGCAACAACGTGCTCTACTGGAGGACCACGTCTTTTGCACTGACGGGCAGTACTGTCAAACCTGTGCTGCTTCGCAACATTGCCATCTCAGGTACTATACAGTAGTCATTGATGTCATCATTTTCTATCCAGACTTGTTTGCAGATTGCCATCCCTGTTTATTTAGGGTTGATTATGATACCCCGGCAGGAGTATTTTTTTTTAGCAATATTCAAAACATTTTGTAGCCCCAACACCTAGCAACCTCGTCAAGAGATTCAGATCTTTTGGTGTAACGGTTTGACAGTCGCTGAACCTAGGTTTGCGTCCCGGTTGAGGCTACCCCTCAAAAGCGCTGCAATGTAAAAAACTGAAAAGCTAAGATGCACACCTCTTCTTACTCTTGTTTCTGTTAATAATTACTGATTGATAATCATCCTGCTCCTCCAGGGGTTGCCTATACGTCAGAGTGTTTCCGTTGTAAACCTGGGACCTACAGCACCAAGCCAGGCTCTGCTCACTGTACCCCCTGCCCTGCCGACTCCTACTCCAACAAGGGAGCCACGGTGTGCCAGCAGTGTGAAGAAGACAAATATGCAGGTATGTTTGCATTCTAGCACCAGCCACTTAACCCACGAAGGGTAAACTATATACCTGAAAGATATGAACTGCTAGGACTATTTCCGCGTAGATATTTCTCCCTGTTACAACCGATTGAATAGTGGATTGCTCACTTGCAAGTCACCACACAAATGTATATAATGTATGCAAATATACTGTACATGCTCTTGGTTCAATTAAATGCACAGGCTGTGTGGTTGGTTGACTTAGTCTAAGTGTGTGTGGTATCTCTGGATCTTAATGGTGGTTATGTTTTTCTCCTGCCTCTTGGTGGTTTTCCACTGGGTCGTGTTCAGTAGGACACACCATAGCAAAATGTTTAGCAACAGACAAGAAAAATCTGTTTTGTTATTGGACATGTTCATGCACTACCACTCTGTTTCGAAACATGACTGAACACAACCTACTGAACACAACCCTTGTTCCCTTGTTCAAACGCTTCTTCCAGAGGCCGGATCAGGGAGCTGCAAGCAGAGGCCTGCATGTACCACCAGTGACTACTTCTACACTCACACCCCATGTGACTCCAAAGGACAGGTAATACTATGGGAAAAGTAAAGAGAAAGTAAATGAAGCTGACTGACAATGCTGTTCATATGTGAGCAGTCAGTTGTTTTTTCATGGCTCAGGTCACTACAGTGACCACCAGCTGGAGTTGGTATCAGCTTTCCTTACATATTGATTGTCTGTTTAGTCCTGACAGGTTCTATTCAACCAGTATGCACTCAGTCATGATGATTAGCCATAATGTAGCATACATACATTGATGCGATATGTGGTTATTTTACCTCCCTTAGTTGAATGCACCAATTATACATTAATAAGAGTGTCTGCTAAATGACTAAAATGTCAATGTAATTCATAACTCCCCCCCATACGTAAAGAAAAAATTATGCACACATGACTGTAAGTCGCTTTCGATAAAAGCGTCTGCTAAATGGCATATTATTATTATTATTATTGCTCTGTTTCTTAGACCCAGCTGATGTACAAGTGGATCGAGCCAAAGATCTGTAGTGAGACCGTTGAAGGGGCAGTGGATAACAGTACTGAAGGAGCAGTGAAGCTACCAGCCTCTGGACAGATGGAGACCTGCCCTCCCTGTAACCCTGGCTTCTCTGTCACCAACACCTCAGCCTGCGAACCCTGTCCTCACGGATCCTACTCCAATGGAACAGGTGCAAAAACCCCTCCTCAAAGTAACGATTGATGAAATGTATTAATGGAAATAAACATGATTGTGCTATGTTTTGTGCTCGGTGCTATATGAGGAACATTCTGCAACAAGTGTTGCAGAAACACAACAGCTTATGTCCTTCAAAAAATGCCAATGTTTTTATGCTGTCAGATCTTTTGTTGCAATAATTACTTACTTACTTACGTAATCCTCTATGCCCCCTTTGGGACATAAGACCGCTTTGGCACAAATATAAACCCACTGCTCTTTAACAGTAGCTCTCGATCCCTCATGTCCATATCCAGCCTGTGCTGATTGCTTGAGGGCCACTGGTGGTCAACTAAACCTCTCTACTGTGTCTTTATCTAACACTCTCTATCCATACTCTATGTGCAGCCTGTGCAGAGTGTCCGGTAGGAACAGAGCCGGTGGTGGGCTTTGAGTACAAGTGGTGGAACAAGATGCCCGACAACATGAGGAGCTCTGTCTATAGCCGGGAGTACAGCGACTCAGTCAGGAGCACGGGTAAGGGACTCTAATACCTTTTTCACTCTACTGAGGCAAACCAAGCCAAGTTGTAATGGGCTGGCCTGGTTACGAATCGGCAATAGTTACAGCGACTCAGGAGCACTGGTACATATGTAAAGGACTCAAATACCCTTTTTACACTATCGCACTGACACGAACCACACTGTGGTGATGTGGATACTGTATATTCCTTTCAAATTGTAATTTCCAGCAACTATGGTGGATGTGTAACCAGGACAGCTGGTACAGCTCTGCTTGGCTCGGCTAAATTCAGCAGGGTGAAAAAGGCCTACTTTTGAATGAGCAGTCATAAAGTAATTGACTTGATCCTGAGTGTTGCGTTTGACGTGATGTGCACTCTCTGTTGGTGGCCTGTGAAGTTATTGATTGTTGATCTGTTGTTGTGACTGACAGGATGGGAGGTGGCAGGAGAGTACATCTACACCACCCCAGGGGATCTGGACTCTGACTACATGATGCTCTCACTCACTGTCCCTGGATACAGGTAGGGCTCGCAGGTTAAATCTGTGGAAGTTACAACAAACACCCGAATGAAACTGCTTATGAATGGGTTATGTATGAGTTATGAATGTGTTATAAAGTCCTTATATAGGTACCCTTCTAAAAAAAAGTGTTACCCTTGAATTTAACATATTTGCATAACACTGTATGTGTAATGCTACAGTATATGTGCTGTAGGTGTCATGTATTGTTGTGGCTGTAGTAAACAGTTACCTTTAAATATTTTCTGTCTCCCTAGGTTGCCTCACTCGATGGCTAAGGATGATGAGAGGAGTGAACTGTCCCGGATCTCCTTTGTCTTTGAGACCCAGTGCACTGCTGATTGTACCCTCTACTTTATGGCGGTGAGAGAGAATATCTCACGCAACATTTCATGCAACAATTTAAAGTATTTGTAGTCACATAGTACATTTGGTTAATCTGTATTCAAGACCTACAGAGTTGGAATATTGATGTAAACAAAAATACAAATTTTGTGGATTGTAAAGAAAATGAACGAAAATGTATTCTTTTCCCAGGGTTACAATGAGAGGACCAACGACATGTTGGAGCACTGGAGGGGCACGACCAGGAAACAGTCCTACTCCTACCTAGTGAAGAGCAACAGCACCGTCAGCTTTACCTGGGGCTTCCAACGCACCCAGGCCTTCAGTGAGGTGAGATAGATAGACACAGACACACTCACACTCAACACACTTAGATCCATGGAAATTTCAGCCATTTCATTGCTGAGCTTTCCATCACAGACAGTGGACCTTTACCAGAGGGACAACACCTCCCATGTCATACGAAACACTAACTCATCTCCGCAGATAATGCATCTCTGCATGACTCAACTCCACAATATTTCTTCAGCCCCTTATGAAGGAGTGATGTGTGTTTGACTAGTGTGGCATAGCCTTACGTACTGTATGAGTACTGTCCCTATCTTCTCCTCAGGTGAGGCAGTACAGCGGTGACTTTGCCAAGATGTACTCTGTCCAAATCACCAACGTGATGGGAGGTGTGGCCTCTCAGTGTCGTCACTGTGCCTTGGGCTCCGGGTCGGCCTCAGAATGCGTCCCCTGCCCTCCAGCCCACTATATGGTCAAGGGGACAGGCATGTGTAAGAGCTGCCCTCCCAACACCTTCATCAGGGCTGATCAGACCGTAGGGGAGGCAGCCTGTGTCCACTGTGGACCCAATACGCACAGCAACAAGGTAAGGAAGGGGATCGACGACGAACTGAAGAACTGTTGTATTCGTGCATTCATCAGATAATGTAGGCCTGCGTGTAAAGTTTTTTTTTAGCTGTGAACGTAACACAAATCAAAGTACTAATAAAGATCAATGCATCATTTGTTGCATTTTTAAAGCCTGTGATACACAATACTCTGAATTATTTATTGTGCTTTGAAGGTGTGCCCATGATAATGCATTTCATTGTTTCCATGATAATGATAATGCATTTGTGTCCATGATAATGTATGGTAATCCTGTTTCTCCCCCATCCCCTCCCAGGCCCACTCAGCCTGTGTTAGCGACTGTAGACTGGACCTGCAGTCCACCGTAGGAGGAGAGGTCCTCCAATATGACTTCACCCCCCTGGCTAACATCACCAGCTTCCAGAGCAGCCCACGCTTCACCAGTAAAGGCCTCCGATACTTCCACCAGTTCAGGGTCGGCCTCTGTGGAGAAGAGGTAAGGTCTGATGGATGGATACGGTTCTATTTAGAATACACCTTTGGTCAATCTCAAAAGTATTTTCCTCGCTTCCTTGCATCCTCTCTTCTTACCTTGTCAAAATGTCAGAGGAGAGCATTGGAGAAGATCTCCTCTTTCTGTCTCCTCCATTGCTCTCCTTGCTTCCCTCTGACATTTTGAGAAGTAGACAAGGAAAGAGGACGCAAGGAATCGAGGAAAATACTTTTGAGATTTACCCCTTGAACACAGTAATGATGGTTACATAGAAACTCACATTATTGGTGATTCTCTGTTGTGACCCGTGTAGGGCAGAGAGGTGGCGGTGTGCGTTGACAACGTGACAGAGAGCAGGAAGGTCAGAGGTTACGCCTGCCAGTCCACCGTGGTGCCCTCTGAGGTCAGAGGTCAGAGTGTGGTGTCATCACAACCCTTCACTATCGGTGACACACTCATTGGTAAGAGATCAAGCTTTACTCCATGATGTATCCCTCTCAAATAGCAATATATACACACCAAAAAACACCTGGCTGGTAAAGGGTCTTGGGGACAGCTTTGCATGAAGCCAAGGATGGACTTGAAATTATTATTGTCCATTTTCTTTGTTGGGTAACTTTACCAACTGATCATGATCAACGGGGTGGTGTACAGAAAACACTGTCACCATTGCTGTGTCGTTGTGTCTCCTCTCTTGCTTGAACATGTTTTGTTTCTGTTTGAAGGGGTTACCTCTGACACATCTCTGGATAGCATTGCCTCTCTTGAAAGCTATTTCACTACCAAGTCCAACCTGCCTGATGTCATATTCTACTACAGGTATCATCATCATCAATCTGGGTTTTCAAATAAAACAAATATTTGTTACTGCGGTTTTGTATACTTTTAAGCCAGTCGTTTTGAAACTTTAAGGCAGAGACATAACCAGATGTTCTAGTGGTGGCTAGTTTGTTGTTCTATAATTAAGTACTATCCCAACTCAGTACTATATAACCTCTCTTTATCTGCCACTGTACTCTGTATTTAGAAGTCATATTATGTCCACCACAGGTCCAGTGAAACAACACAGGCATGTAACAAGGGAAGGACAACTACCATCAGACTGAGATGTGATCCTACAGTGACAGGCAAAGACCAGATTACACTCCCAAGGTATGGACTACTGTACATGACTAACTGACTGAAGTAAACTATGTAGACTCTCAAAATGTGGCTGAACTGACACTGGCAGTGCACTCTGATATTTGTACAGAGAGTGACTTCCTGTGGAATAATGATGGAACTACAACTATTGCACCACCTCAAATAAAGACTTGCTATTACAGCTTAGCCTTGACCCCAGCTGTACTGTGTGATGTCTGGAAGACTACAGTGTGCTAAACTCTCCCAACCCGAATAAGAGCGGAGCACCAACAGCTGCTAGGTGAATCTTAACATTCAACTCTGTCTTTGTTGTCCCGTCCAGTAAATGTTCAGAGGGGACATGTGACGGCTGCTCCTTCCATTTCCTATGGCGGTCTCAGTATGCCTGTCCACTCTGTACAGAGAGACACTACAGAGAGATAGTCAGCGCCTGCATACAGGGAATACAGGTAAGATATTACATTAGTACAGAGTCCTGCTTTCATATACTCTTCTTTGCTGGCTTTGGAGCATAAGGCTACAAAAAGCTTCTACATCATGCCAGACAGTCCTTTGCAGCTTTTTGATTCTTAACTATGCACATTGTCTAATGTAGACTTGCGATAACACTATCAAAACAGCCAAATTATACTAATGTGTGTGTGTGTTTGTATCTCTCTCTCTCTCTCTTTCAGAGAACCACCTACGTGTGGCAGCAGCCCCTGCAGTGTACTGGTGGTGTGTCCCTGCCTGCCCAGACGGTCAGTGCCTGTGTGACCCTGGACTTCTGGCTGAAGGTCGGTGTGTCCACAGGGACGGTCGCTGCCATACTGCTCATCAGCATCAGCTGCTACTTCTGGAAGAGAACTCGCAAGTAAGATATAGTCTATGTGTGTGTGTGTGTGTGTGTGTGTGTGTGTGTGTGCGTGAGGGTGTAAACATGACTGAAGCCTTTTTGAGGACTGGTGGTGTGTGTGTGTGTGTGTGTGTACATCTGTGCATGCATGTGAGGAGTGACAGGAGTCTTTGTGGTACTGTGTACATGCACTTGTGTGTGTGTGGGTATCTATTCATGTGCCAGTGACAGTGCGTGTTTTCTCTCCCCTTCATATGCAGGCTGGAATATAAGTACTCCAAGCTGATGATGACTGCTGGAGATAAGGAGTGTGAGCTGCCTGCTGCAGACAGCTGTGCCATCATGGAGGGAGAAGATGCAGAGGACGACCTCATCTACCTCACCAAGAAATCCTTCTTCACTAAGATCAAGTCCTTCTCCAGAGAGGTGAGGCCAAAAAGGTGGTGATGTGATGTTTCAAAAAAGACATGAGTCCTCCTTATACAGGGAACTGGGAACAAGATCTGTATCACTGTATGTGGTTTGTATAAATATTTTGCATTAGAAATATATTTCTGGTATAAAATGTCTGAAATGTGTCTGTAATACTGTAAATCATACTCCAAGAGACGTTTCCCATTGAATGTGCAATGGAAAGTAGTACTTAAAGTAGTTATTATCTTATCAATTAATGTTTTGATCACTCTAAAATGAGAACAACTGTATTTGATGTGTTTCCACAGAGATCGTCAGATGGATTTGACTCTGTTCCCCTGAAGTCATCATCAGGTTTGGAGATGGAGATGAGCTAGAGCGGGGATTCCGACATAAAAAACGTTTGGGAATCCCCACTCTAGCTCATCTCCATCTCCAAACCTGATAAGCCTCTGGTGGACCCCCCAGTTTGGAAACCCCTGAGCTAGAAGAGTACCCAAAACCTCCTTCAACCTCTGGATGAAGGAACACATATGGGATGTATTAATTATTCATTGAGTTGAAATGTTCAGAGCGTTGCAGATAGAAATGTATTAAATAGAGCTGACACGATTTCCGGGACCCTATTCTACCTGACAGACAGCCATATCTGTTCTACACAATTAGGGTTGCAAAATTCCCAGGTTTTCCAGAAATCCCAGGTGGTAAATTCCTGGAATCAGGAGGGAATAAGCAGGAGATCTGGGATCCCTCCAACCAGGATTTCTGGAAAACTTGGGAATTTGGGTAAAGTTACCTAAATTTTGCAACCCTATACACAATAAATTTCTATAGGAACGTTCTGCAATGTTGCACCCTTCTGAACAGTATGAATGTTGCTCCCCTCACTGCATAGCACCAAAGGACAAGAAGCATCTATTCTAAACCAAACAGAATAGAATGAATGGAACGGCCGGAACATGATGGATGTCTTTATAAGTTCACAGAGAGGTGAACAGAGCAAACCTTTTGTTCAGAAACCCTCTCAGTTTAAACCCTCAACATCTCTGGGATGTTGCAAGGACTAGATAATGGGAATATGTTTTTCACCTGAAGTTTTTTATGTATTTGGTCATATCAAAACAAGTGCATGTTTCCATTAGGAGAATGCATTTCTCACGAAATCGTTTTGGTGCTAATATGGACCGATTTGTTGCTCTGCTAATAGCAATACAGTTTGTAGCCATGTAGAAACCTTAATGGGTACCTGATCTTTTATGGTGAGATTTATTTTTACGAAACATGTGAACCTGTGCTTTTGTTATATTAATTATGTCTTACAGTAACGTGTGCATTTTCATTTTTATTCATTATTATCAGCCATTATGGGTCTAACTTGTGACAATAGAACATAAAAAAAATATATGTATTTAAAAAGAAATCTAACTGTCTGTTGCCAAAATTATTTGGTGAAAAAGCCTTACTGTATCTTATTTCTACTCAACTACTGAGGTATGCCTTTATTTAATTTGGAAATGGAGCCATTTACTTAATGTTTCATACATGTTTCATTTATTGACTCTTGAAAGTCATTTTCTTTGCATTAAATTTACTGTTTGTCTATGCTTTTAAATAAACTTCTAAAAAGGTTCTGTGAAAAAAAGATGTTTGTCCAAAGACAGTACAGTATGAAGATATGCAGAAACTGCTTCTCCTCGATAACGCTTGTAGGCGATGTCATGGCGACGTTGGCTAGATAAGCTCATGCGCAGAAAAGACGTCACCGTCTAACGGTTGTCTCGCGCCGAACTGCGCATATGTATGCCTTCAAATCAAAGCCACTTCTTCGATATAAAGTTGTTTTTGACAAAAATGAAAACGTGTCAGTTTGTAACTTTCAAGAGGTTGGAGTAATAAAATGCTAAACTAGTTAAGACATTGGCTCGAATCTAGGTTGTGCCTTTAGATTTCGAGAAAATGAACAACTAAGGAAGAATGTTTTACTACTCTCATTGACTTCTCAAACCTCAGCCTGGTCGGCTTGGTTTGTTTCACAAGCGTTCCCGGAAGTCTCGTGATGTTGCGCCTCTGTATTTAGAAGCTCTGTGGTTTATCCTTTGAGTGACTGGAAGATTTGGATCTCATTTCGCGACATTTTGTTGTTGCAGCATAGAAGCACGGGCGCGCTGGGTAGGTAACATAGTGTAATCCCGGGAACCTTAACGCAAATCGGAGTAGGAACGCTTTCTCACCATAATTTCAAGAATTCAGCACCTCGCTAAAAACGAACATTAGATCCGGCATTTACTGAAATTGATATAGTTTACGAGCATTTTCTTCAACAAGCTAGTTAGCGAATTTACTTTAGTTGCACGAATATAGTTGCCACCTTTGACCAACAAAAAGCAGAAGTCACAATCTGCAGTTTGAGGGTTGTTCTGCAGGAATGTCGCAGAAAGAAAGACCAAAGTTTTATCGGCAGGAGGTGAACAAGACGATTTGGGAGGTACCAGAACGCTACCAGACGTTGTCTCCAGTTGGGTCTGGGGCCTATGGATCAGTTTGGTAAATTACGCTTTTTGTCATATGTCTGCACAGAGCTATAGCCATTAATTTCTACGAGGCCTGCATAGACGCTAAAGTTAGCTTTCCAGCTAAATTAGCTAGCTACATTCAGAATAGAACGCTGCCCGGCCGTGGGCCCTCTCGATTCTCGAACTGTGTCAGCGAGAGCGAACGAGCATGCGAACTTGCCCCAACCAGTCTATGTTCACACAATATAATAACATTAGCCAGACGCACCATTCGCTAGTGTTGCGGTATGACATGTTGCCATGTCCCCAGCCACGTTTGCTAACTACGTGCACGATTTAAATGTGTCCAGCTACTTTTATAGGTTGATGTTGTATCTGTTTATCTGAATAGCAACATCCCTTTGAAACGTATGGCTATTCAAATTATGAAAATATTATGCAAATTAATAGCCACAAAGAGCAGGAAACTAGCAGTTATTGTTGCCATCTAACATCCAATTGTTTTTTTCCTGAGGTGTACCGAGTGTTTCTGTTATGTTCTTTTCTACTTTGGTTGGGAAATGCATTTAGACCCAAAGTTTGCAGTTCTGTAGTGAAACTCGTTGTAGCTAAAGTGGCTAACTTACATCGGTTGTTAAACCTCCACACGGTGATGCCACTTCATTCTGTATGCCATGATGACTAATAAGCCCAGAATAGGTCAAACCAAACTACTTTAACCAGGATATATGGCTCACTGATTTACTGTCTTGACTACTGGGCGTTGCAGGTTAGCTTTTACAAAACGCTGCATAGATGTCTCAACTAGAACCTGCTCTTACAATACTGTCTTCATTCTTGATTTGGGGAAAAACGTTTCTTATAAATGTCCAGTTGCAGGTGGGTCTACAAAAACCAGAGATATTAAATCAATGTGTTGTATCTAGTGAGAAATGCCTCTTGCATGTGTGTAGATATTTTTTGGTCGCAGTGTATGATGTCTGTTTTCTACTTCTACACGTGGCCACGGCAGTGTTGCATAGAAACGACTAGTTCCTGCAAATAAACTGGGAAATGCTAGATCTGCAGCAGCTAAAATGGGAGGCACAACATCGAACGGTACAAAACATGGATTTAACATATTTTGTACTTTTCTCTGGTTTTTGTAGACCCACCTGCAAATGGACACAGACATTTATAATATACCTTTTTCCCCAAATCGAGAATGAAGACAGTATCGCCAAGAGCAGATTAGTTGATACATCTATGCAGCGTTTTGTATATGCTAACCTGTAACGCCCAGTAATGGAAACATAGTTATCACATATCTGCCATACAATCTGTAGCTATGTCTTGCTCCTTAGATGATGAGGTAAGGGGAGTGTGTGTGGGGGGATCCCTTTGAAGGACATCAAAGTTATCTTGCCCTTCTTTACACTTTTGACATTATGTTTTACCATTTGAATTCACTTTTACTGAAGTGCTAGCTTGGGCCCAGATCTGTTTGTGCTTTTGCCTACTCCATTGTCAAACTAAGCATTGGCGTGACAATTCCATAAGGCGTTGGCAAGAGAGAAGAAACATACTGGCACCCAGGCTAGTGAAGTACTGGTAGGCATATGTTTACTTGAAGAACAATTTACTTACTATGACTGAGATATGTGGTTGTCCCACCTAGCTATCTTAAGATGATTGCACTTACTGTAAATCGCTCTAGATACTAGTGTCTGCGAAATGACTAAAATGTAAATGGTGACATGTCTGTGTTGAGGTTTATTTGACCCTGGTAGGGCCAGGTGAGCCCATGGCATTAGGTCTAATCTGCTAAATTACTAAACTGATGTTAGCTTAGTTTGTTTTTTACACAAATAATGGTTCCTGTATTTCTGCTGCTGCTATGCAACAACAGAACAGGATAATCCATCAAGGATAATATATTCAAAGGTTTCCTTTACTTTTAGCTAATGAAAATGGGCCTAGTAGGACCCAGTATTACCTCCTAGAACCTGCTATGGCATTTGTAATAATAATATGCCATTTAGCAGACGCTTTTATCCAAAGCGACTTACAGTCATGTGTGCATACATTTTCACGTATGGGTGGTCCCGGGGATCGAACCCACTACCCTGGCGTTACAAGTGCCATGCTCTACCAATTGAGCTACAGAGGACCACTAGTATCATCTGCTGGATTGTTGTTGTCTAAGTAAACATCTGGTTGTTGTTTCTGTTGTGCTGCTGCTAGGCAGAAGGATGATCTGTTTACGGTCGGATTAGTGCGGTTGGGTTAAAAAAAAAGTGACCTGGATATCAGACCAAGGGATATTTTATAGTACATACAATGTTTGCTTCTGTTTATTCAGAAGGATTTCCTCCTGTTATGTGGGCACCACATCTCACATACGTACAACTTTATCTAAATGTTTTGCTTGTTGCGTCACTGGGAATCCTGACCTCCTTGGCCACAAGCATTTGTGCACCTCTGCTTTGTACTATTACAGTGAGGGGGAAAAAGTATTTGATCCCCTGCTGATTTTGTACGTTTGCCCACTGACAAAGAAATTATCAGTCTATAATTTTAATGGTAGGTTTATTTGAACAGTGAGAGACAGAATAACAACAAAAAAATCCAGAAAAACGCAGGTCAAATGTTATAAATTGATTTGCATTTTAATGAGGGAAATACGTATTTGACCCCCTCTCAATCAGAAAGATTTCTGGCTCCCAGGTGTCTTTTATACAGGTAACGAGCTGAGATTAGGAGCACACTCTTAAAGGGAGTGCTCCTAATATCAGCTTGTTACCTGTATAAAAGACACCTGTCCACAGAAGCAATCAATCAGATTCCAAACTCTCCACCATGGCCAAGACCAAAGAGCTCTCCAAGGATGTCAGGGACAAGATTGTAAACCTACACAAGGCTGGAATGGACTACAAGACCATCGCCAAGTAGTTTGGTGAGAAGGTGACAACAGTGGTGCGATTGTTCGCAAATAGAAGAAACACAAAAGAACTCTCAATCTCCCTCGGCCTGGGGCTCCATGCAAGATCTCACCTCGTGGAGTTGCAATGATCATGAGAACGGTGAGGAATCAGCCCAGAACTACACGGGAGGATCTTGTTAATGATCTCAAGGCAGCTGGGACCATAGTCACCAAGAAAACAATTGGTAACACACTACGCCGTGAAGGACTGAAATCCTGCAGCACCCGCAAGGTCCTCCTGCTCAAGAAAGCACATATACAGGGCCGTCTGAAGTTTGCAAATGAACATCTGAATGATTCAGAGGAGAACTGGGTGAAAGTGTTGTGGTCAGATGAGACCAAAATCGAGCTCTTTGGCATCAACTCAACTCACCGTGTTTGGAGGAGGAGGAATGGTGCCTATGATCCCAAGAACACCATCCCCACCGTCAAACATGGAGGTGGAAAGATTATGCTTTGGGGGTGTTTTTCTGCTAAGGGGACAGGACAACTTCACCGCATCAAAGGGACGATGGACGGGGCCATGTACCGTCAAATCTTGGGTGAGAACCTCCTTCCCTCAGCCAGGGCATTTAAAAATGGGTCGTGGATGGGTATTCCAGCATGACTATGACCCAAAACACATGGCCAAGGCAACAAAGGAGTGGCTCAAGAAGAAGCACATTAAGGTCCTGGAGTGGCCTAGCCAGTCTCCAGACCTTAATCCCATAGAACATCTGTGGAGGGAGCTGAAGGTTCGAGTTGCCAAACGTCAGCCTCGAAACCTTAATGACTTGGAGAAGATCTGCAAAGAAGAGTGGAACAAAATCCCTCCTGAGATGTGTGCAAACCTGGTGGCCAACTACAAGAAACGTCTGACCTCCGGTTTTGCCACCAAGTACTAAGTCATGTTTTGCAGAGGGGTCAAATACTTATTTCCCTCATTTAAAATGCAAATACATTTATAACATTTTTGACATACGTTTTTCTGGATTTTTTTGTTGTTATTCTGTCTCTCAATGTTCAAATAAACCTACCATTAAAATGATAGACTGATCATGTCTTTGTCAGTGGGCAAACGTACAAAATCAGCAGGGGATCAAATAATTTTTCTCTCTCACTGTAAGTGTGTACAGCAGCTGACTAGCCTGGGTGCCTGTCTGTTTCTGCCCTCTTGCCAACTCCTTATGGAATTGTCAATGACACCTATGGAGTTGGCAAGAGAGCACATAAGAAAGCGCAGATCCAGGCTAGCAGCTGACTGTTCATGACTGGTTAGCTGAAATTCAAAGGAAGCAGAAGTGAGAGGGAGGCTTCCCTCCCCCAGTCTGTCAGTCAGCCAGGGTGAATCTCAAAAGTCTTATCCGTGGTTCTTTGGTTCCTCCCTCTCCACGCCTCTTTCTCAAGACGTCAGAGGAAGAGAGTAGAGCATTGGAGGAGGAGATCCAAGGTGATTGTCTCCTCCAATGTATTCCTCACTTCCCTCTGACTTTTTCAGAAGGCAGCGAGGAGAGATCAACGCCACAAGGAATCGAGGAAAATACTATTGAGATCTCCCCCGGAGAGAGACGTTCGTCCCCCAGCCTGTCAGCCGTCTTAGCGGAATGGCTGTGTTTCATTCTGCTAACGTATTAAGAAGGGAGCAAGGAGAAAGGACATCAGGACACTATTGAGAGATCCCCAGAGATGCTCCTTCTTCTCCAGCCTGTCAGCCAGACTCGCCATGGCCAGGCAGTGCGGCTGTGTTTCAAACTGCGTTCCAAATGTCACCCTATTCCCTACATGGTGCACTACTACCCATGGGCCCTGGTGATTTCTTTTTGAAATGTTTTGCCATTTGGGATGCTGCCTCAGTCTGCTGAGGGATTCAACTTTTTGTTTAGCTGATGTCTCTTTTTCCTCCTTACTTCAGCACCTCTTCATGCAAACTCAGCCCTTTAGTGAGCCATTTAAAATGTGTTTTTCCTGTGTCTTCTTGGAAAATGACAACCTGGCTGCAACAACATATTTTAGGCCGAGGCCTATGTCTAAAGCAGGGCTGTTAAATTCCGGTCCTGGAGGCCCAAAATATTTCAGTTTTTTGTTTCTACCTGGTAGTTAATTGCACCTACTTGGTGTCCCAGGTCTGAATTTGTCCCTGATTGGAACGAAAGGATGAAAAACAGAACTGTTTTGGCCCTCCAGGACCAGAATTAAATAGCCCTGGTCTAAAGCCTACAGTCGAGTCAAGATACTTTTTATGAAGAAGATGCATGATGTTTTGTCGCATGCTGCTGATCGGTAATTTCAAATGTTGCATATTATCAGTAAGGATTGTATTTCAGATGGAACCGTTGGGAGTAATGACTAGTATCTTATCCTATTGTTGTAGCCTAGTTGTTGCAGTAACTTAAACCCCCAACACATGTCTTCTCCAGCTCGTCGTATGATGAGAAGACAGGTCTGAAGATCGCAGTGAAGAAGCTCTCCCGGCCATTCCAGTCCATTATCCACGCCAAGAGGACCTACAGAGAGCTACGTCTGCTCAAGCACATGAAACATGAGAATGTGAGTTCCATCTCTTTAAAAGCTGCAGAACTGTTTGCTACATGAATCATGTTGCTGCTGCGATAACAAATCTAGGAATATGTTGGTTGAAGTATTCCTCTGCTCTAGTTCCACTTCCCTCTCTTTGCCTGTCTCTCTGGAGCTCAGTTCTCTCTCTTTCTCTCGCTCTCTGTCTCTCTCTGTCTCTCTGTCTCTCTCTCTAAAGCAGCAGAACTATGTTGGCTACATTAATCATAGTATGCAACTGTGCTGCTGACTGAGATATATAACTCTAGGAATTTGTTGGTTGAAGTATTCCAATGCTCCACTCTGCTGAAACCAACTCATTGTGGAGTCATGAAATCATTGGGAGAGCTGATACAATCCTCCTTACTTGTTGCATTGGCATCTCTGTGTTTCAGGTGATTGGCCTTCTAGATGTCTTCACACCTGCTACTAGTCTGGAGGAGTTCAGTGATGTGTGAGTTGAGTTGAAACTCTAAGGCCTACCCATTTTCTTTATCTACTGTATGTTCCTTTATTATCCCTTCATAACTTTCATTCACTCAGCCAATGCCTATTGACAGTGCATCAATGCCTCACTTCAAACACAATGAGTACACACAGTCCCTTTCTTTTCCCAGCAGCAGAGATCAAACAAAGCCTGCTCTGCCTAGGAAACACCAGGGGTACATGTGTTACTATTTCCAGTAGTACTACCATATCTCCCTTCCCAACCTTGGAAATAGTTACTCACTGCGTGCCTTGGCTTCAGGCATTTACTGTTTGTTGATGTTGAAAGTCAGTGAGAAGAGAAATTGGACAGATTGTTCAGCTAGTGAGTCAGTGCTGGCCGACTGCCTCCTCGTGTGTGTGTGTGTACTGTGTGTGGGTGCCTGGCTGAGGGAGTGTCAGACACACAAGCCTAGTCCTGTTGCTGCCTCTGCTGTAAGAAAATACGCAGGAAAAGCCTCTCGTTCCTACGCATCCTACTATTTACCATGTTTGGCTCGACAATGACACCAATGGAGTTGGGAAGAACACAAACAGATCTGGGCAAGGCTAGCTCTCTGGCAGCTCCACCACCGGAAGAGGTAACTGTAGTGTGCTCTCAGCCTCCCCACTGTCCCAGATAGATTAACACCCTGTACCACGGAGTGGGGGGGGGGGAGAGAAGGAAAAAGAGATAAAACAGCGGAACGGTTGCGGTGGAAGAAGTTCCTCTCACACAGAATTATAAGTAGTAGGGCTGTCCCCCCAAAAAATAAAATAAATTCTTAGTCAACCACAAGTTGTCTGTTCTTTCGACCAATCGATTGGTTGACATTTTTAAACACATTTCTCCATATATAGACACACCCAATGTTAAAATCAACTATATACAGTACCAGTCAAGAGTTTGGACATCTACTCATTCCAGGGTTTTTCTATATTTTTTTTACTATTTTCAACATTGTAGAATAATAGTGAAGACATCAAAACTATGAAATAACACATATGCAATCATGTAGTAACCAAAAAAAGTGTTAAACAAATCAAAATATGTTTTATATTTGAGATTCTTCAAATAGCCACCCTTTGCCTTGATGACAGCTTTGCACACTCTTGGCATTCTCTCAACCAGCTTCACCTGGAATGCTTTTCCAACAGTTTTGAAGGAGTTCCCACATATGCTGAGCACTTGTTGGCTGCTTTTCCTTCACTCTGCGGTCCAACTCCTCCCAAACCTGGAGGTGTGTTGGGTCATTGTCCTGTTGAAAAACAAATGATAGTCCCGCTAAGTGCAAACCAGATGGGATGGCGTATTGCTGCAGAATGCTGTGGTAGCCATTCTGGTTAAGTGTGCCTTAAATTCTAAATAAATCAGACAGTGTCACCAGCAAAGCACCATCATACCTCCTCCATGTTTCACGGTGGGAACCACACATACGGAGATCATTCGTTCACCTACTCTGCGTCTCACAAAGACACAGTGTTTGGAACCAAAAATCGCACATTTGGACTCATCAGACCAAAGGATAGATTTCCACCGGTCTAATGTCCATTGCTCGTGTTTCTTGGCCCAAGCAAGTCTCTTCTTCTTATTGGTGTCCATTTAGTAGTGGTTTCTTTGCAGCAATCTGACCATGAAGGCCTGATTCACGCAGTCTCCTCTGAGGTGCAGTTAACTCTAATGAACTTATCCTCTGCAGCAGAGGTAACTCTGGGTCTTCCTTTCCTGTGACGGTCCTCATGAGAGCCAGTTTCATTAGTGCACTTGATGGTTTTTGCGACTGCACTTGAAGAAACGTTCAAAGTTCTTGACGTTTTCCGTATTGACCTTCATGTCTTAAAGTAATGATGGACTGTCGTTTCTCTTTGCTTATTTGAGCTGTTCTTGCCATAATATGGACTTGGTCTTTTACCAAATAGGGCTATCGTCTGTATACCACCCCTACCTTGTCACAACACAACTGATTGGCTCAAATGCATTAAGAAGGAAATAAATTCCACAAATTAACTTTTAACAAGGCACACCTGTTAATTGAAATACATTCTAGGTAACTACCTCATGAATCTGGTTGAGAGAATGCCAAGAGTGTGCAAAGCTGTTATCAAGGCAAAGGGTGGCTACTTAAAAATAAAATATATATTTATTTGTTTAACACTTTTTTGGTTACTACATGATTCCATATGTGTTATTTCATAGTTTTGATGTCTTCAATATTATTATACAATGTAGAAAATAGTAAAAATATAGAAAAACCCTGGAATGAGTAGGTGTGTCCAAACTTTTGACTGGTACTGTATATTTAACAAAATTTTTTATGGGGAATTGGAAATTATGCAGACAATTACATTGATGAAAGCCACAATCTATCTGCAATATTAAAGCTGATCTACCCCCTTAAAAAATATATATTGACCAAACAATCGACCAGTCGACTAAATGGGTAATCTAGGCTATTTATTGCTCATGCATATCTGTGTACAGTGTACAGCACACATGCCTGCAGGACGGAGGAGCACAGGGAGGGGGTTTCTAACTGCTGTCCAGAAAAACCCAGGATATTTTATGCAGGTGCTGTAGCTGTGGTTCCCCCAACCCAGCTCCAAAAATATAATGTGACTCACAATGCTGTTCATAGCTCCCCCTCTACCCCTGTATAGGTGGAGGGGGAGGGAGAGAGGGCAGAGGGAGGGGGAGAGAGACAGAGAGCGGAAAAGTTCCATGGATTAACACTATTTATATACCTAATTTTCCAGGCCTCAACATGAACCCTTCAGCCAGAGTTTCCCTCTCCCTGTTTGTGCCTTTGATCTCAGTCATATTGAAGTAGCCTGGTCTCAGATCAGTCTTTGCCAACAGTTTGCTAATATAGAAGGAGGGCAGTAAGGAAAAGTCCAGTTTAACCAGAGTTATTTTAAGACTTTCCTCCTGTGTGGGAACAGTGCATCTATCAGTGGAACAGCAATCTAGGTATACCTTTCATGAAGCCTCCATGCGTGCATACACAAAAATGTATGCACGCATGACTGTAAGTCGCTTTGGATAAAAGCGTCTGCTAAATGGCATATTTTATTATTATTATGTGCTCCTCCTGTATGTTTTGGCTCATCTTCTTTCCCTCCAGCAGTGCTTACCACTATTTGGAGCTGTTTAAACGACTGAGATTAGATTTGAATTACAAAAATAAGTGGGTTTAATGGACCTGTATCTGTGTGTGTGTGTGTGTGTGTGTTGTTTTAATGACATTATTTGTGGATGGAGTGTGGGTGAGGAGAAGGAACAGCCGCTCAACCGGTTTCAGCTGACTCATAGGAGACATATGGGAGAACACTGACCTGGTGGTAAATCCCGTGATGTATAGACGGGTGGGTTGTTCACCATCAATACCGATGCGTGCACAACTACGAGGCAAAAACAGATTGGGTTGGCTTACGAACTTGTAAGCTATATTTCATCTGCAAATATTTATTGAAAACATAAATTGTTCCCAATAAGCACTTGTCTGTCAAATACATTGTTACAGTTGAAGAGAAGTAGTAGCAGGAGTGCTTCCACAACAACCACAGGTGCTCTTGGAGGGGAATTGTAATTGAAAAGGAAAAATTATAACCACAAATGGGTGATAAGTGCCATAAGAAAATCCAAGTCCATGCACTCATGTGGGTTTGAAAGGTAAAAAGCCTTTAATGTCAAACACCCTGATGAAGGCGTAAGCCGATACGCATTGGTGTATTTTAATAATGTCTTAGCCCATACATTAAAGTCTTTTTAACTTTCAAACCCACTGGACTTAGATTGTTTGTGCCACTTCACACCAATTTGTGGTTATACATTTTCCTTTTGCTTTTCTACATTGTTACAGTTGTTGGTTAGCTAGCTAGCTAATTCTGGCCATATTAGCATTGATGTGACGAGTCAAAACGAGATGGTATCAAGAACAACGTACAACTGGCTGAAATATGTAAATATGGAATATGTAACAGTGAGAAACAAATGGTAGCCTATGTCTTATACAGTGGAGTTGTTTTGTTTGAGCTCCTGTCTGGTTCTGATTGGCAGGTACCTGGTGACCCACCTGATGGGGGCGGACCTCAACAACATAGTCAAGTGTCAGAAACTCACAGACGATCACGTGCAGTTCCTCATATACCAAATCCTCCGGGGGTTAAAGGTGAAACCACACGTGGACTTTTTTAAACATGCTTCAACTAGCTGAACATAACTGAAAGTAACTGCCATTCACAGTATTGTGTACATCCCAGTGTTGTGTACATTCCCAGCAGGCAAAACGTATTGAAATGAAGTCATAATTATGTCATTTAAACCCATTTCTGGTCATACTGATGTCATTTTACCCAGTTTTGCCTGTTGGGATGTACCTCAGAACAACAAACCTCTCAGCTTAAACTTGTGATTCGTGTCTCCTAATTATTGATGTAATCTAATGCCTTTGCACTTCTTCCCCTCTCTCTGTCTCTCTCCTCAGTATATCCACTCAGCAGATATCATTCACAGAGTAAGTCTCCTCCCTTTTTAATTCAGTCCGCTCTGCTTTGATTGAGCCCACACTGAAACGGTCCTTCTCTGTGACCGATTTGACAACACTGTGTCTTGTGTTAGTTAATATAATATTATAAAATATATGCCATTTAGTAGACTCTAGTATCCAAAGAGATTTACAGTCATACGTGCATACATTTTACGTACAGGTGGTCCCGGGAATCGAACCCACTATCCTGGCATTGCAAGGGCCATGTTCTATATTAAAGCTTGTCCGGGCAAGTAAAAAAAAAATATATATATATCACAATATCAAACCATTAATCCGATCAGATTATTATCAAAGTGTCCCCCGTATGCGATGTGTTGTGTACTGTTCTCCCAATCTCTGCAGAGCGCATCGGAGTAGATTTGTGCATTGTATTGACAGGCACCGCTTTGGCCGGCGAAAAAAATATTGTAATAATGCTGTTCTGTACTCTATATAATTGTTTAAAAACCCGATTTTAATTCCCTAAGCTGTTAATGAGCTATGCAGTTTATTTAACACACGCACACATCCTAGTGTAAGCGGAATATCAACTGTCGGGCGGCAAGAGCGTGCAACTCCTCATACAGCTTTGATTGCTGCGTGTAAAGATATGTTCTAATAAGCCTAGTCACTGCGCAACATTCCTAAATGCAATTTCAGGAAAAGACGGCAATCACAGTTTTGATGACAATTATTGAAAAGAGCGGGATCCTAGTTTTCCAGTGCTGTACGATTTATTTCTCAACTCCAACTGCGTAATTGGCAGCGTTTTACAATCTTTACAAGTGTCTGGCATGACAAACAAACAAAAGTTGCAGCGTTAAACTCGTCGTCCATTCGATTGCATAAACGGTAGGCCTATATTCACTGTAAAATTCACACAATTAAACTGTATTTATAAAAACACTGTACAAATTAAGGTTTTATTACTGTCAGTGGGAGTTTTTTTTATACATTAAACAAGCAACTAGATCATATTTAGAGTCTGATCTAGCTAATGATTAGCCAACAATGCAGATGAGCAACCACATGCTGCAACCATGTTTTTAGATTTGATTGGGATCCCCTCACTTCAGCCATGTAGCCACTATGCTGCATCAGGCGATAATGGTTATTGCTAAAATAGCACACCTGCCTGATAATATTGATACAACAGTAGCTAGGATGGGGAGAGGTCTGTCTATAATAAAGCGCTGCTCTGCATTCTTAACAGCACTATCAACAAGGCAGGTCATACAGGCCCTAGTTTTGTCGCACCTGGACTACTGTTCAGTCGTGTGGTCAGGTGCCACAAAGAGGGACTTACGAAAATTGCAATTGGCTCAGAACAGGGCAGCACGGCTGGCCCTTGGATGTACCCTTGGATGTGGTCCTCTGTAGCTCAATTGATAGAGCATGGCGCTTGTAACGCCAGGGTAGTGGGTTCGATCCCCGGGACCACCCATACGTAAAAATGTATGCGTACATGACTGTAAGTCGCTTTGGATAAAAGCGTCTGCTAAATGGCATATTATTATTATAATATGTATCAATATGTTATTGGGCTCATTTCTGGAGGGGAATATTACATTTGAAACAGTTTCATATGTAAATCTGAACCCCCCCCAAAAACAATTGTAAAGTGGTTATCCCACTGGCTATAGGGTGAATGCACCAATTTGTGAGTCGCTCTGGATAAGAGCGTCTGCTAAATGACGTAAATGTGCCCTTGAGCAAGGCACTTAACCCTAATTGCTCCTGTAAGTCGCTCTGGATAAGAGCGTCTGCTAAATGACTAAAATGTAAAATGTAAAAATGTAAGGTTCCTCCAGGAGAGCTACTGGGTGTGCAGGCTTTAATTTGAGCCCTTCTCTAACACACCACATTGCAAAAAGTCAGCTGCTCAACATGACCTTGATAAGCTGACTCGGGTGTTTGTGCAGGGCTGGATACAAAGCCTGCACACCCAGTAGCTCTCCAGATGGAGGGTTGACCACGTGTTTGTACAGTAGCCTAACAGTGCAGTTATTTTACTTTGTGGGTGTTAAGTGCCTTGCTCAAGGGCACAACGGGAGGATATTATACATGGGATCAGAGACCAGCAGTGGTTCCTTGCATCGTACAACACAATTTTCAGTCACCTTTTTGGCCCATGGTGTTACAGCCCATTTTAGTTTTGGACAAGTGACTTGAGCTATCGGACAAGTAAAAAAATCTGTCATACTTGTCAGAAGGAGCTACAGTTTATAAACCAGTTTTAATTTATGACTTGGCTGCTTGCTTCGCTTCCACATAGAGGATTCAGGCCAAGGCTTGCTCCTTAAGCAAACACTCTAAACAGCAGAGGAAGTAAAACCATAAACAGGAGCTCTGTTTTGTACCATGACTGAGTCGGTGATTCAGGGCTGCTGTTTTGAAAGAACTGATCTGAGAATAATATTAGATTTAGAGTAGAAGGATTTGATCAATTAGAGATTTACTTAGTCTTGAAGAAGCACTGTAGACGTTCTGTAGAAGCACTTCTACAGATCGTGGTGGTTTGGTTTTAGAGGATCTAGATTCAATTGAGAAAGCCCATTCAGATCTGGCCTCGTCATATGTAGGTCAGCTGTAATAATATATGAATACTAATAATGCCTTGTCTCCCATCACTCTTTAGGACCTGAAACCCAGCAACCTGGCTGTGAATGAGGACTGTGAGCTGAAGGTAAGGGAGTTTATTATAAGCCCACTCATTCAATCTGTGTTCATGCTGAACCGCTGGACAAGAGTGTCAGCATGCCTGAGGGGAGTAACCAAGCACACCCTGATGTAACATTGGTGGTAACGTTTTCTGCAAGGAGAGAACAGTGTGTGACCTTTTGTGTAGTTTCCTGAGGGTAACTCTCTTGCCAGTACCACATGGTTTTGTTGTGTCTGTCCTCCTCAGATCCTGGACTTTGGGCTGGCGCGGCACACTGACGATGAGATGACTGGTTACGTTGCCACACGCTGGTACCGGGCACCAGAGATCATGCTGAACTGGATGCACTACAACATGACAGGTAAAGTAGGTAGAGTCTCTGCATCTGCTCACTGTAGTGCAGTACTTGTGATCTTGGGCCAACGTTCCTACCATGTGGATGTCATAATAGTGGAACACTGTAAATGGACATACTGAACATGTTTCTCCTATATGTTATAGTAGACATTTGTCATTCCTTTATATGTTACATGGACATAATGATCTCCTCTATATGTTACAGTGGACATTTGGTCTGTGGGATGCATCATGGCTGAACTCCTCACTGGCAGAACACTGTTTCCCGGTACTGACCGTATCCTTTCATTGCCCTTACCTCAGTTACCCTACTATGGGTCTAATATGAGTACCTAAGCTGAAGCCCCCTCCACTCTGTGAGTATGCCTGGCCTACCCATTCAACCACTGTTTCTGTCACTGATGCAGTCTTTGAGTGGTTGGTGGTGAGATTCCCACACAATAATATGTCCTTGCTGGATCACATCGGATAGGACCAGAGTACACACAGAATCATGCTGCTGTTGATTGTTTGATATATGCGATTTTAACAGCTTTTTGCAGGTCCAGACAGTAGCAGAAGATTGCTGACCGTGTGTGTCCTAAACTGTGTTCTAAGCTAAAGTTCTTCTATGTTCCTAACTTGCTCTGCACAACTAATCCCACTATGGTGCCTCAGGTGCTTCTTCTACTTCTTTCAGCTCTGTTTTGCCACTCTCCCTGCAGCATGTAGAGGGTCTCCTAGTTCGTCAGTTTCTGTAGCCACACTAATTTCTACCTCTCCAAACTCAGTCTCTAAAACTGTTTTCTCTGGCATCCAAGCCTCCTTCCATTGTAGGTTAGATGCAGACAGCCGCCTCCTCTTCTTTAACACATTAACACTAGAAAAGCCTGGCCTCGAGGCACCCTCCTTGGAGCCAATGATGCGTCTTTTAAACGTCAACGTTCTAACAGTCTAATAAATACATTTCATATATGCGATCAGAAAGATTAGCCTTGGGTTCCGTCAGTACGGTTGAAAGTATGGATTATATCCCGTTGCACAGGTCGAGTAATAATAACAACAATGTCACGCCAGTGACGTGACGGCGTGGGAGGACGTGCCCCCGCGGTTCATAGAAAACCGTACGTCAGACCACACGCTGTCTATTATCTCTTCTCGCAAAGTTAGCTTAGCCGTATCGCGCAAGTTGACTGCGCCGCTGTTCTGTTTTTTCGGATTGTATCTTCCCAGGTCCCGGTAGGTTAAGCTAAACTCTGTGTGAGTTGTGTGTACTGTCAGTCTGTCACCAACAGCCTGTGACCTGTGGATCGGAGCATGAAATTCGCCCGCCAAGGCTGTGTCACAGCCCTCCCCTACCTATCCCTTTTATCAGAGGATATCGGGCTTCCTTGACACCAGCTAGTGTGTATTGGCCTCCGTATTCCGGTGCCAACCTTGTCAAGATATCCTCCATTACCGTGCTTGTTATCGAGGCCACCGGACACTAGTCGTCCTTCTACTATTTAAAACTCGGAACACTTTCCCTAGATAACCGCGTCTCATAGAGCTCACGCCGTCTAGGAAGGTTTGTTAGCCTAGCCAGCTATACGACGTGAGATTTGGACTGCCTCCCCCAGGGATCCCTCTCCCCTGTTATTACTAGCATTCTACAAGCTAGCTAGCTAGCTAGCTAGCTAGCTTACCAACTCAACCTAGCTGCCACTGGGTCGTCAGCTTGGCTTACCAAACAACGGCCATTCGTGCGTGTTTTTCATAAATAAGCCTACGTTTAAACATGGTATCTCTCCTGCTCCAGCCCTGTGGTCGTAGCTCGGCTCACCAGAAATTATTTTGCGGTTGCTGTACAACTCCTGACAGATTATTGTATCTCTCTACCTTTACTGTGTATTGTGGTAGCTGCTGTAATAGCCTCCAGTTACTATTAAATTAGTTAATTCTGAGCTGAGAGAACACCACATCACCATGGCTGCTGCTCTTGTGGAGCTGAACTACAAGTATAAGATGGTCATGATCCGTGCCCCACCTGCCTAGGCATTGGCCACCTGCAAGAGGCCCTCTCTGACCCCTGCATTAACTGCGCCATACTGACTGTGAAGGTGAGAAAGCTTGCACCCTCAGCCAGGAGATTACATCACAAGAGTAAAGGCATCAGAACAGCAAGATGGCTTTCACTCAACCTATTTCCTGGTTCTGAAGAAAGACAGAGGCTTCCATCCAGTTCTAGATTTAAAACGGTTCAGTGTTTTCCTAGAAGTTCTCGGCTTTTACATGTTGTGGCGGGTCGACCTTCTCCAGACCGTAGCCGCAGGGGAATGGTTCACTTCCTTGGACTCAAAGGACGCTTACTTTCACATTCCTGTGTTACCGGAATATATGTTTTTTTTGTGGTTCGCCTTCCAAGGCTAGGCATACCAGTTCGCGGTATTACCATTTGGCCTCTCCCTGGCTCCTTGTGTCTTCACAAAATGCGTGAGTGCAGCCCTGAGCTTCCTCCACCTACAGGGGTCCTTTCTTAACTCGACGACTGGCTCATCTGCGCCCCCTCGTGAATGTGCGGCTGAGAGCACAGCACTGACAGTGACCCACATCACCGCACTGGATCAACTTCACATCAAGCCAAACGGCTGCCTATATTGGCATGACTCTGAACTCCCGCACTATGAGGGTGTGTATAACCACTCAGGCGTGTCGACAGCATTCTTCTGCAACAATTCCAGTTGAACGTGTTGGTGAAAACTGATGGCATGCTCACGGCGTTCTCTGCGGTGACACCGCTAGGCCTGCTGCTTTTGAAGACCACTACAAGTGTGGTTCAACGACCTCCGCTTGGACCCCAAGCGGGACAGAAACACCAGAATCCGAGTGAAAAGGGCATTCTACTCTGCGGCCGTGGAGGAGGGGAGCTACAGTGAGGGGAAAAAAGTATTTGATCCCCTGCTGATTTTGTACATTTTCCCACTGACAAAGAAATGATCAGTCTATCATTTTTAATGGTAGTTTTATTTGAACAGTGAGAGACAGAATAACAACAAAAACATCCAGAAAAACGCATGTCAAAAATGTTATAAATTGATTTGCATTTTAATGAGGGAAAAAAGTATTTGACCCCCTCTCAATCAGAAAGATTTCTGGCTCCCAGGTGTCTTTTATACAGGTAACGAGCTGAGATTAGGAGCACACTCTTAAAGGGAGTGCTCCTAATCTCAGCTTGTTACCTGTACACCTGTCCACAGAAGCAATCAATCAATCAGATTCCAAACTCTCCACCATGGCCAAGACCAAAGAGCTCTCCGAGGATGTCAGGGACAAGATTGTAGACCTACACAAGGCTGGAATGGGCTACAAAACCATCGCCAAGCAGCTTGGTGAGAAGGTGACAACAGTTGGTGCGATTATTCGCAAATGGAAGAAACACAAAAGAACTGTCAATCTCCCTCGTCCTGGGGCTCCATGCAAGATCTCACCTTGTGGAGTTGCAATGATCATGAGAACGGTGAGGAATCAGCCCAGAACTACACGGGACATGCGTTGTTCTGGATTTTTGTTTTGTTATTCTGTCTCTCACTGTTCAAATAAACCTACCATTAAAATTATAGCCTGATCATGTCTTTGTCAGTGGGCAAACGTACAAAATCAGCAGGGGATCAAATACTTTTTTCCCTCACTGTACTTGACTACAAGTGTCCCTCTCGGATCAATTCCGTCAAGGCGGAAAGTAGTGACGACCGATGCTTCACTAACAGGCTGGGAAGCAGTGTGGCAACACAGGACTGTACGTGGAGAGTGGTGCCCCTGCTGGAGGAAAGAGCACATCACCGTGCTAGTACTTCAGACAGTTTAGCTAGCCCTGAAACACTTTTTGCCTGTTCTCAAACACAAACATGTCCTGATACGATCAGACAATATGAGCCATTAATCTCCCAGGCAAGGTGAACGAGTTGGCGGATTTCTTGTCGCGACAGAAACTACCCCTGGGGGGAATGGAGACTTCACCCACAAGTAGTGAAGATGATATGGCAGCGGTTTGGAACAGCACATGTGGACCTGTTCACCTCAGAGCAAACTTCCCACTGCTCCATCTGGTTCTTTCTGGCAGAGACAAACAGACCCCTGGGCATGGACACCTTAGCCCACACATGGCCAGAGGACCACCCCAGCAGGTTATGGCATCCCAGACCAAACCTCTTTTCGAGCATACGGAAGTGCCGGACATAAAATGGTTGTCTGTGAAAACGGCTTCCCTGTTTCATCAGCAAAATGTGACTCTCCGAGTCCTGTCTGCAGACGACCTAGGCGTGACCTTATGGCCCAATCCAGCCTTTTTGCCTAAGGTTATATCACCCCTTCACATCAACCAAGCCATCGAGCTGGCGGCCTAGTGCCCCCCTCCTTTCTAGAATGCGAAGGAGGAGAGAGCAAATCTCTTGTGTCCAGTCCTTTCCCTCACGCTATATGCAAGCCTCGGAGCACTACAGGTAGTCAGACCAGCTGTTTCTGTGCATTGTCCAAGCAGAGGCTTTCACACTGGGTTGTGGATGTTCTCACTCAGGCATACAAGAGTGTAGGGCTCCCTGTTCCAGAGGGTGTGATATGTCACTCTACCAGAAGTGTCGCCACAGCCTTCGCTGAGAGGCATCCCCCTGAATGAGATATGTGCAGCTGCTATCTGGTCGTCGCCCTGCACGTTCTAAACATTTTACGAGATTAGTTGTATTATGTTACTAGTCTTTGTTTTGTAGCCTGAGCTATGCTGCCGTGAGTGCTCACCTGTTGAATGCATAGAACAGCGGTTATTCTTGGAAAAAGTGATATTTTGAAAGTGAGCTGACCTCTTGAATTTTTTGTTATTTGACAAAGGTAAGTGTTTTAGAAACTGCAGAATCTGCTCTTGCTGATATGATATAGAAACCAAATGTCTTACCTGCATGTGACTCTGTTGGAGGATTTGAAAAAGTGACTTTTTTGGCAATCCGTTTCTCTGCCTCTGTGTCAATTCCAAGCTGCGCCCATCTCTTCATATACAATTTGAAAATGTCTTTAGGCTAACTCTATTATTATATGTGGGAAATTAGTTTCAATATAGTTGAGGTATAATTTTGATGGGCCATCAGCTGCGCAGGCTGACTGGCTATGAATGAGGGACAGGGGGAAAGAAATGACGTGTCCTTTTAAAACTGCTTATAACACATTCTGTCTGATATTAGCATTCTAACAACGATAGTGTGCTATATAGACTTATTTAGGAAAAGTGAGGGACAGGGGGGACATGACTTTAAAAATGGCAGAGTAATTAAAAAACATAAATATGTATTGCATCCACATGTGTTAACAGTATAGCCTAGTCTGCTGCTCTGAATGGGAATGTTTTAATCTCTGGATCGGCTGAATAAGTCTGGCATTAATCTTTGTATTGCCTGTCTGTCTGCCAGGTTTTCAGAGGCATTAACAGAGATGCTTTTAAGGATGTATTCCCTGCAGTGTGTTTACCCATTACATTACATGCTTCTTATCCAGCACGATGATGTGACATAGCAAGATTTTATCCTGTATTTTAAGCCTTATCCAGAAATTAGAATTATACCAAAAATGAAAGCAATTGTCTGAGGATGGTGCTGGACCATCTGACATAGTTGCCAGTTTGATGAAAAAACTTGAAATAAAGGTTCAAATCCAGGCATGTCACATGATTGCGCAAAACGCAGGGCCCTGGATATAATATGAGGTAATGCTGTTGATTTTTAACCATTAACAGAGTAGCTGCTGAATGGGCATCATGAGATGTCAATAGAGGCAGAGTTTATATACATTTTCTGATATACACTGAGCATACTAAACATTAGGAACACCTTCCTAGTATTGAGTTGCACCCCCCCTTTTGCACTCAGAACAGCCTCAATTCGTCGGGGCATGGACTCTACAAGGTGTCGAAAGCGTTCCACAGGGATGCTGGCCAATGTTGACTCCAATGCTTCTCACAGTTGTGTCAAGTTGGCTGGATGTCCATTGGGTGGTGGACCAGTCTTGATACACACGGGAAACTGTTGAGCGTGAAAAACCCAGCAGCGTTCTTGACACAAACCGGTGCGCCTGGCACCTACTACCATACCCCGTTCAAAGTCCGCTCCCCTTTATCTACACTGATTGAAGTGGATTTAACAAGTGACATTAATAAAGGATCATAGCTTTCACCTGGTCAGTCTGTCATGGAAAGAGCAGGTGTCCTTAATGTTTTGTACACTCAGTGTAGTTTATACAAGTATGTTACATTTGATTTATTCAATGTCCCAGGCTGCTTTTCTGACTGTTCTTGGTTCCATTGTGCCAGGCAAGCTCAATCAAGCACAGCTCAGTTATTTTTAAGACAACAAATACTATTTGAAGCCAGGTCAGTAGTTCTCGCTGGTTCCTCTCCCCTTCCAGCTCCTGTTGTTCCTTTACACATGGTACCTGTTAGACATTGATCAGTTGAAGCTAATAATGCTGCTCGTCGGGATGCCAGGGCCTGAGCTCTTGATGAAAATCTCTTCTGAGTCTGTGAGTTATACACACAGTTACTATGCTGCAAGGTCATTTGTTGCTTAATTTGCGAAAAGGCCTGGTGCAAATTTTATTAGCATTAATTTGTGAAGTGTGTTCTTATCTTCAACACCAACTACCATTTTTACAGCATGCTTTGTTTGTTCACATCCCCTCAAATCACTTGTGAGATGGGGTCAAATGCAAGACCTGTTTTGATTTGAATACTGATTCTTCACTTGGATAAATGAACATACCCCTCTATGTTCAAAGTTTGGGTTTTACTGCTATGATTGATTAACTTGACTTTTTCCTGACTAATTGAAAATGTTCTCTTCTCTACCATAACCTGAAGCATGTTACCAATCTGCCTTGCAAATGCCTATACAATCTCACCCTCTCTTTTATATTCTTACCTTCCCCTTCAAAGATGGGACTATTACCTTTTTGCAGAGCCTCTTAGTAGTTGAGCCATACCATAAAACTCCTACAGGAAACTGTGTTAGCCCGCTGAGCTAAAGCTTAGGCCAGAGGGCCTTAGCTCAGGGAGCAAACGCAAGTCTTCAGGTCTTCTATTGACTGGGAGACTGCTTTAGCACGCTGAGCTAAAGCCTAGGCCAGAGAGCCAGGCCTTAGCTCGGGGAGCAAACGCAAGTCTTCATGTCTCCTATTGACTGGGAGACCGTGTTAGCCCACTGAGCTAAAGGCTATGCATTAGCTCTGGGTGCTAACGCGAGTCTTCAGGTCTCCCACTGACTAGCTGCTTGTTAACGTCTCTGCTATACTGCTGTCTGTACTGATACCCTTGACCCATACCTGATAGATATAAACCAGCTTCAGCAGATAATGCGTCTAACAGGAACGCCCCCAGCCTCTCTAATAAGCAGGATGCCCAGCCACGAGGTGAGCAGGACCAGATTACTCAATACAATGCATTCTCCTGGATTCAAACCCGGGTCCTCGAACCTGTACGCCACAAGACTGTTAGCCCAAGGGTTGGGGTAAATTCCATGTCAATTCAGGAAGTAAACTGAAAATTGCTATTTTACTTCATGAGTTGACCGAATTGACCCTAACCCTGATTAGACCAAACCACCTCCGTTACATCTAGCCCAGAGCAGAGCCACATGCCCAGGGCCACAATATTACAACCTCCTAAGAGGATATTTGCCCCCACATTATAAAGAAATAGACAAACATACAGTACATGTAGAATTTTATATTTTGCAGTCATCACTTTTTTTTGAGTTGTAGGTTTCTATTTTCTACTACCCACAACCCTCTCCAACCACTGAGTGGTTGCTGCACGTGAATGCAAGTCAAGCAGCAACTACTCTCTTGCCTCATAATGTTTGGTTTGCCATAAGAGTGTTATAAAGCATGAATATACCTAGCATTGCACACTAACAAACTATGGCATATTGCCTGAGCCAGAATTGGTTTTGAATTGAAACACTCAACTGAGTGGTAAGGGAAGAAGGACCTGAAAAGAACAGAACTGCAGTTCCTCTTTTTGAAGTTGGAACTGATTGAGTATATCGTAGCTACATTACATGGTACTACATAAGTACTGCAGCCAAATAAATAAACACTACTCAGTTATAAAACTATTTTCTTCTCCTACTGCTTTCTCTCTCAGATCTGCAATTAAACCCTCAATGCTTATAATGAATTCACACTTGCCAATGTTGCCATATGATCAAGTGACTGGACCAATATGGTTATGAATAAATCTACTCACATTTCTTCTGATGAAGGCCTCTAATCCTTGTCTCCGTCCCAAATAGCATCCTATTCCCACGGAATAGGGTGCTATTTGGGACACGCCCTTGTGTCTGATATGGTACCAACTAGTGCTAATCATAGTTATTATGCGCTGAATACAAAATTAGTCGCCGCTTTCCCAAACCAAGAATAAGACCACTTGAACATGATTGATTGATGATTGATTTTTAGCCCAGAATAAGTAGCGTTAATCTGGGTCGGGAAACGGCCCTATTACCCAAAAAGAAAGGTGGCCATCTTGTGGCTCTTGAAGTAGCACCCTATTCCCTACATAGTGCACTACTTTTGACCAGAGTCCTATGGGACCTGGTAAAAAGTAGTGGATTATATAGGTAATAGGGTGCCAATTGGGATGCAGCCTTGTTCGGGTTCTATCACCGTTAGTGGAGTGCCAACAACCGGATGCATCCGGTTTTAAGCTATCTTCAACCTAGCTTCCTTTTTCCGCTGAAAACTGTTTGTGGGAACTACGCTCAGACGTTTATTTTACTCTTGCTACGTTAGGTTAGGGTTCTATTGACCTTTTTCCTCCCATCTCTTCACTCCCATTGGTTGACAGGCCAGGAACTACATCAACTCCTTGCCACAGATGCCCAAGAGGAATTTTTCTGACGTGTTCATCGGAGCCAACCCACAAGGTAATGTTGGAATCATGATCCTACACTCAAAACACTTGGTCACATGTAAGTCAGACCCGAAGATGTAATAATTTATGTGATGATAATGAAAGAAAGGAGTCACCTACTGATGACCTCTTGTGGCCATATTCAAAAAGCATCTTACAATCGTTATTCATTATGATCGAAAACGCAAACCTGATTCTATAACAGCACTCCTACGCTGAGACTTTGAATATGGGAATCTTCCTCTAGTCTGGTTGACATCCATCTCCCGAGTGGCGCAGTGGTCTAAGGCACTGCATCTCAGTGCTTGAGGCGTCACTACAGACCCCCTGGTTCGATTCCAGGCTGTATCACAACCGGCCGTGATTGGGAGTCCCATAGGGCGGCACACAATTGGCACAGCGTCGTCCGGGTTTGGCCGGTGTAGGCCGTCATTGTAAATAAGAATTTGTTCTTAACTGACTTGCCTAGTTAAATAAAGGTAAAATAAGTCTTCCTGACTCGAGTCTGTAATGGCTGCTTTGATGTGTCGCCACGGAGCGTTGATAATGAAGGGGCTGTGCCCTCAGACTTTAAGGCGGCACCCTACTACGCTGGTTGGATATCCCCGTTTTGAATTAAATTAATCATAGTCTATTGTTTTACATAGGACTGCACCAGCCCTTCCGGGATAAGCAAACACACAGCTAACACACATCTTCGGAGTTCAGACACATTTTCAAAACGTTATAACAACCCTTCTACACTAAAACAAATGACATATTAGAGAACTGTAACCTGTTAAACGTTACCATCTTTTGGCTAGCAAGTAGAAACTAACGTTAGCTAGTAGGGCTGGGAATTTCCAGGGACCTCACAATACGATATCAAGATACTTAAGTGCTGATATGATATGTATTGTGATTCGATACTGTGATTCTGATTGAGATTCGATGTTCCAAACATATTGCTCACCATGTCAACTGCAGAGGGACAAGAGAGAGCCATGACAAGACACATTTTGATCAGTCATGGAAATAAAAGTGCTGAAAAGAAATTGACCCCCCCCATTTAAAAAGAAGATGGAGAACAAGCTATGAATGAAAAATACTGAGTTTTAGATCAGGTACAGCAAACTAGCGGAAAAATTATATTGCGATATTTTCAAAATGATACTATATATCGTCAAATAATATCCCGATATGTAACTATCAATTTTTCTTTATCACTATTAGCTAACATTAGCAACTTGAAATCAGCTAGCTTACCCCACTGAAGTTATACATTTTCCTTCTTGGATGTCCTCTGTTAACATACTAGGGCAATGATGTGAATCACCCATGCATTCTAGGGTGTAACGGTTCACCAAACCCACCGTTCGGTACGTATTGTGGTTTTGGGGTTTCGGTTTTTAACAATGTTCAGCATTCACAATGTTCCTCAAATTGTCTGTTGTGACTGGATTGTTATCTTGGGCCTCTCAAGTTTCTACTCTGATGCATTTGTAACCAGGTGGGAATTTACCAGTTGTGAAGTCGTAAATACTAGTTGGAGGCATTCATGTGATTTGAATAGATTGCTTTTATAATAATAATAATAATAATGTTTTAAATATAATAATGTTTTGTTGCATTTAACTGCTGAAAAATGCTGTTAGAGGTCATTTCCTTAGTGACAACAGAGGCATGTGGGAGCAATTACCTCAGGATGATAGACGTTTCCCACTAGTAATTATTATATTATTATTTATATTATTTATTATTATTATATTATTATATTATATTATAGTAATTACCAGTGAGAGGGCCATTCTAGTGGATCTTTCCTTCAGTGCCAGATGCACACGTGTGACTCATAAAGGGGGCGTGTCTGTAGCATGGTACTTCTCCCTCTCTGGTGTAATGTGATGGGCTGTCACTGTTAAGTAAGCGCAACACAGGGTGCATTGGCCAATTCAGTTAAATCTTTGACTTTGTCTTGCTTATTTAGAGCGGGTACTACCTGTTTGCTGAAATTGGTGCAAGAGGGAAGTTCATAACGTGGCTTGAGCACTTTCACGAGGTGCTGAAACCCCTTGTTCTCCACCACTGAGAATGGATGCATATCCGTGGCTATAAACCAAAGACTAAAAAAATATGAACAGCCTAGCTATCGCTCCTGTAATTTCTTTGGCCTGGTCAGAATCAACTGCCAAGGGCTGCTTGAATGCAGAGGGGAGACTGTTGTTTCTTTGCGTTTCCGTCTTGCACCGGTATACTGGGGTGATGTCGGCGTAAATGTGTCAACATATTTAAGGTGTTGGCAGCTGCATAGGCTATTCTCATTGACCGTGGCGACATACTGTTAACGTTTTATCCACAACTCTCTGTCCACCGCAGTTGTAATGTACTGGGAAGCCAAACTGTTCCCAAACTGGAGATTTGAATTGTGTGTTCCGAGATGCCGTTCTGGACACCACTGTTGTACTGCACTGTTATTTTCCTGTTTGTGTCCTGCCTGTTAGCACGATTCTTGCCATTCTGCTTGAACGTGTCTCATCAATAAGCTGTTTTCGCACACAAGACTTCCGCTGACTAGACACTGTCGTGCGTGAAAAGCCCAGGAGGCCAGCCATTTCTGAGATACTGGAACCGGCGCTCCTGGCACTGACGATCATACCACGCTCAAAGTCGCTTAGGTCACTCGTTTTGCCCGTTCAATCGAACAGTAACTAACTGGAGCTAACCATTTTCATGAACCTAATAAACTGGCGTGTATATACATACATACATACATACATACAGTACCAGTCAAAAGTTTGGACACCTACTCATTCAAGGGTTTTTCTTTATTTTTACTATTTTCTACATTGTAGAATAATAGTGAAGACATCAAAACTATGAAATAACACATATGGAATCATGTAGTAACCAAAACAGTGTTAAACAAATCAAAACATATTTTAGATTCTTCAAAGTAGCCACCCTTTGCCTTGATGACAGCTTTGCACACTTGGCATTCTCTCAACCAGCTTCACCTGGAATGCTTTTCCAACAGTCTTGAAGGAGTTCCCACATATGCTGAGCACTTGTTGGCTGCTTTTTCTTCACTCTGTGGTCCAACTCATCCCAAACCATCTGAATTGGGTTGAGGTTGGGGGATTGTGGAGGCCAGGTCATCTGATGCAGCACTACATCACTCTCCTTCTTGGTCAAATAGCCCTTACACAGCCTGGAGGTGTGTTGGGTCATTGTCCTGTTGAAAAACAAATGATAGTCCCACTAAGCCCAAACCAGATGGGATGGCGAATCGCTGTAGAATGCTGTGGTAGCCATGCTGGTTAAGTGTGCCTTGAATTCTAAATAAATCACAGACTGTGTCACCAGCAAAGCACCCCCACACCATCACACCTCCTCCTCCTTGCTTCACGGTGGAAATTACACATGCGGAGATCATCCGTTCACCTACACTGCGTCTCACAAAGACACAGCGGTTGGAACCAAAAACCTCAAATTTGGACCAAAGGACAGATTTCCACCGGTCTAATGTCCATTGCTCGTGTTTCTTGGCACAAGCAAGTCTCTTCTTCTAATTGGTGTCCTTTAGTAGTGGTTTCTTTGCAGCAAAATCGTCCGTGAAGGCCTTATTCACGCAGTCTCCTCTGAACAGTTGATGTTGAGATGTGTCTGTTACTTGAACTCTGTGAAGCATTTATTTGGTTTGCAATTTCTGAGGCTGGTAACTCTAATAAACGTATCCTCTGCAGCAGAGGTAACTCTGGGTCTTCCTTTCCTGTGGCGGTCCTCATGAGAGCCAGTTTCATCATAGCGCTTGATGATTTTTGCGACTGCACTTGAAGAAACGTTCAAAGTTCTTGGAATGTTCCGAATTGACTGACCTTCATGTCTGAAAGTAATGATGGACTGTCGTTTCTCTTTGATTATTTGAGCTGTTCTTGCCATAATATGGACTTGGTCTTTTACCAAATAAGGCTATCTTCTGTATACCCCCCCACCTTGTCACAACACAACTGATTGGCTCAAACGCATTAAGAAGGAAATAAGTTCCACAAATTAACTTTTAACAAGGCACACTTGTTAATTACATTTACATTTAAGTCATTTAGCAGACGCTCTTATCCAGAGCGACTTTAATTGAAATGCATTCCAGGTGACTACCTCATGAATCTCGTTGAGAGAATGCCAATAGTGTGCAAAGCTGTCATCAAGGCAAAGGATGGCTACTTTGAAGAATCTAAAATATATTTTGATTTGTTTAACACTTTTTTGGTTAATACATGATTCCATATGTGTTATTTCATAGTCTTGATGTCTTCACTATTATTCTACAATGTAAAAAAAATAGTCAAAAATAAAGAAAAACCCTTGAATGAGTAGGTGTATCCAAGCTTTTGACTGGTAGTATACATACATACATACATACATACATACATACATACATACATACATACATACATACATACATACATACATACATACAGTTAATTGGAAAGTATTCAGACCCCTTGACTTTTTCCACAGCGTTATACATTACAGCCTTATTCTAAAATTGATGAAATTGTTTTCCCTTAATCTACAAACAATACCCTATAATGACAAAGCAACATTTTGCAAATGTATAATAAATAAAAAAATTGAATATATACATTTACATAAGTATTCAGACCCTTTTACTCAGTACTTTGTTGAAGCACCTTTGGCAGCGATTACAGCCTTGAGTCTTCTTGGTTATGACGCTACAAACTTGGCACACCTGTATTTGGGAGTTTCTCCCTTTCTTCTCTGTAGATCCTCTCAAGCTCTGTCAGGTTGGATGGGGAGCGTCGCTGAACAGCTATTTTCAGGTCTCTCCAGAGATGTTCGATCGGGTTCAAATCCGGCCTCTGGCTGTGCCACTCAAGGACATTTAGAGACTTGTCCCAAAGCCACTCCTGTGTTGTCTTGGTTGTGTGCGTAGGGTCGTTGTCCTGTTTGAAGGTGAACCTTCGCCCCCAGTCTGAGGTCCTGACCGCTCTGGAGCAGGTTTTCATCAAGGATCTCTCTGTACTTTGCGCCGTTCATCTTTCCCTCGATCCTGACTAGTCTCCCAGGCCCTGCCGCTGATAAACATCCCCACAGCATGATGCTGCCACCACAATGCTTCACCGTAGGGATTGTGCCAGGTTTCCTCCAGACGTGAGGCTTGGCATTCAGGCCAAATAATTCAAACTTTGTGTAATCAAACCATATAATCTTGTTTCTCATGGTCTGAGAGTACTTTAGGTGCCTTTTGGCAAACTCCAAGCGGCCTGTAATGGGCCTTTTACTGAGGAGTGGCTTCCGTCTGGCCACTACCATAAAGGCCTGCTGCAGAGACGGTTGTCCTTCTGGAAGGTTCTCCCATCTCCACAGAGGAACTCTGGAGCTCTGTCAGATTGACCATCAGGTTCTTGGTCACCTCCCTGACCAAGGCCCTTCTCCCCCGATTGCTCAGTTTGGCAGAGTGGCCAGCTCTAGGAAGAGTCTTGGTTCCAAACGTCTTCCATTTTTAAGAATGATGGACGCCACTGTGTTCTTGGGGAACTTCAAAGCTGCAGAAAGTTTTTGGTACCCTTCCCCAGATCTGTGCCTCGACACAATCCTGTCTCGGAGCTCTACGGTCAATACCTTCGACCTCATGGCTTGGTTTTTGCTCTGACATGCACTGTTAACTGTGGGACCTTATATAGACAGGTGTGTGACTTTCCAAATAATAATATATAATAATATGCCATTTAGCAGACGCTTTTATCCAAAGCGACTTACAGTCATGCGTGCATACATTTTTGTGTATGGGTGGTCCCGGGGATCGAACCCACTACCTTGGCGTTACAAGCGCCGTGCTCTACCAGCTGAGCTACAGAGGACCACATCATGTCCAATCAATTGAATTTACCACAGGAGGACTCCAATCAAGTTGTAGAAACATCTCAAGGATGATCAATGGAAACGGGATGCACCTGAGCTCAATTTTGAGTCTCATAGCATATTATTTTTTTTAAAACCTATTTTCGATTTGTCATTATGGGGTATTGATGAGGAAAAACATTTAATTTTATCCATTTTAGAATAAGGCTGTAACGTACCAAAATGTGGAAAAGGTCAAGTGGTCTGAATACCGACTGCACTGTACATACACTATATAGTATCTAACCATTCACAACAATACACACAAAACTAAAAGTAAATGTAGAATACAGTATATACATATGAAATGATTGAAGCATTATGTAAACATTATTAAAGTGACTAGTGTTCCATTATTAAAGTGACCAGTGATTCCATGTATATGCTGTCCTATGTAAATAGACATGGAATCACTGGTCACTTTAATAATGTTTACATACTGCTTTACTCATTTCATATGTACATACTGTATTCTACTGTATTTTAGTCGATGCCATTCCAACATTGCTCATCCTAATATTTATATATTTCTTAATTCCATTCTTTTACTTTTAGATTTGTGTGTATTGTTTTGAATTGTTAGATACTTCTGCACTTTGGAGCTAGGAACACAAGCATTTCGCTACACCCGCAATAACATCTGCTAAATATGTGTATGTGACCAATATGTGGACACCCCTTCAAATTAGTGGATTCGGCTATTTCAGCCACAACCGTTTGCTGACAGGTGTATGAAATCGAGCACACAGCCATGTAATCTCCATAGACAAACATTTGCAGTAGAATGGCCTTACTGAAGAGCTCAGTGACTTTTAACGTGGCACCATCATAGGATGCCACCTTTCCAACAAATCATTTCGGCAAATTTCTGCCCTGCTAGAGCTGCCCCGGTCAACTGTAAGTGCTCTTATTGTGAAGTGGAAACGTCTCGGAGCAACAATGGCTCAGCCGCGAAGTGGTAGGCCACACAAGCTCACAGAACGGGACCGCCGAGTGCTAAAGCGCGTAAAAATTGTCTGTCCTCGGTTCCAAGCTGCCTCTGGAAGAAACGTCAGCACAAGTACTGTTCGTCGGAAGCGTCATGAAATGGATTTCCATGGCCGAGCAGCCGCACAAAAGCCTAAGATCACCATGCGCAATGCCACCGGCATATACAGTGAGGGAAAAAAATATTTGATCCCCTGCTGATTTTGTATGTTTGCCCACTGACAAAGAAATGATCAGTCTATAATTTTTTTAAATGGTAGGTTTATTTGAACAGTGAGAGACAAAAAAATCCAGAAAAACGCGTGTCAAAAATGTTATAAATTGATTTGCATTTTAATGAGGGAAATAAGTATTTGATCTCTCTGCAAAACATGACTTAGTACTTGGTGGCAAAACCCTTATTGGCAATCACAGAGGTCAGACGTTTCTTGTAGTTGGCCACCAGGTTTGCACACATCTCAGGAGGGATTTTGTCCCACTCCTCTTTGCAGATCTTCTCCAAGTCATTAAGGTTTCGAGGCTGATGTTTGGCAACTCGAACCTTCAGCTCCCTCCACAGATTTTCTATGGGATTAAGGTCTGGAGACTGGCTAGGCCACTCCAAGACCTTAATGTGCTTCTTCTTGAGCCACTCCTTTGTTGCCTTGGCCGTGTGTTTTGGGTCATTGTCATGCTGGAATACCCATCCACGACCCATTTTCAATGCTCTGGCTGAGGGAAGGAGGTTCTCACCAAAGATTTGACGGTACATGGCCCCGTCCATCGTCCCTTTGATGCGGTGTTGTTGTCCTGTCCCCTTAGCAGAAAAACACCCCCAAAGCATAATGTTTCCACCTCCATGTTTGACGGTGGGGATGGTGTTCTTGGGGTCATAGGCAGCATTCCTCCTCCTCCAAACACGGCGAGTTGAGTTGATGCCAAAGAGCTCCATTTTGGTCTCATCTGACCACAACACTTTCACCCAGTTCTCCTCTGAATCATTCAGATGTTCATTGGCAAACAGGTAGCTTAGTAGTTAAGAGCGTTGTGCCAGTAAACGAAAGGTCGCTGGTTCTAATCCCCAAGCCGACTAGGTGAAAAATCTGTCGATGTGCCCTTGAGCAAGGCACTTAACCCTAATTGCTCCTGTAAGTCGCTCTGGATAAGAGCGTCTGCTATATGACTAAAATGTAATGTAAAATATAAGTGTGGAAGAGGTGAAAAAAGTATTGTTTATCAACAATGACAAGCCACCGGGGTCTGACAACTTGGATGGAAAATTACTGAGGATAATAGCGGACGATATTGCCACTCCTATTTGCCATATCTTCAATTTAAGCCTACTAGAAAGTATGTGCCCTCAGGCCTGGAGGGAAGCAAAAGTTATTCCCCTACCTAAGAATAGTAAATCCCCCTTAACTGGCTCAAATAGCCGACCAATCAGCCTGTTACCGACCCTCAGTAAACTTCTGGAAAAAATGGTTTGACCAGATAAAATGATATTTTACAGTAAACAAATTGACAAGACATTCAGCATGCTTATAGGGAAGGACATTCAACAAGCACAGCACTTACACAAATGACTGATTGGCTGAGAGAAATTGATGATAAAAAGATTATGGTGGCTGTTTTGTTAGACTTCAGTGCAGCTTTTGACATTATTGATCATAGTCTGTTGCTGGAAAAACGTATGTGTTATGGCTTTACACCCCCTGCTATATTGTGGATAAAGAGTTACCTGTCTAACAGAACACAGAGGGTGTTCTTTAATGGAAGCCTCTCCAACATAATCCAGGTAGAATCAGGAATTCCCCAGGGCAGCTGTCTAGGCCCCTTACTTTTTTTCCCATCTTTACTAACGACATGCCACTGGCTGTGAGTAAAGCCAGTGTGTCTATGTATGCGGATGACTCAACACTATACACGTCAGCTACCACAGCGACTGAAATGACAGCAACACTTAACAAAGAGCTGCAGTTAGTTTCAGAATAGGTGGCAAGGAATAAGTTAGTCCTAAATATTTCAAAAACTAAAAGCATTGTATTTGGGACAAATCATTCACTAAACCCTAAACCTCAACTAAATCTTGGAATGAATAATGTGGAAATTGAGCAAGTTGAGACTAAATTGCTTTGAGTAACCCTGGATTGTAAACTGTCATGGTCAAAACATATTGATACAACAGTAGCTAGGATGGGGAGAGGTCTGTCTATAATAAAGCGCTGCTCTGCATTCTTAACAGCACTATCAACAAGGCAGGTCATACAGGCCCTAGTTTTGTCGCACCTGGACTACTGTTCAGTCGTGTGGTCAGGTGCCACAAAGAGGGACTTACGAAAATTGCAATTGGCTCAGAACAGGGCAGCACGGCTGGCCCTTGGATGTACCCTTGGATGTGGTCCTCTGTAGCTCAATTGGTAGAGCATGGCGCTTGTAACGCCAGAGTAGTGGGTTCGATCCCCGGGACCACCCATACGTAAAAATGTATGCACACATGACTGTAAGTCGCTTTGGATAAAAGCGTCTGCTAAATGGCTTATTATTATTATTATTATTATTATTATTATTATTATTACACAGAGAGCTACCATTAATAATATGAATGTCAATCTCTCCTGGCTCAAAGTGGAGGAGAGATTGACTTTATTACTACTTGTATTTGTGAGGGGTATTGACATGTTGAATGGACCGAGCTATCTGTTTGAACTACTGGCACACAGCTCGGACACCCATGCATACCCCACAAGACATGCCACCAGAGGTCTCTTCAGTCCCCAAGTCCAGAACAGATTATGGGAGGCGCACAGTACTACATAGAGCCATGACTACATGGAACTCTATTCCACATCAAGTAACTCATGCCAGCAGTAAAATTAGATTTAAAAAAACAGATACAAATATACATTATGGAACAGTGGGGACTGTGAAGCAACACAAACACACGATAACATACGCACTATACACACAGATTTTGTGTTATAGATATGTGGTAGTAGAGTAGAGGCCTGAGGGCACACGCTTAATATGTTATGAAATCAGTTTTTTAAATTTTAATTGTACCTTTATTTAACTAGGCAAGTCAGTTAAGAACAAATTCTTATTTACAATGACGGCCTACACCGGCCAAACCCGGACGACGCTGGGCCAATTGTGCGCCGCCCTATGGGACTCCCAATCACGGCCGGTTGTGATACAGCCTGGAATCGAACCAGGGGGTCTGTAGTGACGCCTCAAGCACTGAGATGCAGTGCCTTAGACCGCTGCGCCACTCGGGAGTTATGAATGTATTGTAATGTTTAAAAAATGTATAACTGCCTTAATTTTGCTGGACCCATAATAAACACATACTATGTGGCAGTGCCGTATCTTATCTCCTTTTTAGAAAGCTCCATCAGAGTTTTTCTCCCCACAGTTTTAGTTAGCTACCTAACTTTAGCTTGGCTTGTTTACCTTTAGTCAGGGCGTAGCAAATTGACAAGGAAGCGTGGGGGATGTTGCGCATGCAAATAGGGTGCATATGAGAACCAATCAAAAAGTAACTTTGTAGTGAATGGAAACGCTAACCGGATGCTTCACATTCATACATCCGGTGAAATATCTGGCTCATTGTTCTATCTGTGCCCTTATGCTCTCCATTCACGGTCTCTCTGTAAAAAAACACCTCTCCAGCAGGACAGCCAATGCCAATGCCTGAATTGACCATATTAATATTGATGTTCTACTGCCTGTAGCTGTGGACCTGCTGGAGAAGATGTTGGTTCTGGACACAGATAAGAGGATAACGGCTGCCGAGGCTCTGGCCCACCCCTACTTCTCCCAGTACCATGACCCAGACGACGAGCCTGAGGCTGACCCCTACGACCAGAGCTTTGAGAGCCGCGAGCTGGAGATCGAGGAATGGAAACGTGTGTAGAATTAAATAGACAGGATCATTATGAGATTATTAAAGGGGTCATACATGCTCATGACAAGTCCTACAGTGAATGCATTGCAACGGCATCACAATGCATTCATTATACCTGAATGCTTTAAAGGAGAGTTTAGCTTTTTTAGAACTGAATCTGTTATTTTATGTAAATGGCATGTTATAGAACGGTACAGACAGATTTATTTCTTCATCTTCGTTGTGTGGTACGGGGGCTCTTAAACATGAACAAAGGCTCCAAAAACACCCAAATACGTCCTTTTCGTAACAGATAAGCTGTCAGTATAGTGATGTAGGTCTTAAGATGTTGTACACATGAAATTGTCATTCTGAACTTTATCCGCAACGTTCCATTTTGTTGCTACTCGAGCGATACCTCTCCGTCCTTTCTACAGGTAGTAGCTGCCAAAATAAAGGAAACGCTTGAGTAAATGTGGGATACAAAGTACACTGCTCAAAAAAATAAAGGGAACACTTACATTGTGTTGTTTAACTCCAAGTCAATCACACTTCTGTGAAATCAAACTGTCCACTTAGGAAGCAACACTGATTGACAATAAATTTCACATGCTGTTGTGCAAATGGAATAGGCAACAGGTGGAAATTATAGGCAATTAGCAAGACACCCCCAATAAAGGACTGGTTTTGCAGAAGGTGACCACAGACCACTTCTCAGTTCCTATGCTTCCTGGCTGATGTTTCGGTCACTTTTGAATGCTGGCGGTGCTTTCACTCTAGTGGTAGCATGAGACAGAGTCTACAACCCACACAAGTGGGTCAGGTAGTGCAGCTCATCCAGGATGGCACATCAATGCGAGCTGTGGCAAGAAGGTTTGCTGTGTCTGTCAGCGTAGTGTCCAGAGCATGGAGGCGCTACCAGGAGACAGGCCAGTACATCAGGAGACGTGGAGGAGGCCGTAGGAGGGCAACAACCCAGCAGCAGGACTGCTACCTCCACCTTTGTGCAAGGAGGAGCAGAAGGAGCACTGCCAGAGCCCTGCAAAATGACCTCCAGCGGCCACAAATGTGCATGTGTCTGCTCAAACGGTCAGAAACAGACTCCATGAGGGTGGTATGAGGACCCGACGTCCACAAGTGGGGGTTGTGCTTACAGCCCAACACCGTGCAGGACGTTTGGCATTTGCCAGAGAACACCAAGATTGGCAAATTCGCCACTGGCGCCCTGTGCTCTTCACAGATGAAAGCAGGTTCACACTGAGCACATGTGACCGAGTCTGGAGATGCCGTGGAGAACGTTCTGCTGCCTGCAACATCCTCCAGCATGACCGGTTTGGCGGTGGGTCAGTCATGGTGTGGGGTGGCATTTCTTTGGGGGGCCGCACAGCCCTCCATGTGCTCGCCAGAGGTAGCCTGACTGCCATTAGGTACCGAGATGAGATCCTCAGACCCCTTGTGAGACCATATGCTGGTGCGGTTGGCCCTGGGTTCCTCCTAATGCAAGACAATGCTAGACCTCATGTGGATGGAGTGTGTCAGCAGTTCCTGCAAGAGGAAGGCATTGAAGCTATGGACTGGCCCGCCCGTTCCCCAGACCTGAATCCAATTGAGCACATCTGGGACATCATGTCTCGCTCCATCCACCAACGCCACGTTGCACCACAGACTGTCCAGGAGTTGGCGGATGCTTTAGTCCAGGTCTGGGAGGAGATCCCTCAGGAGACCATCCGCCACATCATCAGGAGCATGCCCAGGCGTTGTAGGGAGGTCATACAGGCACGTGGAGGCCACACACACTACTGAGCCTCATTTTGACTTGTTTTAAGGACATTACATCAAAGTTGGATCAGCCTGTAGTGTGGTTTTCCACTTTAATTTTGAGGGTGACTCCAAATCCAGACCTCCATGGGTTGATAAATTTGATTTCCATTGATAATTTTTGTGTGATTTTGTTGTCAGCACATTCAACTATGTAAAGAAAAAAGTATTTAATAAGGTTATTTCATTCATTCAGATCTAGGATGTGTTATTTTAGTGTTCCTTTAATTTTTTTGAGCAGTGTATATTGAAAGCAGGTGCTTCCACACAGGAAGTTCCAGACACTTAAGATAAATCTATGCCAAGGTACATTGAAGCTGTTCTGGCGGCTCGTGGTGGACCAATGCCCTATTAAGACACTTTATGTTGGCGTTTCCTTTATTTTGGCAGTTACCTGTAGCAGCAGAGAATGGAACAGCTGGATAGGGGAAACTGCTCGAGTCGCACAAAATGGAATATAACGTTGCAGATAAAGTTTGGAATGACAATTTCATGTGTACAACATCTTAAGATCTGCATCACTAAACAGAGAGTGTTTCCGTTTCTAAAATGATGTATTTGGGTGTTTTTGGCGCATTTCTTCATGTTTTTTCAGAGCTTACTTACTGCACAACGAGGACGAGGAAATTAATCACTGGTAAGTTTCTCAAAAACAAGTGAAATCACGAAAAGGATGTCTGGACCCTTCTGTAACATGCCATTTACATATAAAATTCTCCTTTAAGTAAAGTGTTACAAAACGTTTTATTTATTTTTATCTGCTCTGTTCCCAACCCCACAGACGGCACAGAAACACCCGGAACACACATTTATCGCTTTCTCTTTTCTCTCTCGCTTTCTCTTCTCACTCTTTCTCGTCTCCTCACAGGGCTGACCTATGAGGCGGTGTGTGATTTTGAGCCACCTATCTTTGATGGAGATGACATGGAATCGTGATTGGATGACGTGATTTCTACAAAGCCCCTCCCTCTCAGCCCCCGCAACTTTATATCACTGAGGTTCCCGCTTATCATATGACCTTTTGGGAAAACAATATCATCCGAGTGCCTACAAACGTTTGTCTATTGTTAGCTATATTTCTTAAGCTCGCACTCTCTCTTCTGCCATTCTGACTCGGTAATGGGTTGTAAGGGAAAATAACTCAAATAGCCTGGTCCCAGATCTGTGCTGTGGCATGACAATGGCCATGGGAGTTTGCTATTCAGCACCAACAGATCTTGGAGCATGCTATAACTAAAATGGAGGAAAGGAGATAGACATTTCAAGGACTGAATATCTGTATTTACTACAATGTATTTTCAAGGCAGAAACAGAGGCAAGCAAAAACCAACCACTAATACCATTATTTGTCCATTGCTGGAAAATACCAAGTTTCTGTTATTATTTGGTCTATATGTACGTCTCAAATGGCACTCTATTCCCTATTTACAGTATAGGAAATTGGGTGCCATTTAGGATTAAACTTATATTTGAACTACACTGAACAAAAATATAAACGCAACAATTTGAAAGATTTTACTGAGTTACAGTTCATATAAGGACATCAGTCAATTGAAATGAATTCATTAGGCCCTAATCTATGGATTTCACATGACTGGGAATCTAGATATGCATCTGTTGGTCACTTACACTATATATATATATATATATATAAAAGTATGTGGACACACCCTTTGCTGACAGGTGTATAAAATCGAGCACACAGCCATGCAATCTTCATAGACAAATTGCCAGTAGAATGGCCTTACTGAAGAGCTCAGTGACTTTCAACGTGGCACCGTCATAGGATGCCACCTTTCCAACAAGTCAGTTTGTCAAATTTCTTCCCTGCTAGAGCTGCATCGTTCAACTGTAAGTGCTGTTATTGTGAAGTGGAAACGTCTAGGAGCAACAACGGCTCAGCCGCGAAGTGGTAGGCCACACAAGCTCACAGAACGGGACCGCCGAGTGCTGAAGCGCGTAAAAATAATCTGTTCTCGGTTGCAAAACTTACTACCGAGTTCCAAACTGCCTCTGGAAGCAACGTCAGCACAATAATTGTTCGTCGGGAGCTTCATGAAATGGGTTTCCATGGCCGAGCAGCCGCACACAAGCCTAAGATCACCATGCGCAATGCCAAGTGTCGGCTGGAGTGGTGTAAAGCTCACCGCCATTGGACTCTGGAGCAGTGGAAACGCGTTCTCTGGAGTGATGAGTCACGCTTCACCATCTGGCATTCCGATGGACAAATCTGGGTTTGGCGGATGCCAGGATAACGCTACCTGCCCCAATGCATAGTGCCAACTAAAGTTTGAAGAAGGAGGAATAATGGTCTAGGGCTGTTTTTCATGGTTCGGGCTAGGCCCCTTAGTTCCAGTGAATGGAAATGTTAACGCTACAGCATACAATGACATTCTAGACGATTCTGTACTTCCAACTTTGTGGCAACAGTTTGGGGAAGGCCCTTTCCTGTTTCAGCATGACAATGCCCCCGTGCACAATGCGAGGTCCATACAGAAATGGTTTGTTGAGATCGGTGTGGAAGAACTTGACTGGCCTGCATAGAGCCCTGACCTCAACCCCATCGAACACCTTTGGGATGAATTGGAACGCCGACTGCGAGCCAGGCCTAATCGCCCAACATCAGTGCCCGACCTCACTAATGCTCTTCTGGCTGAATGGAAGCAAGTCCCCGCAGCAATGTTCCAACATCTAGTGGAAAGCCTTCCCAGAAGAGTGCAGGCCTTTATAGCAGCAAAGGGGGGACCAACTCCATATTAATGGCCGTGATTTTGGAATGAGAAGTTCGTTGAGCAGGTGTCCACATACTTTTGGTCGTGTAGGGGCGTGGATCAGAAAACCAGTCAGTATCCGGTGTGACCACAATTTGCCTGCAGCGCGACACATCTCCGTCGCATAGAGTTGATCAGGCTGTTGATTGTGGCCTGTGAAATGTTGTCCCACTCGTCAATGGTTGTGCGAAGTTGCTTGATATTGGCGGGAACTGGAACTCGCTGTCCGTACACGTTGATTCAGAGCATCCCAAACATGCTCAATGGGTGACATGTCTGGTGAGTATGCAGGCCACGGAAGAACTGGGACATTTTCAGCTTCCAGGAATTGTGTACAGATCCGTGTGACATGGGGCTGTGCATTATCATGCTGAAACATGAGGTGATGGCGGCGGATGAAAGGCATGACAATGGGCCTCAGGATCTCATCACGGTATGTGCATTCAAATTGCCATCGATAAAATGCAATTGGGTTTGTTGTCTGTAGCTTATACCTGCCCATACCATAACCCCACCATGGGACACTTGTTCACAATGTTGACATCAGCGAACTGCTCGCCCACACATTTACATTTACGTCATTTAGCAGACGCTCTTATCCAGAGCGACTTACAAATAGCGACTTACAAACGCCATACACGTGGTCTGCGGTTGTGAGGCCGGTTGGAAGCACTGCCAAATTCTCTAAAACGACGGAGCTGCTTATGGTAAAGAAAGTAACATTAAATTCTCTGGCAACGGCTCTGGTGGACATTCCTGCAGTCAGCATGCCAATTGCACACTGCCTCAAAACTTGAGACATCTGTGGCATTGTGTTGTGACAAAACTGCACATTTTAGAGTGGCCTTTTGTCTCCAGCATAAGGTGCACCTGTGTAATGATCATACGGTTTAATCAGCTTGTCAATATGCCACACGTGTCAGGTGGATGGATTATCTTGGCAACGGAGAAATGCTCACTAACACGGATGTAAACAAATTTGTGCATAACATTTGAGAGAAATAAGCTTTTAGTGCGTATGGAAAATGTTGGCTCTTATTTTTTTTAATTTACACTTTACATGCTGCGTTTATAGTTTAGTTCAGTGTAGTTTTATATTCCTCCTTCAGAAGGTTTTATTATGCGACTTCTATGGCTTATCACTGTGACATTCAAAAGAAATGAGATGCTGAATTAAACGGCCGGAGAAATATAGCTGTGTACTATATGTTTTAATCATTTAATAGTGTATATCAACTGAAATATGGAATAAAGTCTGTCAGTCTCGCTATGCCAATCGCAGCATTAGTGTCACAGATTTACAGGCGCTTCAGAAATCATTAGAATAATCAGCTTCACTGACAGGCTGGGTCTCAAATGGCACCGTAAAACCTATATAGTGCAGGGCTGTTTAGTGTTATTTAACCAGGTATGTTGACTGAGAACAAATTCTCATTTACAGAAATGACCTGGGGAATAGTTACAGGGGGATGAATGAGCCAATTGGAAGCTGTGGGCCATGATGGTAAGAGGGCCAGAATGGGAATTTAGCCAGGACACCGGGGTTAACGGTCTTACGATAAGTGCCATGGGATCTTTAGTGTCCACAGAGTCAGGACACCTGTTTAACGTCCGTTCCAAAAGACGGCATCCTACACAGGGTAATGTTCCCAATCACTGCCCTGGGGCATATATTATTTTTAGACCAGAGGAAAGGGTACCTCCTACTGGCCCTCCAACACCACTTCCAGCAGCATCTGGTCTCCCATTCAGGGCTCAACCCTGCTTATCTTCAGAGGCAAGCCAGCAGTGGGATGCAGGGTGTTATGCTGCAGGGCACATAGGGTTTTGGTCAAAAGTAGTGCACTATATAGTGAACCGGGTGCCATTTTGGACGCACATAGGGATTTCTTCTATTCTTCAACATTGTTATGAACTTTGAGGAAATGTTTTAGCTGTGAGAAAAATTGCAGATGAACCAAATTTCAGATGAATCTCCATCCCTACTCCCCATAGTATTAAAACTGTTCAGTCAGTGTGACATTTGGTTAAATGCCAGCAGCCAGACAAGATGTTTAATACCATTTAGTGCTCACAAACCCTAAAATCATTATTCAGTTAATTTAATACCCAAATGATTCAATTCTGGCAGATGGACTATTTTTGTTGTTTAATTAATTTGTCTTTATTTTTAAGTGACTTCCTTTCATCATGTACTTTCTGCACTGAGGTGAAGGAGCTACATACAGTGGGGAGAACAAGTAATTGATACACTGCCGATTTTGCAGGTTTTCCTACTTACAAAGCATGTAGCGGTCTGTAATTTTTATCATAGGTACACTTCAACTGTGAGAGACGGAATCTAAAACAAAAATCCAGAAAATCACATTGTATGATTTTAAATAATTAATTTGCATTTTATTGTATGACATAAGTATTTGATACATCAGAAAAGCAGAACTTAATATTTGGTACAGAAACTTTTGTTTGCAATTACAGAGATCATACGTTTCCTGTAGGTCTTGACCAGGTTTGCACACACTGCAGCAGGGATTTTGGCCCACTCCTCCATACAGACCTTCTCCAGATCCTTCAGGTTTCGGGGCTGTCGCTGGGCAATATGGACTTTCAGCTCCCTCCAAAGATTTTCTATTGGGTTCAGGTCTGGAGACTGGCTAGGCCACTCCAGGACCTTGAGATGCTTCTTACGGAGCCACTCCTTAGTTGCCCTGGCTGTGTGTTTCGGGTCGTTGTCATGCTGGAAGACCCAGCCACGACCCATCTTCAATGCTCTTACTGAGGGAAGGAGGTTGTTGGCCAAGAACTCGCAATACATGGCCCCATCCATCCTCCCCTCAATACGGTGCAGTCGTCCTGTCCCCTTTACAGAAAAGCATCCCCAAAGAATGATGTTTCCACCTCCATGCTTCGCGGTTGGGATGGTGTTCTTGGGGTTGTACTCATCCTTCTTTATTCCTCCAAACACGGCGAGTGGAGTTTAGACCAAAAAGCTCTATTTTTGTCTCATCAGACCACATGACCTTCTCCCATTCCTCCTCTGGATCATCCAGATGGTCATTGGCAAACTTCAGACGGGCCTGGACATGCGCTGGCTTGAGCAGGGGGACCTTGCGTGCGCTGCAGGATTTTAATCCATGACGGCGTAGTGTGTTACTAATGGTTTTC